AGTACGTTCCTTCCCTCTTGTTTCGAGACCACCAGACGACTCGTGCCAGCCGGAAGAATCAGAGTTGTCAAAGATAAGGGGTTCCTTTTGTAGTTCAGTCCTTATGCGACTGCTAACCTCTTTAGAGATGTGTGCCATATCGTAAATTGCGCGACGTCGGGCAGAGGCAGAATTTACAGCCCTTCGCATGTGTGCAAACCACGAACTCCCCTGTATGACAGTATTCTCAATATCTAGGGGCGTGGATGGCGGGACCAAAATATTGAGGATAATGAGTAGAACCTCAGCTGGTAGGGATGGAAAGTTTGTAATATCGTGGGCTTTCGCAAGTTTACCGGAGTCCGAGGGTGTTGGAAATGGTTCGAAAACGGCCTCCATGACTGGCTAGAATATGGCCGACAAATGTGTCTGGTACTAAAAGTAGAGCAGCCGACAAAGAAGCCTATCAAAATCCAAATCAGCTATAGGATGTTTGTCAGAATACCATAAATTGCGAGCATACCAGCAGTTTCCTTACGGTTATGTTGAATAAAGATAGTTCTGAATGCTAATCGCCATTGTCTGAATATACCCAAGAATGTGGCTTCACAGGTAGTAGAGAATACTGGAGAATCGTAAGTGGACTGTCTTTGGGAAATATTGTTGATTTGATCGTTTGCCCGGGGAACTTTCAGCTTCCAGGTTTGACTCAACCATTGAAGTTGACGTAACGCTTGAATTGTTGAGCTTGAAATGACCAAAGAGGAAGTGACGACCCAGACCTGAAAACTACCTGCCTGTCACCTCTCATATCTGCGATGCACGAAGTAGGTCAACCATGCCTAGAAATTATCTCGTCGTATATGGAATTTCTGACTCGTCTAATTTGGTATGTTCTTAGGCTCTGCACTGTGTTCAGCAACTCGTGTTGTTGAAATCTTGTGTTGGGAGAAATGAGATGATTCGAAATAGCTAGTGTTGTCCCTACAACAACTTCGATATTTCATTTAGCGAAGGTCAACCATGCAAAATGCTTAATCTAGTGACAAGAGAAATACAAACAGAGGTGACATACCTAGACATGTTCTATGAATAAGATTCAACCTGCACAGTCACCTCCACCGCATCGGCCAGCATGCTCAGATCTCTTGATGACCTGTAGCAGATAGGAAGCAACTCGACCTCTCCACTCGACTTCCCAAACCCAACAACTACCACCTTCCGCAGACTTAGCATTTTCCAACGTTTACTCTCCAACAGCGAGGTAAGCCACGTAAATTCCCTTTCCAAGAAAAAGAGATATTCTCTCTGATCATATAATACTCTTAAATCCTCCATATTTGGTGGCAGACGAGTGATTACCTCCTTCCTGATCCAACAGCATCCGTTTGGTAGAAGCATCGCTGCTATGACGAGAGTCTTGAGTGATTTAAACGCGGAGAAGTCTAACTTTTCAACAAAAGTTATCCAGTCAGGGACCTTATTAGTGTTCGCAATCGTTACGACCAGACTTCTGAGGCTGTCTTTATGAATCCACAGGGCGGAGGTCAAAGATGACAAATCATAATTTAGAAATGCTGTTCAATCGCCACTCCCTCGAGCAGGGAAATCCACCTCATATTTGAACGTCTTCATTTTCTTTGGTAGGGACAGTAGTCGCGTCAATTTATGTCGGTCGAGACCACAATTCAACAATTGTAGATTCTCGACGCTTGAGAATTGGCTGTGCCCGAACTTGAAACATCCTCTCGATACCCAATCGACAGGGCTGTCCAAAATCAGGGTAGTGATCCGAGGGAGCCAAAAAGCTCGAGGATATCTTCAACGAGCTCACACAGCGTTGCTACGGTATTGATTTTGTATTTGAGAACAGGGTATGCGTCGACGGTGGCCTGGAATAATATTTGTCGCCTGTTCTTACGTCCACTGATGCGTTGTGATGATAGGAAGATCGCCGGAGAAGCGTATAGTCTGGGCGGGATGAGATTTCGAAATCTTTTGCAAACAAAGATCAGGGAATAGAGATATTTGTTTCGACTGTGTGCATTGTCCAATACCAAACGTGTGTCGTCAGCCCAAAATGATGTTCTGATAGTATCAACGTCCAAACATTGAAGTGCAGGTGCCGAGAAGACATCCTCGATGATCATATACAAAAACTCATCTGGCAGCGAAAGAAGATTTGACATTGTCTTTCTTTTTTCGAACGTTCGAATGTAAGCTTTGCAGAGTACGGATCTCTTCCAACTTGTGAAACAAGCATAAATAAGTCTTCGAAACGATGACAACGACTTCTGTTCGTAGCCAGTCGATTATCGGTGAAAGTGTATCTTTGCTCGCGGTAGCCGATACAAGTAGTAGTCGATGGTCGAACCCTGATATTTTCCAACAAAATTGACGCAGTGTCACATATTTCTTGATATGTATTGACAAAATATCTTGTATTTCGTCTACCATTCTCAGTAAATGAAAGAATTGCCGACTCGTTGTACTGGATTAAAGTAAAATGCTATGCGAGGTTACTACGACTCACATACCACACCCCAAGCTTTAGGAATTCACTATGCAACAAGAAAACACCTACAATACGAATTAGCAAGCGTTCAGTGTTCTTTTCAATGCAACTTGATCATGAACACAGATCTTGCTTGGCGATTGTCTCTCTGGACTTCCAAAAAGGACATACCGCTGTGTTAAAACCACTCAACAGAACAAGCGGAACGTCATGCGTTCGTCGTAGTTCAGGCGACCGACGAATTTACACACGCGCGGAGTACCAGTAGTTCAACAAATGTTGTGTATGGATGTCGGTGTAGTTGCATTTCCCGGATTCGATGGATGTTGACGATGGATTGAACATGAAGCTCCATGGATTTATGGAATCGAGGTTCAAGTTTTGGTCATGTGAAGCCGTAAATACCCACAGTATGAGCCGGACTCGCGGTGGACGATCTAATTACCACTCGCAACGCGATAGTTACCTATCGAAGTTGACAGAATGCCGTATTTTTCGTCACTTTTTGGGTAAACAAGACTTTATTTACTTAAACGTCAGATCAGCCGAAACGTGACATTTACTCGATCAATTGACTAAATATCGGTAATTTTGACTTAATCCACTGAATATTGTGTTTCGCCAGCCAGGCATTTGCTTCGTTAAAAGCGAATAAATCAAATCAATTTAGACAGTCATCACTTTTCGTCTTAATGGAATCGGAAACAAGAGCTACAAATGTTTATTTTTTGAGAATAATAGACCGAATAAACAACATTTTGATAACTTGACCGGGTCGTTGTCACCTTTCAACTACTAAGTATTCTCTATGAATCACCGATGAAGCCAAATTAAAACAGGCTATTTACAAGTTTCGTCCGGACAGTTTTCGATATAAATTTTAATATTTACCTCCTCAAGACAGTAGAATAAAGCTTTGCATCTCTTCCCAATTAGCGTACAACCAGACGATCAAAACCAGAAGGAAATTTTTTAATAATTCGTTACTTCATTAATTATCTATCACTCCCTAATACCCAGCACTCTTCGCAATCTCACTCTGCCAATTCTTCGCACGTTCAAACCCATTCGAAAATGTGCGGAAATCCATCATCGCCTGCCGAACTTCGTTATCTGAATTCAGCACAAACGGTCCGTATTGGACTATTTTCTGATCGAGAGGTAGACCTGCTACGAGAACTAGAAGAGAAGATATTGGTTAGCATGTGTGATTTTTGTAGGTGGGGTCAGCTGTGGAGAGGAATGCAAGATGTCGGCACTAGCTCGAAAAGTGGATCATGTGAGGTATATATATTCAAAATGGCGGAAGTGTTCCAACGAATCAGCTTGGGTGGTTTAGTGGTAAAATCGATGCTTGCCAATGGATACAGTTAACTGTTATTCATGATTGCATTGGCCCCGTGTTCGATTCACGGTCCAAGCATTTCTTTTTGATTTTTGCTGTTTTGGTGGACGTTATTTTTTTTTAAAAGGGGATGTTTCCACTTGGAAGCATCCCGAATTTTGTACGATTTCCCAACTGTAAGAAAATCAAAGAAACGATGATCAACTGTAAGTCGGTCAAGGAATCGCTGGTCAGGATCATATTTACTCTTCTTCCGAAGGGCATTTTCTCCAGGCCATTCTCAAGAAAAAAGCTGTACCACTTGAAACAACTTTCGAATTTGTATTCGCAAGCGTGTGATCGCTTTTCGATATGGAGAATTGGAAATCGGGAGAAACGCCCGCTTTTTGATGAAGAAAAGGGGGTTCGTTCCCGTGGTAGCGTAGCGAGCAATGTAAATAAATATTGGACTTACTAAAATGGCCATTCTCTTTGGCGCTCGCGTCAACTCCAGCAACAATTTCATCTCCTGTTTGTTCAAATACGACATTGTGATTTGGTCCAATTGCAGTTTTATCTTCGCCAACTCCGAAGTTCGTGCTGCCTTTCATGTTGTATGCGAAAGCGTTCCACCCCTGAGGCAACGCTTGAGTAATATTTCCACCAGGTTGGATCTCAATGTCGAATATCCATACGGGAGTATATGCCAGGTCCTTTACGCTATCAATTCCATGGCTTTGCCCACTGATAACCTTGATCTTGACCTTCCCATCGTCAATATCAACCGTAGGGATTTCTGCAGCCTTCAGATCGCGGTAGCGAGGCTCACACATCTTCAGCTCCTTTGGCAGATCAACCCATAATTGAAATCCCTTGATCGCTTTTGAGCTAAGACTGGGTATCTCTGCGTGCATTATGCCCCGTCCTGCCGTCATGAACTGCAAGTCCCCCGTCTCGATTCTCCCTTTGTTTCCGGCGAAATCTTCATGGTCGATCGCTCCTTCCATTAAATAGGTGATCGTCTCTTGCCCCCGATGCGGATGATCTGGGAATCCAGCTCCTGGAGCGCTGTTAAAGAAGTCTAGCATTATAAAAGGCGTGAGGTTGCGAAGTTGGGGCGTTCCAATCGACCTCCTAACACGGACGCCTGCGCCTTCAAGCACCTCGGTTGCGAGAATGGCTTTGCGGATGGTCCGTGCGACCGTCATGTTTGCGGGTATGGTATATTGGTTTAGAAATCGAAGAGGAAGGAAGGGGAGGCCTTCGAAGTAGGTGTAGGAGGGGTTGATTAACTTCGCTAAGTGGAGGAGTTGGGTTTTGATCGCTTCTCGGGAGGTTATCGATAGGATTGCTATGGCAATTGAGATCATGAATAGAGAGACCCTCATCGGAAAGGCATAATACTTGTAGGAAAAGTGTAGGTAAGGAACGTGGTGGACATAGGAAGGTTGCCGAGTTGGTTATCAAGCATTGAAATCACCCCTCCAGCCTCCTGATAAATCGCTTACAAGCGATTCCGTAAGCGACGCTAATACCCCTATTGCTGAACAATTGATTTCGCAACCTCGCTTTTTGCTACTGAGAGTAATATTAGATTGCCAAAAAAACCAAAACGGACAACAGCATCTAAATTATTTTTTGGGGGTTTTGGTATCGGACTGGGCTTCGAAGAAACTAACAATAATGAATGGTAGACTTGGGCGCCTCCCTCGAACGGCAACTTAGTCCTGTTTAGTCATTTAATTTGACAAAATATTGCACATTCTGTCTATCACTTTGGCACAATATCATTCATTTCGTCAATTATTTTGGGCAACCAACCTTGTTGAGCGCAATCAAATAATTATGGGTTAGGTGAATACCAGCGCCCGACGCTTGCACCGTCCGGGCGCTATATCGGAGTGGCTAAACTCCCTCGGAGGCACAAACATCTCCATTCCGAGGTCTCGTCCACAAGCGTTGATTCCGAGATCTACCAATCCAACTCCCGCTCTACCTATTACCAATCCATCAATTCAACTTCTTTGAAATTCTTTTCTAACTGTAGCACCTGGATTAAACTCGACTACGAGAGCCAGCGATAGTAATTCTGCAGCAATCCCGATCTGCTCAGAGTGGCTCATGTGGTATTAAAAGGAGAGTTTCTGAGAGTAAGAAATTCGCTCCATTCATGCGGTTTGATGAAAACTAAAGTCGCGTTTAGATTCTACTTTCTATATCAACCACACTAGACAAAACTTTCGTTTCGCCGCATATTGTCTCCAATCCAAATGGCCAATCTCCTTTCGTTACCAGATGAAATTCTGTTAATGATAATTATGGAACATGTCGTCCCATCATCCCTCCTTATAGATCTTAACGGTCTGAAGAGCTCGTATTGGATTTCTCTCACCCGCTTCATTGCCCTTGATTCCTTCGAACGATGTAACTTACTTCTCCATTTAACGCAAGTTTGCAAAAGATTTCACAGTCTTCTGCGATGTGAAATGTACAGATTCCCAAGCCTGCTACCAAATCCCGACCGCATACCGGGGAAGATGCGACTAGGGAGCTTACCACCAGTGCTGGAAGCCCAGGCATTCCTTAAGCACTTCGTACGAGCTGTAGCCACTCCTTGTGAGCGCGCAGAAGAAATAATTGAGCTCTTCTCACTTCCAAATATTAATGCAATCATCCTGGAAGATATCTGGGATCAGACAGACGAAGATGTCGAAGATGAGGCAATCGTAGGGAAATTAGATATTAAGCACAGGCACACTTCTAGCGTTGAGAGTCTACATCTTCTCGGATGCTGCATAAGTAACTTCGTATTGGAAGTTTTGCTTTCCCTACCTAAGCAATTGAAAAGCTTCAAATTCGACATGGTTTTTCTCCCAGAGAAGACTCCAAAAAACATTGACGATGAAGACGATAATGGTTATGACTTGGACTTTTTACCCATAGCGCTGGACGATCATGTCGACAGCCTGGAAAGTCTCGTCTTGACAGCAAAAACGAGAACGTTTACTATTGAGCACTACTTTACTGGGCCCCTAGATCTGTCCGACTTCAAAAAGATAAAGACCCTTCTTATCGGTTACATATTCCTCCCCGAGATCGCATGGAGCGTAGTTGATAAAGACTTTTACCTTCGCCTTCCGCTAAACATTGAGGAACTACGGGTCTATTATGGTGGCGATGAGTATTACGATTTCGTCGATCGGGAGAGGAATTGGATGATAAGTATCTTGGAAAAGAAGGAAGAGAGATTTCCTAATTTGCGTTTGGTGATGGCTTCTGGCACCGATAGACCTGAAACTACTGAATCCGAGTCTGATGACGCTGATGCTGATGATCGGTCTTTCGAGCTATCAAAGGAATTGGCCATTTTGGCCCAGGAATTGGGCGTGGAGGTGGAAATCGAGATACGGTGAACAGAAAGTTCAAAAATATACTACAACAGGCTTTATCTAATCATGGAGCGTGCCTACAGCACCCTCTGTATGTTGAGCCACTGTTCATTCTTTAATGCGATCAACTAAGTGCAATTATCGCTAACCATAGCGCGAACAGGCTGTTAGTTGTTTTATGATGTACAAAACGTTTCATCTAATTTCCTTCATTAGTGAAGTCTAGGATATTACCTCAACGTACTTGGATAAATCAATGACTACTCATCTTAACTTCTCTAAAAAAAACATTTTGTTCACTCACATCAATTGACGAAATACCAATATCGCGTCAACAGTATTGAGTAATTACAATGTTTCTACGGCAGGCTCCCCAAGATAGATTGCCAGAATAGGAAGTCTGTGAAACTATGTAAGATTTCTATGTTCTATATGGAACCTCTATATACAAATATACTACATCTATAATACATCTAGACACTAGGTAATTTTACAATCCTCGACCACCACTTCTATACTCTAACGTTTAGTCCTGTACTCCTGTTTCGTTTCCTTGAATTCCTCGGATCTTCAACATATCCTTGCGTCTCGTATCGACTCGGCCACCCGGAATCGTGCCATATTTCGTCTGTATCCGATCGCTCATTCACACGACCATTTCAATCTCCCACGATTCAGATCCATCATCTCACTTTCGCAAAATCCCACGTAAACTCCCCCCTCCTCTCTCCATCCCCCTCCTCCTCCCGTCCTCTAACCAACACCGGCTCCGGCACAAGCACGCCCCTCCGTCCCACAACCTCCTCACTAATCTGCACCGTCGTACTCATATGAATCCCATTCCCACCATCCCCCAAAACAGTCAACTGATTCCACCCCTTCTCCCCACCCATCTCGACATCAACCTCCATGCCCTCCAAACTCGAAAGATCCTCACTACTATCCCCCTTCCCCTGAATCGTAGTCGTCACCCTCGGTTTATCATCGCTCTCCGAATCATTAATACGAATCCCCTTCCCCTTCAACCCAGCCGACGCTCTACGCGTCAGCCGCGAGTTAAGCGCATACATATTCTCCTTCGACGACGATTTCTGGCCCGGCGTGAAGCGTTTTAACGCTGGTATGTGTTCCCGCACAAGCGGCCAGATGAGCGGGATATTGCTCACGTAAATCGCGACTGAGGCTTCGCGGGTATACCAGAGCATGTAACTCGGATCCCAGATATCCGTTAGATTAAACACCTTTGTGAGGACCGCGGCGATGATGACGAATGTGCCCATGGAGAACACGACCATGAGGACGGTCTTTTGGCGCCAGGGCACGCTGAGACGCGTTATGAGTGGGAGAGGGATGAACAGCATCAGGATGTCGGAGGTGATGTTGAAGGAGCCTTGGATTATGGCGTAGTGTTCTAAGGTTGCACATTGAGGGCTGGGAGGTGGCATGGCCCAGTATCCGGAGAAGGGTCGACAGGTTGAGAAGAATGCTATTTCGGTGCCCAGCCAGCCGAGGAAAACGTAGATCGCGAGGTGGGTTACGAGGCGTTGGGTTGCGAGGTTGAGGGTTAGACGGGTGTACATGACGAGGACGCAGGCTTTGGCGGTGTATATGACGTTGAGCATGGCCTGGAATTGACCTGTTAGCTACGGATCGAGGCTTGAGAAGGTTGGCTTACCTGTTCAGAAACTACAACAATCTTTGACCCGTGAATACGATCTTGGATGTTCTGTGGTGTAAAGCTTTCGAAGTCTTCAGGTGGGTAAAGGTTGCTTCCACCGCCTCCACAAATAACATTGAGGCATACTATCAAAATAGTGTAGAAGCACTAGAAATCTGGCATTAGCAGAGGCATCCTAGCCTGAGTCGATCGTAGAATGACTTACACCTGCCAAAACCATCCCATAATCATCCAACTGCAAACTCTTGAAGCCAAGTCGATGTATCCTCGCATATCTACAACATATCAGCATGTGGGTTTCTCAAAAACAACGAGGAGCTTACATTCTAAGGAGTATCAAAAACATTCCCACACCATACATACTCCACGATTGTACCGCAAGCGTACGTACAAATCCTGGATCAAAGTCCCCCATATCGCCAACCTTTCTCTCCAAAATCCAAAACTATAAACAAACGAAAACAGAAACCCACCTCTAAACAGACGACAGAAGAACTCAAAAACCCTACGCCAAGAAAAAAATCCCTCAAGACCGCGAAAAACACCAGGCCATATATGCTCGAGATTCACCAACTTTTCTTTTGACTCGATACGGAAACTCCTACATCCTCCCGTATAGAACAAACCGGAGACACGCGAATAACACTCGCAGCAATTGCCACTTTCCATGCCGGTACCTAGGTAGTATTTTAAGGGGTAAGATAAGGTTGCATACCACAAACGGCCTGCAACCCTACATTTCTTCGCGCACCTGATATATCTGAATAGCCCCTGGCATATATACCGGCCTCCTAATACCCTATCAAGCCTTCCACGGAGCGCAAGATACAAACGCAAAAGCAACATTTCACCAGCCATATGAACTGATTATCATCTCGGCTCTCGGCGAAGAAGAAGGAAAGTGGACGAGCGCATGCCGCGTGGGGTATTGGGAATTAATGATTCTTGAAACACACGTGTGACGCTGCTCATTGTCTGCTTGTAGTAGGTGGGATATCTAAATTTTGTACGCGTCGAATGCGTGTAAAAAGCAAAAAGTAGGGGCTTATCAGTTGTGTGCGGGATGAAAGGGGAAGCGGCAGGGGTATGGCAAAACCACCATACTCACAATTTTCTACTCACTGTCACAACAGTGGTGTTTTAAGTGATCTTGTAGGAATCAAATCTTACTCTCGATATTATACACCTATAAAGCCTTGTGTCGATCAAATATTGGCAAAAAACACATCTTTACGACGTTAACAAGTCTAACTAAACCGACCCAGTTTTAAGTAGATCCTTATCAACCTACTAGCTGTGTAGCCCTAGTCAAAAGCTCGTGTTGCACCCTGTTGTGATAGTGAGTAGAAAATGTGAGTAGATGAACAAAGAACTTCGTACGTAGAATAGAAACCCTAGATCACATACAACATTGAACAAACAAAACCTCATACCGTCAGCAATCATCCCTCCGAATCAGACGCTCCCTCACCATTACCGAGGAACTAAAAATCGCCATCCAACGACAGCATACAGCACCAAGAATCCAATACCAAAAATCTAAGTCGAATCTTCTCCTATAAACTCAAGTAAGAAGTACAAACGCCCTAAACATCATATTGGCATCACCATTTTCTCGACCTAGAGATCCGGAGAGTATCAAACTATAACGATTTGGAAATGTATCTACTGAGATCGGCGTAGTTGACTTAATTTAACTAAGGCTTTATCGCAGCAACGATCTTTTTCAGCGAACCGATAGAACAAATCCATCACATATCCTCACTCTCCTTGAGTAAATACCACTTATCTTATCTCTTGCCGAATCTCGAGAAAGAAAGAAAAACAGACTTTCATTTATTCCCAAAACACAAAGAATTCATAATTCCAACTATACCATTCCTAGAAGAAGACTCTGAACCTATAATTTACTGAGAATACAACTAAGTAGCGAAATAACCTACGTTCTATGATTCGATCGAAGAGACGTCACTGGTGCTCTTTCACAGACACATGGCGACAAGGACTAGACTAGTAAAGGTTACGATTTTAAAATAAAAATAGATATTAGAGTACTATGATCGATGATAAATAAATATTATAACAATTACTATATTACTTTTAGTCCCTATATATATATACAACCCCCCACCTCTATTAAAGAGGCCCCATGTCCCCAATCCCCTATCCCGTAACCCCCATCCCAACCCAAAATATACACAGATCCATCCACACCCGGACAGATCCAAAACCCCCAACGCCGTTATTCATGACCATTATCTCATAACATCATATACACATACACATAACCGACCATGTCCAGGTTAAACGTATAAGAGACCCCGCTCTCTTCCCCCTTAACCCCATGTCTAAAGCCCCGAGCCCAATCCCAACAAAGAAAATGAAAAAAGATGTACATAATATATATACATTCGAAGAATAAGAATGGTGAGAAAAAGAAAAATATGGAAAAGATGTCATGAGAGCTTAAAACTCTGAATATGAAACTCTACCGTGTACATATCTCATAAACCGTCATGATTGCATGGAAGAAAAGAAGAAAAGAAAAAAGACAGATGATCAAGTGATCAAGTGTAAGAAGAAGACAACCAAGATCAAAGCAAAATGAGAAAGGAAAATACAAAAAGCTTCTTCAAAAATGTTCAGAAGCTAGAAGAAGAATAAGAAGAGTACACCGCTTCATCATATCCCTGAGGGATAGGATGTTCAAAGAAATTATTCAAAGCCATCGCGTCATTCCCGAATTGGGGAACGACATTTGAGTTCGACAGAGAATATTGTTGAAAGTGATTTTGACCGTATATTGGCGAGGTGCCGACATTTGAATCGTGAGGGCTGAGGTCGAGGTTCATCTCGTTAAAGGCGTCGGTGTTGGTGGAGGTGGGAAGGGTGATGTCGGACATGTATGGGTAGTTGTAGTTCGATGTGCTGGCGACAGGTTGAGAAGGGCTGCTGTATTCGTCATATTGGCCGTCGGGGTTCTCTTCGTCATCTGATTCAGCCGCGTCTTCTTCTGGATATAGAGAAAAATCCGGTACAGCTTCCTCAACCTCTTTCATCCAATGCTTAAGCTCAGACATAGGAGGCCAATCACCACCACCCTTTCCACCACGCTTCTCACCATCATCAACCTTGCTATTCTTGCCACGACCCTTGGCCTTTGGCTTGAAATGTGTGCGACGAAGATGTGCGGCGGCATTATAATATGCTCCGTATTTCTTTCTCTGTTGACCACATGCCTTGCATTTTGACAAAGGCAATTCAGGTTTGGGATGCCCATTACCCGAAGGCTCGATGCAAACCCATTTCTTGACCATAGATTTATGCTCACGATCTTGATGTCTTCTCAATTCATGCTCGCCACGAAATCCCTCAGGATGACTTTCACACTGCTTGCAATATACTCGATCATGTTTTGGGCGTTGATAGCTTGGCTTGGCATGAAGAGCCATCTTGTTGTCTGACAACACGTTCTTTGACTCGATTCGTATCGATCGTGATGAGTTTTCACGAGACATGACTGTCTCTACACTTCCACCTTTTGGTTGAAGTGGTCGCGCCTCAGCAGCTGCAATAGCATTTTGCAGGCGCTGCTTACTTCGAGAAGCGGAAGATGAAGTCGACGAAGTACTTTCGTTCGACTGGGTTTTCTCCATCTTCTCACCAAGATAAACTGAGGGAAAGGTATCTGCAGAAGAAAAAGAATGTGAAAAAGAATCATGACTGACACCACCAGCCCCAAGTAAGATTTGGTTCTGCTCTTCGCTCGACGAATAGCGGTTGCAACGATTGACAGATGTAAGAGAAACTTGATCATACAAAAATTGATCAGCATTGACATCAGAGGAATAAGAAGTATTCGAATTGAGATGCATCATGGGGAAACTTTCGAGCACACGCTCATTGCACAGACTGTTTTCTCGACTCATACTTGCAAGGGTTGTACCCGTCGTGAGAGAGTCGGTGGTTGGTGTGGTCGGTGTTGCGATGTTGAATGAGTTGCTGGCATGATGACTGCCGAGTGTTGCTGATGAATGTGTCGAGAATGGTGGAGAGACTGCGAGCGTTGGCGTGCCTATTATTCTCGTAATGTAGTCGTTAGGACTCTCACCCAGAGGCCCGAGATCTAACTCGGGTACCTGCGGAAGCTCGTGACGTTGCGATACCGATCGTTGGAGCCCCTGAGGTTGATGGCTGAGGGTGTAGGTGCTGTTGTCCATCCAGGTGTCCATAGAGTTGTCATCGCGGGGTTGCTCGGACCGGAATGGACGAGGCATCGTGTTGCCGTTTTGGCTGAACGGGGTGTTACCGCTTCGCGCAGACGTGTTTCCTCTCGAGTTCTTTCTGGCCATCGAGGTTGACGATAGGGACCGTTGGGAGAGGGCTCTTGCTCGCTGGGATGGGGCTTGGTCCTGTTGTCATTAGAACCGGTTCAGGGATGGGGAGGAATGGGACCAAAGGAGGGTAAGGAGGGTTGTCCTACAGAGAGTTGTCTCGCCATGGTAGGCCCAGCACTGCGCGATACATTTACATTTCGCTGGAGGTGGTTCTTGTTTATCGGGGTCCGCTGGTGTTGCAGGTAGGAAGGGGAGGGAGCACTGGTCGACACCTGTGATTGTTGTTGGAGGGCAGATATCTGGGCCTGGAGGTCGGCATTCTGAGCAGTGATCTCGGCTTGTCGTTCGAGTAGAAGTTGTAACTGGCGGTCCTTGTCGAGAGATGTGTTGATAGTAAGACCGTTGGACATCTTAGGCAGCTTTGCTTGAAGATGTTTATGAAGGTTAGAAGGATTGCTGTTTGAGTTGCCTGAGTGATGCTTCGAGCTTCGATGCTTCGTCGGTGTTGAAGCTTTGACGATCTGCAGCCTTGCCTCTGATCAGCAAGAGTTCACCAGCATGCAGAGGGTAGGATTGACCAGCGCGCTGATCAGGTATGAACAAAAGGAAACTTACCTATGGAGTGCTGAGCTGCACAAAGAAGTGAAGATGATGATGGTTCGCACTGGGTGATGTTTGAAGTGGTAGTGATGAGCGGTAGTCCTTGCAGATTGCAAAAACAGGGCGACAGACGACGGATGGATAATGAGGAATTGAGGAATGCCTCAAACTAAGTATTCGTCGATTATCGGGCTCCAGAATGGGGCTCTGTTTGGGTCTCAATGGCGATCAGCTGGGAGGGAGCTTGGAAAGGCGTCGTGGGAGGGCAAGGAGAGCTTCCGGTTGGGTCTGTAGATGACGGCCAGAGGGGTTGTGGGGATGTACCAGACGAGTTATTGTGCGAGCTGCATGGTGGGTAGTCCTGCGCAGTCGGTATCGGGGGTTGAGGTTGATGGGGAGGAGCACGAGTGGGTGTGGTGACGGGTGAGTTTGTTTGCAGATGCAGATGGTGGTGGGGGAAGGGATTGGATGGAGGCTGGTCGCAAAGCCGGCAGCGGTCTGAGACTGGTCGATGTGGTCTATCGGAGGAAGCTTTCTAGATTTCGAAGCACAAGATGCTGTTGAAAGGGGAAAAGCGGCATACGAAGGAGGCATGACATCTGCGAACCTTGCATGGATCTGATGTAGCTTTGACGACGTAAGAGCTAAGAGTGATACTCGTACGGCTGAGGTAGAACCGATCTCACATTATCCCGCAGGAATGATGCTTGGGTTGACTCTTTAGTCGAGGAGTAGATTCTAGTTCCATCCTCCCGCCTCTCCCGATGAGACTAAACACCCAGTTCCAGCGGTCAGCAAGGCACGCAAAGAGCACGTTTCCGTCCCAAAAGCACTCTACTCCAATGCCTATCATGGCCGCAATTAGCTCAGGCAATCACCGCATCTCTCCTGGCATCTTTCCCCCTCGCCCACACAAGCCGGGCGAACATCTCCAGTCAACAAACAGCCATCGATCAATCAAGACCTCCCAACCGCCAGCCTGCCGCAAAGTATAAAAGCGAGTCCATACGAGACGCACCCGGATGACCAGGCACAACAGCGGCAGCGTCGCTTTCATCGAAATCGAAACCTTCGTGTTGCTCTCCGGTCGGGCGTGCAATCACAGTCGTGGCATTCGGTGAGGCGGTGTCTTTTGCCTAGTCCGCCTCACTTTGCGCCCGCAAAACCATTGGCATATCAACCCTACAGATTCGCAAAAGAAGACCAAGGAAAAGTAGTGTCTGCGTTCCCTTCACAGCCAACCGCAACGATGGACGGGGGAGGATGTCCACACTGATTCGCTGCCCCGACGCTGAGTGACAACTCCAGTGCATGGACATGGGCAAATGAGAGGGGTGGAATTCCAGTCCTTTTTTGCGTGCGACGGGGAGAGACATGCGACACGTTGGCATCGTTGAGTGGAAAGTGGTTCGCATCTTCAGACAACCTTTCGTATTGCTCGGCGAGACAAGATTCCATCGCATCGACATCGGCGCACATCTCACTGGATGAAGCGGTTCCCAAGTTGGGTTGCTTGGGTCGTCACACACCTTTGACTGATGGCTGGTTTCCCGCACCGGCTTTATTCTCCTGGTCCATCTCTAGCTTCCTTTTCTTTTCCAGGCGTTTTTCGACGTGCATGTCGTCGGGCGATGCTCGTGGTCCGCATGTATGAGAGATATTATTCGCACTGTTCCTCCCCACGCTTGTCAGACGGTGGAAGATTGGATACGATGACCGTACCCTACATATACCTTTCGATTCAGAGTTGTGCAACCGATGAGAAAGCCTAGACCTTTCATCAAGGTGGTGTCACTGATCCGAATGCCAATCATTTTTCTGATGCCCAACGCTTCGCTGGCAGAAGGACATTGCTCCGCTTGATGGACTGAGACCCAATTACTTTTTAGTTTCACCGAATGCCTAGGCTGGAATCAAGAAGGTGATGCTCACATGCACGTTTCTATCGAGATTATGTCGAGATTATGTTGAGATCGATGATGAGATTAGTTTGGAGGTCTTCGGCAATTCAAGACAAGTCTAGACGCTGGGATTCAGGACATTTTGATATCGAGGTGAGTCACGTGACTATTACACCTGCTATCGTTCCTCATGGTCATCTGAGCAAGCTTGACAAGGTTCCTAATATCTATCTTACTAACAGGTCTCAATATTTGAAGAGATCTCGAGTAAGATTCGAGATATTAAACTGTTAAAGTACTTGACAACGCAAAGCAGGTAAGGACAGACTCTGATGTATCAGAGGATATACATCACGTGGTTACACCTAACATCAATGCTCCTCTATGTCTGATCAGTAATACCAGATCATCTTCCCCCCCTTCTTGTTCAACGAATCCAACATCTCTGTTAGGAATTCGGGTTATGAACAAGTAAACATTACGACAACCGACCACGATTTAACAAGCCTAACTTGTCTGCTCTTAAAACATTACCACTCCACGTTGAACGATAAGTAGAATCCCGAAAATCAAATACACAATATAAAATCACTTGTTTAACTGCCCAAATACGTCTAAGTCAATCACGGGTTCCAGGTACACGTGCCTGCCAACTGAAAGTTTGTATTTCCAAACCTCAAGCTATTAAAAAAAAGCCATATGCCTACACCAGCTGTCTTACTCTCATAAGTGGATACCAAATGAAAATCATCAGACCCTCTTTCCCTTACAAAACCAAATACCTCCGAATAACACGAATTTTACCCTACCTATGCTATTGTGTACACTGTTCAGCTATTCAATATCGCATTCATGCAGCGCATCTTGTTCTAAATAGGCGAGTTACATGCCCAGGCGGAGCCATAGGTGAGTGTACTGCAATTTTAGCGTAAAGAAGGACTGTCCTCTTTCCTCCTCTACTGTATTTACTCACATCAAACTTATTTCACAAAAACCTACCACTTCTATTCCCACTCATCCACTTACTCGCGCATCATGTCTGGCACTCGTCACTCGGCCGGCTCCCACTCGGCTCCCACAATCCCATCCCACTTCAGCAGGTTTTCAATCGGCATTCGTAGGTGTGGGAGCCGACACATGTGGTATATCCGCGGTCTTAGTGTCGGTTTGTTACTCTCTCCCCCTGAATAGATGGTACTGTGGAGTTTTTGAACGAGTAAAAGTTGTCGGCTCGTATGGAGAGAGATGAGAAGTTGGCCTAAGTTGCATTTTTGGAAGAGTGTACGGTTGAGCCTGCACAAGCTAGAAGGAGGGGGCGAGTTGAAGTGAGTGAGTAGTTGACGTCAAAAAGGACGTGGAAAGCAAATGTATATAAGACTCGTTGGCCAAGACCTTTGATCACATTCATCAACCCAGTATTCCAGGAATTCAGTAACTTACTGTTCTCTGTACTCAATCTCAACCTTTCCATTCCCAGCATACTTGTCAAAATGTCGCAATCACGTTTCGCGCCTTTCACACCGAATGATTTCACCTACAAAACAGTGTCGCAGACACCTTTGCAGGCAACTGTTCTTGTACCAAAAAGGATTATAGAAGGTGGAAAATCGGCAAAGAAATGTCCGGTATTAGTACATTTCCACGGTGGAGCATTGGTTGTTGGAGATCGGATGTTCGAGGATTGGTTTGCTATTTGGTATGTCCTGTCACTCAGAAAGGTGTAAGTTCGTATAGGAATCGCGCTGATCAGATTAACAGGCTGTTACGCTTTGCCGAGGAACAAGGTGCGATTATCGTAACTCCGGATTATAGACTCATGCCCGAAGCGAACGGGTCAGAGATTCTAGACGATGTCGAGGATTTCTGGAAATGGGTTCATGGTGGGTTAGCCGGATGTGTAAAGGGATTGGATTTGGGTGTTGAGGTTGATTTGGGGAGGATTGCTGTTTGTGGTGAAAGTGCTGGTATGTATACCTCTTGCGTTGGTTCTAAAGTAGAGGATTATGAAGCTGATGAGTTGGTCAGGTGGTTATCTATCTATCCTATCCGCAATGCTATTCCCGTTTGCGAAGATGAGAGTAGTGATATGCCAATATGGCGCTGTGGACTACGCACATTCTGTTTCCGTGAAGCATCTCGAACGGAAAGCTCCGATGGAAGAAAAAACAGTTGATGAATATATTGCTAGTCTCAAGCCTGGGGCAGTGAGAGTGTCTGATCCGTTTCCTGGGAGCGCGCCGTTGATGATGGGTGTCCTTCGGGAAGGGAAAAAGTTGGAGCTGTTGGGGAAGGATGAGAGGTTGTTTATCACTAAGGTTTTGGAGAAGGCGGGAAGCGTACAAGTGCCTCCGATTTGGTTTGTGCATGGAAGGGAAGATGATATGGTGAGTCTTTCGTCGACCGGTTTGGTGGAGAAGAATCACTGACGAGGATAGGTCCTGCTCGAGAATACTGTGGACTTTCATAAGAGGTTGAGGGAATTGTATCCTGATACGCCTGCTTTGTTGTCGATTAAGGATGGGGGTCATGGGTTTGATGTCGACATGACTGGGGAGGAGGAATGGATTAGAGAAGGTTGTGAATTTGTTAGGAAATTCTGGTGAACGCTGGTCCTCTGTCGGTAGTGGTAAGTTCTAGATGTGTGCATGCTATCGTGGAGCTGGACCGCGTAGAATAGAATAATGTTTCTTCGAATGAGAAATTTCCCTCTGATTAATGCCGGTAGCAACAGCGAAAGAATGCCAGAAATTAGAAATAAGCCCTCACTCCACGAGCAATTTCGATCTCATCAAACCGCTTTGAGCCAGCAGTCTTTCCTCTTGGGTAGGAGAGACTTCGCTATGATGACTCGAGTGTTGAAGCCGTGGGTCGGACTGAGGATCTTCAACCAAATGAGAATTGTTAACACATCTCATTCTTCCTTGAACCCCAGCAAGACAGCTGGTAAAAGAGAATCGCCATGTGTTTTAAGGATGGGGTGGAGCAAGTGTTTAACGCTTGCCCTGTTGGATAAATATTGTTCCGTACTTCAGCCACAGTGACCCGCATAAGGTGTTCCATCAGCCACATCTCGATAACGCGATGAGGACAGCTTGGAATCAACTTGCGACAAGTCAAGGGAAGTGACCATTCTTCCCATTCCATTTCAGCATTTCCAGTCCACATGGCAAAATGCATACATATATTTCAGCCTTACTGGCCGTAGCCCCAATAGCAATCGCAAGTCAAAATGTATTTAGTGTACACGATGACTTGCTGGCATTTCCTCAGGTTAGTAGATCTCGACATTTTGATACGCACCACTTACGGAGGATAGTACGAAGTGATCTTCTCAAAATCACTTATTTCAGATCAAGCTGCCAGTGCCATAGTTCAGCAAGCTGCTTCCGCAACTCACAACCCTCCGCAGGCTTCGAATACCGAGCTCGAATCACACACCAACATTGCGGATGGACCTACGGGAAAAGATGTAGCTGATCAATTATTCGATCCATCTAACGAAACTTACGAGCTCATGTACCTAAACGGCGAACAACATCTGTGTACAATTCCAATCGTCAATATCCCACCAAGAAATGAGACGTCCGAAGCAGAGGCAAAGTTGGCCGAGGCGAAAGAGATGGTCAGAGCTACGAACAGAGGTTGGGAGCTACTCCAGGACCTTGAAGGAAACTGTTTGTACTATGTTTCTGGGTGGTGGTCATATGCGTTCTGTTACAACTCAGAAATCACTCAGTTCCACGCCCTTCCCCCGCAAGCTGGAAAACCGCCATTACCGCCAGCACGAGACACAAATACCAAAGAATTCGTCCTAGGACGGGCGAAGAAATCCAATGAGAAGTCAGATAAGTCAGATGAATGGGGTAATGCGATCTCGACGAAATCGACTCGATCCGAATCCCCAAAGACCGATCTCCAAATGAAGGGTGACACAAGATACCTAGTGCAGAAGATGGAAGGAGGCACTACATGCGATTTAACTGGTAAACCACGCAAGATTGAAGTGCAATTCCATTGCAACCCACAGGTCAGCGATCGGATAGGTTACATCAAGGAAGTCACTACTTGTTCATATCTAATGGTTATTTATACACCACGTCTCTGTAATGATGTAGCCTTCATGCCTCCGAAAGATATCAAGGCAAACCTAATAGTTTGCCGCACCATTGTCCCGACTTCAGAAATCGAGGCACGAACCGAGGCCATATCTCAAGAAGCCGAACTCGCTACATCTCCCAAGAAAGAGAAGAGAACTATTACCGTTGGCGGCGTGGTTCTTGGAGGAGGAAAATGGATTACGAAAGGAAGTCCCAAAATGGCAATTCCCGCAAATTTCAATTCCGACAGTTTCGGAAAGCACATTGAGATTATTGGCAAAGCCAGAAGTAAGGCCGAAGGGGGTCAGGTGGAAATGTTTAGTGATGCGGAGTTGCAGGAGCTGGATCTTGATCCAGATATGGTTGAGCAGGTCAGGAAGCAGGTGGAGCAGCTAGCCAAGGAGAAGGGCTGGAAAATTGAGGTCGTGGATTCGCCGGGTGAGACTAGAGAAATTTTGGGGATTGTAGATGGAGATGAAGATGATGAGAAGGCGCCAAGTAAAGATAACGAGGAGAGCAGTGAGGGTAGCGAGGAAGTTTTTAAAGAGGAGTTATAAGCTTCTCATGTATATCCCTTTTTGATATGGAGTCGGGCGTAATATTATCTATGTATCACCGTTTGCCAGAAGCTTTTCGCCTTTATAAACTCCCTATACCCGTTGCCACTTAGATTGTTCTGATGGAAAGGTATATTGAGGTATGTATATATCACGTGCCATACTTACAAATTCCACTTCAAGTTCTTTCGACGTACAGCCTCACTCATCACAACCCAGACATCTCATCCACTACCATCTTATCACCTTATCACCAAACTCAACTTCCATGTCTTGACAAAATGAATATTAAACCTCCAGCTTTACAACCCCCAAACACATTCCCATTCTTCCAAAAACTCCCCACAGAACTCCGTCTCATGATCTGGAACCTCGTACCCACCCCCCGCCAACAAACCCTCACATGGACACCCACCCAACGTGTAAGTATTTAGTATCGATAGTTCAGAGCCTCAGTATAAAGCGGTATTCAGTATTCTCTAATACCACCACAGGGTCTCGGCGACCTCGCTCCCATGCCCCCTCCACCTCTCCTAAGCGTGAACACCGAATCCCGCACTCTCGCCCTAAAATACTATGAGCTCTGGAACATATGTCAACGCTCTAAGTCCTGTCGCCACCACAGCATGAGGTTTGAGACCACGCTCTATCCCTTCCCGCACGACGGGGGTGATGAAGCTTATGCAGGGCGCTGGCACCGGTATTTTACGAGGCTGGAGGGCTGTAGATGTTTTCCGTATGTCTGGTGGAAGGAAGACGAGTTCGTGGTGGTGGTTGGGGGAGAATGGTGGCGGGCATTTGTGTTAAGGGTTTGGAGGATGGGGGAGGGGGAGTGTGGGAGGGTGAGGCAGTTGAGGGTTAGGGGGTGGCCGAGGGCTGGAGGGGGGTTGGTGTTGCTTTTGAGGGGGTTTAGGGGGTTGGAAGGGTTGGTTGTTGAGGTTAGGAGGGAGTTGAGGGCGGAGGTTGAGAGGAGGACGGGAGTGAGATTGGTGATTGAGAAGTGTAAGAGGGTGGAGGGGTGGAGGGTTCCTAGGGTTGTGATTCAAGAGATTCCGTGACGTTAATCTGGCTGCATCATGTGTAAATCCGCTTTATCCAGCTGCGGTGTTATTAGTGAAATGAAGAATGAAACCTAATCTGTGAACAAATGAATGCTGACTGTCGCTAACAGGTATCAGAATCCTTTTCGTCTCCCGTCCAGCTAGCTGTACCTTTACCTCTGATCGGCTTGGAGTATAACAAACTGGGTATGGTATTCTTAGCGATGGAGGGAAAAAAGCTTTGAGTGAATTCCAATATTATAATTGTCGTGATTTATTGCTATCCCTCAAATCGCGCGGGGACGGTTTATAGTTACAGCTAGCTAGGGGAGAAAATATTGGCACTCGCTCGAAGTGCTTATCATGTAAGAATATTTCTACCGAACTACGACCATAGCATTCTCTTTAGACAAGGCGGATTGGGTTGCGGGAGATTTCTTAGTACGTAGTTATCATTTGTGTAAACATGACATTTCATAGCTTGATTTTCGACACGGCAAGGAACACTATCTTTCGTACAGGCCATTTAGTTATGACCTAATCTAGTGTGTAATTTCTTCACCTACGACTTGCCTCCTTTGTAAGCTAAATAAGAGCTAAATAAGAGCGCGAGTATTGTACTCACTTGCTACTAGTGAGCGCTAGGAATATAAGCGAGATTTAATGTTCAGCTTTAGCGAAACAGATACTATCAATGTGTAGTCTAACTATGATAGTATTACCTATGAATTCTCGTTTGAGATATTACCGAGTAGGCAGTTCACACGTAAGGTCAGAAGGAATCAGATTTCGGTCAAGTTCACATAACCCCGAGTGAAAAGACATTTTCGAGATGTGAAAACTTAGTCACTCTTCCTGCCTTGAGCCTGTTCATTATACTTTCACAGGCAGCTCGTTGTCGTTCTGCAAAACTCGCCTAGTTGTGCACTTCTATTTAGCTCTCACGCTCTGTGCTTCCTATTCCAAGACTTGCGCTTTCGTCAACAAATACCTCAAATTCAATTCTGACTTCAACTTCCAGTCAACTAAATCAAAAAGAACCTGCCAATTGATAAACATCACAATGGGTTCCCGAGGCTGTAGGAAACTTCGGAAGTTCGGAAAACTTCCCACAGAACTCCGTCTTCAAATCTGGAAACTGGCACTTCCCCTGTTCGGACGCGAGATACACTTTCTATGGGCTCCAGAGCGTCCTTTCGGCGCTGTACTTCCTTCTCTACAACCGTCGCTACTGAGTACATGTCGAGAATCTCGATTTCTAGCACTCCAATACTACGAACGATGGACGATTTGTACCGAGTCCCAAAACTGCGCAAACGCAAAAGAGCAGTAGCTCTCTGATCATTCAAACACTTCAGATCATCTACCCGATAGCCACTGCTTTCACCCATATGTCGATTTCTCGAGCGACATTCTCGTGATCCAAGGCCATCTTGTGGAGGCGGCTGGTCGTTGGTCCACACTACATATGCCACTCATCAAGCATGTAAAGATTTTCAATTGGAAGCAGACGCATATGATGTTCATCATTTCTACGCTACTCTACGGATTAGACACAGTAACTGTGGTAGTTGACACGGATGTCAGGGCGGAGGTTACTAGGAAGAAGTCGAAAAGGCGGTGGGAATGGAGAGCTTTTTGGGGTCTCAGAAACCTGTATAGGGGGCATGGAACGCCGGATCGGAAACGTCCTAAGGTGTTTCTTGTAAAGGCTTGAGGGATAATTATTGTGGAATTATATTTTTTAGGTATCTCAAACTACAAAAATCTAAACATCTTCATCCTTAAATTACACTTGACTATAGAACTAATATAGACACATTAGGACAAATCATATAGAATATATCGACAACTAGAAAGTCGACAGAGAAAACAAAAAGACACAAGGAATATGAAAAATATGAAATCCGTCTGTTCTAAATTGTCAATCTAATTAGGTACATGTTTATTCTCTATATAAATATAAATATATCATCTATCCAAGACAGTACGTTCCACAGACTCTCGGGTGAGATATCACTAAGTGTCTAGGTAAGTACCTAATTCTTGCATACGTCCAAGATGTCCGGTTCTAGCCAAATGTACATAGTCTAGAGTGAATCGTCACTTCTTCACCTTCCTATGAAACAACGAACAGGAGTTACTGTTTCTGGCTTATACTATTTCATGCCGACTTCACCGCTAGTTCGGTACTGTTTTGGAAAGGGTAAACAAGTGGGTGTCAGACTTTATTTAGTTAAAACGCACTGTTCCGAGACTCAACTTTCTATTATCAAAGCAACAAAGCGACAGAGCAACCAACAAATCCGCCAGACTCTAACCAGAATTTTTGCAGACATCCGAATCTAGCACAGCCTGATTTGATACATATCACAATGGATACAATCACTCAGCGTCCACAAGTCTGCTCCGAGTTCCACAAATTCAGAAAACTGCCCGTAGAACTCCGTTTCGAAATCTGGGAATTGGCTTTACGAGGGCTTACGCGCAACATAGAGTTTAATTGGCACCACAGTATGTGCGAAAGCCCTTTCGGGGTTCTTGATCGCCATCTTCCACCACCTCTGCTAAGTACATGCCACGAATCTCGAGTTTTAGCGCTAAAATACTATGAAAAATGGACAGTCGGTGCAGACGCTTTCGAGTGTCCACAATCACGAAGTCACTACGAGAAGTCGGACGACGCCAGCGAAAAGGTCTCCAAAGATGACATGTCCCCAGAGAATCAACCCGATTGTTCTTGTTTCCATCCTTATGTCAATTTTGACAGCGATACGTTCGTGCTCGAGGCACCCGAGGTGGAGATCGCTGGAGAAACCTGGTCTACGGAGTTTGACAAGGTCAAGCACGTGGAAATTCGGGAATGGGAGCATGAAGATATCCCATTGTACTTGGAGGAATGGTTTGCAGGGCTAAAACGGTCAACGTGATAATGAATCGGAGACTTGGAGAAGAGGTGTTTGGCACAGATTACCTTACTAGATGTGAAACAGCTCATCCATGGCTTGTTGAGGCTTTTGAGGACTTGTTCTACGTGAGGGTTTCGGTTGTGACTCCCGAGGACTTGGTTATGTTGGGAGAAGCAGAAAAAGAAAAAGAACAAAAACAAGATACATTTGATGATATATTTGATGATGTATTTGATGATTATTATGATGATGATGAGGATGGAGATTCGGTTGATTGTTATTAGTCACTACTAGTACAAACAGCATCCAAAGTACTAAGCCCGGAAAGCCTTATTGGACTAAACTAGCGACTTATATACAATATTCTACTCTAAAATCCAAAACCCTCTAACAAAAGTGCTTATATTTGAACTGAGCCCGTAATAGGCAAAAGGAACTCTTCCAGTACTGACTTAGGTCCCTAGTCCCGTGGTTTCGTGGTAATATTACAAGAATACTAGAAATTATTTATACCTCTCGCGTATAGCCCCAAAGACTGGTTTAACTAGTGCCTTTCCCGTCGTTAAAATGCGAGGGTAAAAGCCTTACTCTAGTTAGCCCTAGACAAGTGAAACTATTCTCAGGGATCGTGAGTACGCTTGGTCTCGAAAGACCACCCATAAATTTGAGATATCGACCGAAAACCGTCCAAAATTCAAAGACCCCTTTTCTAGCCCCCAAAACAACGTTACGCCTTTCTTTATCTGTTTCCTTATCCTAGGCTTTCTCGCCACGCACGCCTTTCCTGATTTTTGGTTATGGACGGTTAGAGAGATGGTCACTACTAAAATTTTCACACAATTAGAACAACCATCCCGACACAACCTTCAATGGTATCTCTCTCTTACCCTGTCAACCATCAGCATTATTTCCACCGCCTCTCTAACTATTATCCGCCGTTCCTCCCATAAGTCCCTCCCATACCCCTACCTCCCACATTTAGTCCTATACCTGCTGTCTCGCCCAATCGTGAAACTTAATCAAATACCTCCCCTCAACATCTTGTTCCCCATCTACACCTTCCACCACCACTTCACCTTCGCCAGCCGCCACGGGTTTCTGTTTCAACGGCATATCCACCATCTTCCTTAGCAAAGTCTTGATCCACCCCTCTCGTTTAGGTTTATAAAGACGAGAACCGAGCGCACTACGCTTCGTAGACTTCTTGATATGTAGGATGGTGAGGAGACGGTTGAAGAGCCAGGGTGTAACGACTGTGAGGCGGTATCGGACGTGTTTGCGGGTGGAAATGTCGAAGATTGTACGGAGTTCTTCCAGGGTTCTGGAAGTTTATTAGTTCATGGGATTGATGCACACGATTAGGGGAAGCACATACCTGCCCTTAGTTTCTGGGACGAAAAGGTAGCATAAGACAAGAGCTACGAGGTTAAGCGCCGCCTGTGGTGATTTGTATTAGTACGATCCATGATCATGCCCAGAAGAAGCATAAAGTAATAAATAGAAGAGAGCAGGGCCACGCCATTCAGAACTTACAAATAAGCTCAAGCTCCCCCGATATCCACCCATCGCATCGGACAAACTCGGAAACACCAAAAGCATGATCCCCAGCCCGATAAAATTAACCGAAACCGCAAATGAATGGCCGACCTCCCTCACTACCAGGGGGAACACCTCTGCAGAGATAGCGAAGGGAGATGTACCGGCTGTAGGACTATACGCGATAACAAAAAGAAGCCCGAAGACAGCCACGAGAGGAACGCGAGCAATGGTCGTCCCTGTTGCATCTTCTTTGAATGAGAAGGCAAGGATAAGCATAAATACAAACATGGGAATAAAGCCGCAGAGTAGCATAGTTGCACGGCCAACTTTGTCCAGGAGATAGAAGGCTGGGAGACCGAAACTGGAATGATGATTAGTTTTGAGTTGGGTGCGACACGAAAGGCCACTTACACAAAATTACATGCGCCTATACCGAATCCTACCCATGCTCCGGCGTAAGGCGAAGTATTGGTTGTGCTGCTGAGAAGAGTAGCGGAAAGAAAGGCTGAAGACAAGCAATGTCAGTTTCCAAACTTGCAGAGAAAGGGACTGTTTGAGTAGAAACATACCAATAGTGTTGATTCCACAGAGTTGCTGAGAAATCATAGCGGTTGAAGCACAAACTAATGCTCTTCTGGATCGAGAATCTCGGAAAGTTTGCAGTACTCTATGGATCCAGTGAGTTTCTGAGATGGCATATATTGCGGGCTTCTCAACGAATTGTTCGCCCCGTTCTGGATCTTCGTTTTGCTTTTCTTTCCTGAGTTTCTCGGTAAGTGCTTCCTCTCTGGTTTCTTCTTTCTTCGGTTGTGTTGTCTCTTGAGGAGGCTCAGATGGATGCTTTTTCCGCCTCTTTTCCTCCTTTTTCTGTTTCCGCTTTTCCATTCGGTCATTGCTAGATTTGCATTCCATTTCTAATTGGAAGTGGGCGTAAATGAAATCTCGAGCTCCAATAAACTCCTCAGCTGGTGATGGCCGTAGTAGAATAAAAGAATCTAAGGCCTTTGACGGTCTATTGTTGGGATTAGTATATGGCTAGCTTTTACAATCGCGATTGGGTGTAACACATACCTTCCTCGCTTCATGAGATATCTTGGTGATTCTTTTCAAGTTAGGACCGATAGTCAAAGAGGAGCCAGGGAACTCACCAGGCATAAAATAAACAAGAAACAGGAGGACTATGATAGGGATTAAAGTTACGCCTATTTGAACTCGCCACATGATTCTTTCCCTGGCGTGCATATGTTGGATTGCAAGATTTGCCGAGAAGCCCAGGAAGATGCCAAATGCATCGCTCAGCTGCCATGTAGACAGTAGTTTACCTACAGAGCATTAATTTATTCGTTGCTTGTGAAGGATGTGGCTACCTAGGCTTACCACGAAGATGATTCGGCGCAACTTCAGCTGCCAATAAAGGTGCCGATGAAGCCTTTGCAGCCAATGTCAACCCAGTAACGACGCGACATCCGATGATCTGAGCGACAGACGTTGAGAAACATTGCCCAACAGTAGCACCTATGGATACGAAACATGCAATTGCAATTGCTCCTCTTCGACCAAAGAAGTGTTCTTGTAAGAAGTCTGAAACAAAAGGAGCACTATTCCAGCGTTAGCAATAAAGCTAGCATGATGGGCCAATGTTGATATACAATATACCGCCAGCGATGAAAGGGATCGCATTCATAAGCCCGAATATCCAGAGATCTTTCGTAACACGTGGAACACCATTCTCGACTTGGTCGTGGAGGCCAAACTCCGCTCTTATTCCGATATTCGCACCATTCATAGCTATGAACGTTAGTTGAGATGCCTCGTCCTGCCTGGTCATATTCTTGTATCATACCAGATTGTGTCCATCCCCTATGATCCGATCAGTGATTGTCCTCACTCATGTATCTAAGCCACTTACTGTATAATGCCAGCCAAACACGCCGAGAGTACTGAACCTTTCAAGTATTTTGATTGATGCCAGAATCCATAATATGTTTCTCTTTTCCTGAGATAGTCAGATTGTTCTTCTGTCACATATGAATCAGGAAAAAGGCTTTTGTCGCTTAAAGCATTGTCGGTGTTGTTAGCTAAATGTGCTCCAGACTTAAGAAGCTCAAAACGTCTTCTCAAATGGCGGGATGTGTCTGTATATTCTTTGACCTTGTCGTCAATTTCATTTTCACGAAGCCCTAGTAGTGGATTGTCGACATTTAGATCTTCAGCTGCACCGCCTTGTGTTGATATAGTATTCCCTTGTTTTTCTAACTCTGATGGGGATATCGAAGAACGTGTTTCCTTTGACAGTTAGCTATATGCTACAGGCATATTGCCGAACTTCGGTAGAGGACTCCCAAGCGAGCACTTACATTACTTGCAAGACTGGCAGTCCGTTGCGGTATGTCAGATGCATTTTGTATAGCATCTTCATCCGGGACTGTTTTGCGTTCATGGACCATATCATGGGGTTCTTTCTATGATGACAAGTATGGTTAGCGTACCTTACTTATAGCGTTGATGCCCATTCGGACAATGCAATTAAGAGAATCATATGCAAACCCGGAGGATTGGCATCTTAAAAACATATCGATCCTTCTATTGAACGAACATTGAACTGTTGGCGTGGAAAGCGCATATTGAACTCACTTTGAGATCGGAAGCATCCATTGTTGACGAAGCCATTTTGGAGACAGATCCGGTTGTCTCTGAAGAAGAAAAAACGGATTGGAATCAGATAAAGAAAGAGCGAAGAGAAAGACATGAAGATTTAAACCCATAAAAGAGTCAATAGGCAATTAGAACCACGTCTGAAGCGAGGCTCTTCCTCCGGCGGGACTCCCGAAAAGGCGCTGCCATCCCAACATCGACAAAAATACTGGCTGAAAACACATCCCAGCTGAAATTGGATGGCTTTCATGCGGCTCTATCAGGAGTTACTCTCATCGCCGATTGAATTGGTTCAAGGTGGTCGAAGCTGGCCCAGCTGCACATGATGAACTGAACGGATATGACAATAACGTCGTATTGGACTTCAAAAATTGTGAGCCGTTCCAATGGGATTCGATGAGGCTGGCGTGTTGCGTCCACCCGCATATTTTGATTCAGATATTGGGAATGCTGCTGATTTTCCATTAATAAAGTCGACGTCTGAATGCCACCCAGGATCGTAACCACCCCACATTAAAGATATGATTGCCGCAGTCTGACGACTAGTCCCGCCACTCCGACTCACTTCAAACAATGGCTGTATCTTAGGCCATGACGAGAATCAATTCTTGTTGTAAGCGCTGCTGTACGACTAAGTTCCAAAAGCGGATGGGGTTGAGAAAGGATTCTGTTACTTGGCAGCCTCGAAGAGAACTGTTGATTGAGTGGGGAGCAAAATAGCCAACCCTGGCTACATCAATCGCAATTTCACTCAGTTCTATAAGAGTCATGAGAGCTCAGCTCATATCCTGTATGGACCACTCCGGGATTGTCGTATTTGCAGCCATTCGCAGACGGATGTGTGCTAATCCACAACCATTTGCTAACGCGGCAGAGCGTGGCTTCCCTTAGTTGCCGTTGATTGATTGCCGTCAAGTTCAGCGCTAGTCACTGTTTCCACGTTTTGTTGAAACTTCCGGGGGTAGTGGTGGTGCCATTAAGCTTCGAGGGTGCTTGATTGAAGGAGGTTGTGGAGGGACACTGGAGACGGCGAATTTTAGCGAGACCGGGAAATCCCCAAGCCCAGAATGTAACCTTAAACCGCCATGCACGGCCCCGACTTTAGGGCGGGTGGTGCCTGTAGCCAACTCAGGACGGCAGAAATGCTTGTGAATTCTTACACACCATCTTACATGCCATGACGCCTTCTTTGAACCTCTCTTCCAGCTTCCCGGTAACACAAACTTCTGTAATTTTACTGCTTTGACAGCGGGAGATCACCACCAGGGGCAGCTCATGCTGAGCACTGGATTGCTCCTTGAAATGGAATCACGACCCTGTCCGTGAAACACCGCAAATATTGAAAGACACCCAGAGCCAATATGGAGGAAAGATAGAAATGTCAGCCGTGGAAGCCACCATTTTTGTCTCACATCTCGTGGAGCAGAACGATTCGTCAACCCATTTCTTTCGCCCCATGACCAATATATGGGTTGTCTCTCCCTACAACCCTCGCACTTTGTCTGGGGTGCAGGAAATATTCGGACACACTGCTGGAAAGCAATCTGCCATGAACCCGCCCATTCAGCTGTTCTTATCTTTGCAAGAGGCTCTGCGGAAGACCCGCTCTTTAAGTTCCCCGTCATCTCGACCGCCTTGCAACCCCCCGCCCTGCATTCTTTCGAGGGAGACCAAGTTTTTATTATGAACTCTCAGAATGAGCGGACTCGAAGCCTTTGGCGCATCTGCAGCTGCTTTCCAGTTCGCTGAGTTTATATTCAGTAAGGCCCACAGACGTTCGCGTCAGGTATTCATTACTAATCAGTGTTTTTTTCCTCAGAAGCTGCAAAATACGTCAAGAAGTATGCTGAAGCTGGAAAGGGCCACTATGAAAGTAAGTAGATACTGCAGAGATCGATTCATCATTAGAGCTGCAGTGTCTGACAGCACAGGGCTCGATAATTTGTACAGCAATTTCGCCGGCTTTCATGACACGTTAAAGAGTGTCTCAACAACAGCAAGCAATGTTGCGAGATCAGATGACGGAAAAGAGCATGCACGAGAGACTGAACAGATCAAAAACATGGTAGCAGATTGTCGAAGCATTCTGATCAGAATGTTGGAGGTTTCGGGGAAGTTTAAACAGGGCGAAGAAAGCCCTTCCCGCTTTAAGCTTGCAGTACACAGCTGGGTTTATGACCAGAATGGCAAAGAGAAAATTGATGGCATGATACAGGAAATCAGGGATGTTACGATGCGTATTACATTGACTTTGACAATGATCAATACGTAAGACCTCCTAATGGACTTAAGGCTGAGCATAACAACTACTAATATCCCACAGAAATCAGCTTATTAGCGTCTCGAAGGCCGTCAGAGGGGTGGAACGAACAGCCACTGACAACATGGTAGTGACGCTCGAGTCTGTAAAAGGTGATGGCAGTGGTACGACTTCGTCGGTTGAAACGGTCAAGATCCCACCCCCAGCCTACACAGAAAAACCAGATTGGGGCCTGAGCATATTCACTCAACAAAACTTTGACTTCGATGCCACCGATTTATCAAAGAGTCTTGTAGATGCCATCGAATCCAACAATTACACTGAAGTCAAAGCCCTCCTCCTAAAGGGAGAAAATCCTTTAGCAGAGAGCGAGGACTGCTGGTGCGCACTTCACTACGCTGTACGTACCGACAGTAAACGAATCATGCGAGCATTGCTAGCCTCCAAACAAGTTAAAGACCTCACATGGGGAATCAACAAAGAAGATAAAAATGGCGAGACGCCGCTTCATCTCGCCGCCTCTTTGGGCAAGAAAAATATGCTTAGAGTACTGATCGAGGGAGGTGCGGACTTCAATGCGAAGAGCAAGAGTGGCCGGACACCTCTTTTCAAAGCCGTCGAAGGGAATCATGAGGAAATCGTTGAGATTTTGCTGGAGAAAAATGCGGTATTGAAACCTGATGTGGCACCCCCTGGGAGTTTGGTGCCGAAACGGTTGAAGGAAATGAGAGTCGCGATTAATCACCGGAAACTACAGGTGAGAAAGGGAAAGACTTGAAGCGAGATAGGAATGGCGTTTCTGGACATCATGGCTGCTCTTAGTCATGCCTCGACTGGAGTGACCGTCTATTAGCTCATCTTCCTGCACACAGGCCCTAGCAAAGACTCTCTAGGCTCCACCATCGCGCTCTTAAACCACAGGAAATAAACTTCTGCAGATATATGATAGGAAATTCACACCAGACCAACGTGGGCACCACTCAGAGTTGAAACAGAAGAGGCGAGCCATCCCTCTTCCGAAGTTAGGAAATCTTTTCACCTGTCCTTCCGGACTTCACTATCACAGAAGCGATACACACGCGGAACGGAACCCCTCTTCAACGTTAGGCAATCTATTCGCCAGCTGTTTCAGGCAACACAACCACAGAAGCCGAGTAAATCCTCAAACCAATCCTCATGAGACCGCTCGCTACCAGAAAACACATCAAGCTCCAAGATCAAGTCACAACGACTACAGCCTGTCCACGTTGAATCGTTAACACACCAGCCAATACACTCAGAAATGAAGATGGAAGACCAAAAGCTGTGGAAGCTCAAGGCCCAGGTCTCTCGGAACTAAGTTCCTATCCTAGTTCTCGTTTTCCACCAGGGTAGAAAGGATAGGACTCGGGTTTCAATGAATCAGATGCTATTTGGTGGTTACGCGGGTTAATCCATGGAAAGGTTCAGTAATTGACTAGGTATCGTAATTCAACTAGTTCTTGAATTCTTTCAAACCTTGTAATATTCTTTCTACCTAATCGAGAATATATAGAAATTTTAAATTTTAAGACCACTGGTATAACTAACTTCATCCCAAAATGCCTGTTGATTACAGGGGCTTCTACTGCTCTATCCTAACATGTGCGGGGTAGATGGAAAGTCCAAAGTTCGTAAAGTTTTCCGTACATAACCACAAGAAATAAGACGCAGGAAACTCCTGCTTATTATTATTTAACAAGATCAAGAGTCGCAACTCACTTTCACTTGTTAGTCTCTCTGAAACCAGAGGTTAAAATGACGAAATTGGGAGTAGAAATACACAACAAGTCGACTCTTACTTGTTTCATCTACGACGAGGATGAGAAAAGTAAAGGATCTGGCATATCGTTCTCAAAACACAGTATCGTTGTAAGACATGACAAGAGTTAGAGAAGAGCATGAAATCTATTTCAATTCGAAATACCACTAAGCTTTAAATTATATACAAGAAAGTCTCTTTTCGGTTGAAGCAATCACAAACACTGCGAATAAAACTCATTCTGCACCGTACACGTCGTTCCAGCCACACACGATGTGGAGCCAGTATAACCAGTCCCACCGCATTGATAGTATTTCGCTACTGTGCCGGTAGCTGGGGTGGTAGAGTTTGTGGATGGTGTGGTGGTGGGGACCGCAACAGCGGATGTGACTTGAGAGACAGCGGTAGAAAGCGTGGTAGCTGCTTTAGACTTGCAAGAATCCTTTGTCGAAGCTGCCGCGGTGGACGAAAGGACAGTTGAGTTCGCGCTGATTACAGGAACTGCTGTCGAGCTCACTACAGAGGTGGGGACTGCAGCATCTACAACCTTCGTCGCCGCCCCCGTCGCCGCACCACCCAAAACCTTAACAATAGCCGCATACGCAGGCTTCTTGCTAAAGTCCTCATTATAAGGCAACGCCTCTCCCGCACCACTAAAAGCCGACGGGACCCACGAATACTTATCGGTGAAATCCCAGATCGTGATACCAATACAGCCTGTTACGGCCAGACAAGCACTGACCGTATTAGCATAGTCATCTGCTTGGGTAGCGAGCTGCGCAGCGGAGGCAGGGACAGAAGAATGGCGGATATCCAGTTCGGTGTAGGCGACTTCGACGCCTTGGGCGGTGAAAGAATCAAGGTTGGTGGTTTGGGCGGAGAGAGATGGGGTGGAACCGACGATGAAGTGGGCTTGCATACCGACGCCGTCGATGCGGATGGATTTTGCTTTGAGGTCTTTGACGACATTGAGTGCGGCGGTGGATTTTGCGCCGGAGGACTCGATGTTGAAGTCGTTGTAGTAGAGTTTTGCATCTGGGTCGACTTCAGAAGCGGTTTGGAAGGCTATGGGGATGTATTCGGGGCCGATCTGGGTGATGTTAGTTATGGGATATCATATTTGGGAAGAGGACTTGCTGTTTTGTAGAATACGCTTTCGCGGTAGGTACCGTCCTCGTTGAAAGCCTCATTTACAACGTCCCAAGCGTAACATTGTCCCTTGTATTGAGTCATAACCTTGGTGATATGGTTTTTCATGACTTCCGTGAGAGTAGCATTTGTCCAAGTACCGGCAGATACCCAACTCGGTAGCTGTGAGTACCAAACAAGAGTATGACATCTCAACAGCTGGCCGTTAGCTTTCGCACGTGCCGGGACGACGTCGCCCTTGGTAAAAGTAAAAACTCCTTGAGAAGGCTCAGTAGAATCCCATTTCTGGGCGTTTGCAGGTGTAAGTTGTCCAAATTCGGTACTGTTGTCGAGGATTGCGGTGTATTGAGTGTCGCTCAGCTCTCCATTTTCAGTCGCCGTACCAAAGTAAGTAAGGCCTTTTGCCACTGCCAGCTGGTTGAATTGAGCAAAAGCTTGAGAAAACAGCGCAGCTGCAGGAAGAAGAACGGAATGACGCATGGCGGTCAGAAGAAAAGAAATGCCGTAGACAGAAAGGAATGTAATGTCAAAATGAACAATGAATACAATTCGACTGGTCAAAGAAGTGGTTAAGAAACATCCATCTTTATATTCTCCAACTTCCTGGCATTACTCCCCGAAATTTGTTTCAGAATAATTGAACTTTCTGCTGTGGGTCTAGAAAAGAAATGTTTTCATGACGATACGCAGTCCCTGTACCTGTCCTACTGATGGTCTGAAACTTGCAACAAAATATTGGGCTTCCCAAAAACCGTAGGCAAAGCATACCAACGGTGTCCTGCTCATACCAAAGTACAGCCATAGTCGGTGCATAATTTCTTGAAATGAAGGTCGTGGTGATGTCGTTAAGACGGTTTTCTGAAACAAACCAGTGGTAAATGACCATTGGCTGGCTGCTACTCCTCGTTTATCTGAAAATCATGTGGAGAAGCCCCGCAGAACATCAGGAACAGACAATTGTGATCTTCGGTGTTATACTAGCTATCTATGTCGACACTGGAGTCAAATAAATGAACACGGGTTTCTAGAAGCGGCATTTTTGAGCAGAAACATTCGATAGGAGAAGTTCACAGTGCCGCATCATCGAACTCCCCTATTCTCACCAACTTTCAAGCTCTTTCTGCATTTGTTGATACAGTAATTTCGAAATCCTCTTTGTGCTTACTAGAGGGTGGGTTAACTTACAGAACGCTTCGTACAATCGTAAACATACCTCGGCGACTTGCACTTCTGCGACAGCATTTTCAATATCCTATGTTCGATCGCGCATAAATTCCTCTGAGAAAAGCGTGAGTCACTCCTGAAATTGAATCGTCCCTTTACGTCGTATGCTTCATGGCCTATTCGGCTTCTATCATTTGATGTCCATGACTTGATCCTGAAACCTCAGCTTCCATCTGCAATGATCCTACATTCTCCTTCTCATGCCAAACTTCAATATATGAAGTTCTTTGAACCAGGTCCGCGAAAACATGAGCTTGCTGGATTCCTTGGACATCTCCGATGGAGTGGAGAATTCGAGCGACATAACTCCGCATGGGAGCCGGAGTTCCATCCACAATTCCCACAAGCCATAGATGCCACATAATGAATAACCCCCCTGACGTTGGGATTGGATTGGTATCGCTGGCCTTAGCTGTAGAGGATGGCGGATCACCGATACCGATATGTTGAGGGACGCTCGAAAGAATGTCGTGTTGAAGACTACGCTGCATCTCGGTCGCTATTTGAAATTGAGAGACGAAACCTTCCTTCGTGAACATTGGTGGCGTACATGTCATACCAGCCTGCAGACTCTCTTTGATAAGATTGTAAATCATAATTCTTTGCGTTCGAATTGCGTTCCACATATGAGCCACCCATGAATTGTAGTAAATGTGGTAAGTTCCATTATAGATGATATCAGATTCGACGTCGGTGTGAATAATGTCATAAGTCCAATCCGCAGGAACGTTATCGGTAAAATCCGCAAGCATGTTGTTTAACTCCGTAGCTCTGAGAATAATAGCTGAAGGGTCGCTCAGAAGACCTTCTTCGATATCCGCTCGAAGGTCTGCAAGAAGCATCATGACACCTTGTGCTTTTAGGCCAATTGAGAGATGACCAGATAACTCTATGGCATTTTCCATGTATTGACGGAGGTGTATTGGCAAGCGCATTCTTCCGTAGACGCAGCGTATCAACAGGTTTGATGTAACAGACACCAGCATCCTGCGGCCCTCAGGAGTCTCTGACTGTCGCTTCCCTCGCAATTTTATCACGGCTGCTGCCCCAAGGATGTGCTGGATCCAGTCTTGAATCGACTTTTGTTTGCAGCCTGTGACTTGCTCAAATATCCCAAGAATCTGGATTGCCATCAGAGTGGTATCTTTTGTCACATTGTGACTTCTGAGAGCCTCGTTGGTGAGCCTAATCGCTTTCATGTACTGATATCGAGCATGATTCAATAAGGATGGCGCTTTTGCCATGTGAGAATAAGCTGCTAAGCCAACAGCTTTCATCGCAGTAAACACCCAGTCATCTAAGGATTGAGCCCGGGAGAGTTGGGTGACGCGGTCTAAATGGCCCGTTGATGGCCCATTAGGGTCAAGTACATAATTGTATACAAATATATTTATGGCACGATCCTCAAGATCTTGCGACACACTGTAAACAATGGTCAATGGTGAATGCTCCTCTCTTTGTATTTCTCGAGGTGAGCTTGTGGTGCTAAGGTCGTCTTGACCATGTTCCGTAGATACCAAACTGGTAGATGGCGAAGATGGTGCAGTCGAGGATGACTTTATCTTTGACTGCTTCTTAGCCTCTCTAGCCTTGATCTTTTTCACCACATTAGTACTCTCGTCCCGGAAGATCAAGTCTCCCTTGCTCCTGTATCCTGGACAGACTCGTTTTGCCTTTTGACATTGGGTGCACCCGTCAGGCTTTTGATCACACTATGCAGTGTCAGAATGCGAGCATTCAAATCGATGAATGAGTCAACGTACTCTTGTTTTACGCGCCCTGCAAGCATGGCAGCCTCCTGATGGCTTTTTGCCACTTGGCACCATAACGTTCAGGGACAACAATCATTCGGATTCTGCCCGTCCTTAGTGTTCTTGGACTCTCGAACCGGGCCACTCTCATTGGCAAGTTGCTCTTGCAAATGTCTGTCTATCCTGCAGCCTTAACAAATTTGCATGGATATTGCGTCAATGTACGAGTAGGTACAACGATGTTGTAATCCTAAAGAGGCAATATGAGAAGTTGTCTGTATCAAAAGTCGAATACATGTCAACGGGGGAAGTCGGATGTATGGATGGCGGGGGCAAAGGGGCTGACATAATGCTCTCCCTCGTCTCAACCGCGCCGTATGGGGGCCGAAGCCATGCACGCTAACTCGTTTAAGTAACTTTTGATGTTGGTAGTGGGTCTAAGATTTGCGTCAACATCCTTAACGTCTCTCCTGTCGATAATTCAAGAATTATACTCCGTACATTTTTGCAACAATCATCCAATGGATTCTCGAAAAGAATTCCACATGTATCATTTCCATAATCCAAGTTTCAGAATGCCAATCAGTGGTACCTTGCAATTCGTCCGTGGTGCAGCATCTTCTTTTACCACAACAGTACTCTTCCACCAGGATACCACTCCCATGACGTGTGCCCATGAGGCGCTTTAGAATTCAATGGGCTGTGCCTCGCCTAACTAGCTTTTCTAGAACGTAAGTCGTATATGGCAGCATCAAAATGTGCTCTTTTAGGATAGAGCCTTGCTGCAAATCATCTTTGCATGGGTTGAGACCTCTACCTCTTATGAAGGTATGATTCTCCTCCTTTCGCAGGGAATGACATACTTATTCGTTCTATATAATCATCATATCACTCCAGAAGTCTCATTTTCAATAAAGGTTCTTTTTGATATTTTTGTCGGACACTTAACAGCCTGTTGCATTGACGAAGGGCAGTACTATTGTAACGATTAATCCAGGTCTGCTGCTTTTATAATTTCAACTTCCATGAAAAGCTGTTATTATGGCATCAATTGCGTGGAATTTGCTTTTCAAGCAGAAAGAAATTCCAGTGGAACTATGTGAACATCAAAAGAGCTCGGGAACATTTTCTCCTCTCGAAAACCGTAATGAGGCTAGCGAAGTCAATAACGAGAAAGGCATCGAAGAGTGTCTAGTCTGTAAGACCAAAGAAAAAGCGATAACAAAATACCGTCGAAAACTTATAGCTGGTCTCGCTCTCCCAGTCCTAATCCAAGCTCTCGACACAACGATACTTGCTGGAGCAATAACCACTATCGCTTCCGATTTCAGTAAGTCGACTACTCCAACCACATTACCACACAGACTAACACGTCCTAGACCAACTCTCCCAACTCAACTGGATAGTAGCATCTTATAACCTCACATCAGCAACCTTCATTCCATTCTGGGGCCAATTCGCCGACATCTTCGGCCGCTATGCCGCTCTTCAAATCGCCCTCTCCTTCATGCTTCTAGGTAGCATTCTCTCCTCAGCAGCACCCACAACCGCCTTCCCAATGCTCCTTCTAGGGCGAGCATTCCACGGAATAGGATGTTCCGGATGTTTAATAACCTCCAAAGTAGTCCTCGCAGACAAAGTCTCCCTCAAGGAAAATGCAAAGAACAACACTCTTTTCACAGTCGTCGCAGGAATAGGCTACGGAATCGGTCCAGTAATAGGAGGATATCTCACGGAAGCAAATTGGAGATGGTGTTTCATAATCAACATCCCACTTGGTCTCATCGGCCTCCTACTAATCCACTTCCTCCTCCGCTCCGAACTAATCGGTGCCCAACGCATCGAAACCTCATCACCATCAAACCCATCACCAAAACCCCCAACCTTCACCACCCGCTTCCTAACCTTCGACTTCGGCGGCCAACTCCTCTTCCTCTTTGGTCTCGGCCTCCTAGTCCTGGCCCTAACCTGGGGCGGTTCCACCTACCCCTGGACATCCATCAAAGTCATCATCCCCCTCATCCTCGGCGTCCTCCTCATAGTCGGCTTCCTAATATGGGAATATAACCTCCTTCCAACGCACTACCTCGCGACGCGCTTCCCAACCCAAAAACCCATGATCCCATTCCACCTCCTCACCAAACGCAACGCCTGGATCCTGCTCTACATAAACCTCATCACAGGTATGTGCATGTACGCCGTCTTCTACTTCGTCAGCATATACTTCACGCTGGTACAATCCTTCGCGCCAGGAAAATCAGGAACGTCATTGACATACTACCTACCTGGTCTCGCCGGTACGTCCCCAGTTCTCTCTCCTCTTACCCCTTCCTTCCCCCATTTTTTTATCCCCACTAACCCAACTACGTTCAGGCGGAGCCTACCTCGCCATCCTCCTCACAACCCAAACCTTCTTCCCCCTCCTAACCGGCACCCTCCTCGAAGCCCTCGGCATAACCGTCCTCGCCACCGCCCTCCAAGCCGATAACCTCAAACTCATCTACGGCATGCTAGTCCTCACGGGCATCGGCACCGGTCTACGCATCATGCCGGGCACACTCCACGGCGTCGGATACTTCCCTACCCAGATCTCCTCTATCGTCTCACTCATGTCGCTTGCTACATCCCTAGGTGGCGTCATTAGCACTACTCTGCTGCTGAATATCTTCAACAACACAATCTCCTCGTCCGATCTGAATGCGATTTCGTCCGCGAAAACTGCGACGAGTGAGGCGATTGCGGGACTACCATCTGGGATAAGAGATGCCTTTCGGGATGATGCGAGACGGGGGATTGTGCTTGGGTTCTTTGCGTTGAGTGCGTTTGCGTGGGTGGGATGTGTGGTTGTGTTAGGGTTGGGGAATGTGTGGGTTGAGAAAGGGGGAGAGGGGAAGGGTGAGGTCGTGGAGGGGAGTTATTTGGGAAGTCTGGTTGGGGGGAGGAAGGAGGAGGTGGGAGAGAATGTCTAGAATAGGGAGGTGGATGGGTGTGGTTAAGATGGAAATCAATTTGATACGATACGTATTTGTTCCCAAAACTGAAATTAATGTCGGTCTTCCAACAAGGACTTTTGATACAAGTCTTTAGTTTGTATTTCCGTCTTATCCTCAAAGAAGCTCAATGAATCTACAGTCCCCCGTCTCTAAACCATATAACCCATATCACACATACAGTATCAGGTACAACATCCAACCATCCAACTCAATAAAAGAAGATTGTGCTCCTCACTCTACCATATCTTCATCTGTCACTACCCACCACACCACACTCGCACTTCTATGGTTTTAATATCCAAATACCCCTAATCACCTACTTGAGCATAATCATTGCAATACACCCCCATAACTAATAATCCAAGCCCTGGTGAGGTCCCCTCCCCGCACCAACACCCATCTTCCCAATTTCTTTCCATATCACAAAAGCCGCACAGAACCCAAAAACCAAACAACGTTTTTTCCCTCCTCCATTATCTACATCTACCCCAACTCATCATATCTGCATATCAATCCCCATCGCTCTTCCTATCCCCAATTCTTCTACATCCTCCAATCCAAACACGAACTCCTACAATAACCCGAAAGCGAATAAACACCAGTCCGACGGCGCCTGAAATATTGACACAGGAATGATAGAATGACTAACGCCAACGACCAGATATCTCAAAAATCTGATAGCCTACCTTCTATGTAATACTCCAACTCTATTAAGCCTAGTCACTCAGATGGAGTTGACGTGTGTTCATATGGAAGGAACCTTAATGGCACGCTACTTAATCTTGATTCAATTCAGATATAGGTGCTCATGAATCGAAGTAGTTCCAGTAATCCTCTACGACACCGCTCAAAAGTCAACCCATTTGTTTCATTGTTTCGGTCTCGTGTGGCCGTTCATTCAATCCATACACATACACCCACAATATCTCAAAATCTCAAAATCTAAGAATTGCAAAACCACTATCCTATTCAAGAGCCCCAAACCCAAGAGCCACGAATTTTCAATCTCCCAACGTCTCGTGACATGTACTCAAGTCCCTGCACCAACCCAGCATCGGAGAATAATGAAAGAAAAACGGCTGGAGATACTCCATTCAGCAACGCATGCATACCTACCTCTCCCCGCCGAAAAACACTCCGATTCAAGCTTCAAAACCAGGTCTTCTCGTCCCCTCCACACCCATCCACACCCCTCTCACCTACCACTTGGCAAGCCCCAATACTACCGGTCGTCAAAGCCTCAATCCTTACCTTGTCTACCCACCAAATGCCTATACCCTCCTTCACCCCCCTACCATACCCTACCTATCTCTTTCCACCTCCATGAGATCAATGCCCCACCACAATCGGGAAGGATGAACCGAACAGATTTAGCCGTCGGTAGCTAACCGTATCCCGTCAGCCGTTAGTGACACAAGATACAGGCTAAAGGCGCGGGGGAGACTGCAAGCATGCATGATGGGCAGACTTTTTGGAAACCTAATCAGTGTAGGTACTTGGATACAAGTCATGTGTACCTAATCGATCCGCTTTGTAGAGTAGGGTGGAGTGAAAACAAAATTGTAATGTGTTGTGGTGGGGAGATGCGAATATTAAGTAGATATATATAAAATATAATATATGATTCCCCAGATAAAAAGACATCCGAACGCGGGGTATAAAGATCCATCCTTCCTCCACCTCGGATAATAAAAACGTCGTCAGAAAAAGAAAAGAAAAAGTTCTTTCAAAGAACAGGTGCCTCGAAATTTTCCCTCCGTAATTTCATATATGCACTCTGTTTATGAGGAAATGTGATCTCGCGCTCTTTTAGGTAACCGACGCTCTGAACATGTCCGATGAATCTGCATACATTAATTTGATGAGCCATGAACACGCGGGGTCGGTAGGGTACGTTACTTTTCATTATCAACTCTAGGCTCCAGCACGACAGCGTTCGTCCTGTAGTCTTGCACAAAACACCAATGCGCGATCGACGTGGACCAGGTATCGACGCGATGTTTACCACGATATTCCTCTTCACCGATTAAAACGTGGAATCCACGATCATAGTCGCCAGCTTCACCTCCGAGGTAGATGCCAAGAGGATCTTCTTTGATCCAATATATTTCGAAATATCCAAATGGTTTGCCGTCCCAGAGTCCGATGACGGGGAAGGAGTGGTTGGAGGTGAGACCTGCTTTCAGGAAGTCTTCCTGGATATGTTGGGGTCCACTACAGCCCCAGAATTTGTTCACTCGAGGATTGTTCATCCATCTGTGCAATAACTGTAGGTCTGACATGGCCAGTGTATCTTCGGGCTCGGGACCAGGAGTTGGTGGTGTGACGGACGTAATGGAAACAGGTGAAAGATGTGCGGGTAAAGAGGAAATTGACGACAGCGATGGTGATGCATTGTGTTTCGGAGCGTGGAGTAAGGTGGTAGGGCCATTATAGGTAACGGGTTTAGGTGAAAGAGAAGCTACACGAAATGCTAGATACTGTCCTACGCTCTGCACAAACCGGGTATAAAATATTTCTCCTTGACGGGGTGGCTTGGGCCGAACTGGATGTCGTACTCCTCCTGATATGGTATATTGTAGAGGTGGAGGTGGAAAATATGTTGGAAGATGGCTGCCCGACGAGAAAGGACCTGGTGCGGTTGTCGAGGTCCACGGAACAGGACTTGGGAGTGGCGAAGTAGGATCTGGGGAGCCAGCACGATGTGGTGATCGAGGTCTATGATCTCCTCGTACGGGTGAACTGGGGCGACTGCCGTACGGTGAGCCTGCGAAAGACCCGCCATGTGCTGGACTCAATGTAAACAGGAAAAGTCTCGCAGACAGTTGCCAGTATGTCCTCCTTGATGTGTACATTTCCGACCAACCCTCTGCAGTATTCTCTTCTGTATATGTACCAACCGCCGAATCATTTGATGTAATGAGGCCCATTCGCTCCAATTTCTGTATCAGATTCCTGCCTCTAAATACGCCTTCACGTTTTATATTGATCCGCCATTCTCCTCTGGGTTTTGCGACCTCGGGCGTGTTCTTCGCGGCTTCGGTATGGACTTGGGTTTTGGGTTCTGTCTGATGGAAGTACCAGTGTAGCGTTGCCCACAGCATCATAGCAATCTGTCTAGTTGGGCTTGCTGCAGCTTTGAAATCGTTGCTCGAAGGATTTGATATGGAGGAGATGAAGAGGGCATCGTTTGCGAGCGTTGGAGTTTTGAAAGGGTGTATATGGCGGTGGCTGTCTCTTGGGGGCATTCCCCGCAACTCGACGTTTCTTGCAGGTCCATTTCCTTCGTGATCGTCTGAATAGTCCTCTGTCTGCAGAATGACTGTCCAGCCGGCAGAAAAGGCATTCGCGTTATGGTTGAGGTCGTTCGCTTTGAAAAAGAAGCCGCCAAAGACAGGGACGACAGTTAAGGTCTGCCCATTTGGCAAATGCACAACGCTCGACGGAGGGGCCATGGTGGAGCTAACTGGAGCTGGATATCTACTCAATCTCAATTGATACGCTCTCGCGGACAAATTGGTGTGCGGACTTTAGCAGATAATGGGATTGACGGTGGTCTCGTTCGAATGTGCAAATGTCCAAGTTGATGTCCAGTTGCAACAATGCGATTTGTGTAGGCTTCGTGGGTCGTACCACTTCCCGCACGAATTTCTGCTCAGCTCACACGTGTATGGGCTGACCGAAACCGTAAGTCTAGACACTTCCTGGTGGAGGAGAAGGCGCTTTAGTATATGTTAGCTCATCCCCATCTCCAACGGCGTCAGTCGTAAATTTCTTGATCTTGCCGACCCCACCACTCCCCTCGATCCTGGAGGTCAGCACGATATGTGCACCCGTGCACCCCTCTGTTCACTTGGGTCCTTCGAAGCCTCGATCTTGGAATTCTGGAGGATGGTAGCTCGGGAGTCAGGACGAGAAGCTGTAGGACGAGGACTGTGTGTGTACCGCTCAAGGATGTGTCTTTCTGTCTGGTGTTGTTGTCTCATATCGCAATAGAATATCCTCCTGTTGTGCGCGCGAAGCACAGCTAGGAGTTGAACCAATGCCATCATGATTGTGGAGGTCCTCCGCGCTGCACTACGTTCACCCCCACGGACTTCTTTTCGAGGCATCGGTCAAATATCGGATATCGGATACATTGCAGGGCCGGCGCCGGCCTTGGTGACGATAATTCATGAACCGAAACAATCCAACTCTTCCCCATCACAACAAAATTCCTAAGTTGGAACCATTATCAAGATACCACTGATGTCCATGGGTTTCCTCAAATTTCACTCTCTGCAACTCTCATTCAATCCCCACATTATTCTCTTCTATCATGAAACAAGTTTTCATCGTACTTGATTCGTACCACTACATTGGCCATTCAAATCCCCTCCATCAGTGCAGTATGCGAGGCGATCTCAATTTCTGCAGTAACCTTGGTCTGAACACCGCAGCCAGGCCTGGTCATGCAGTTCTCCGCAAGAGGTGTTTGTTCTAGAACCTCCGCATTTTTATCGACGCCGGAATCCTTTTTGACGTCCGAAACCTCGTTGTTATGGGACAACTATTTGTACTCTCAAGACTTTCGGGACAAAAGTGTGTTGGTACTCGGCCCAACACCACCACTTCAACCGGCCCACCCCTCACGGCATCGCTGTCGATATGCCGTGCATTCAACGGCTCTCACCGACTAGGAGCTTACCAAGGGATTGAGATTACGTCTTCCGCTTCGTGTCTCACGATGTAAGGCTGTCTTGGAGACACCATTGCACAACAGGGCTGTTTTACGACGGCCCAAACACTTCAACTTGCTACCCCATACAATCTATGCAGCTTATCAACACCACCATCACCACCTGAGCAGTCTTGGAGTGTCTGTCCGCGGGCCCGGCTTAGACCCTAGCCATGAAGAAAAGATATGGCAGAGAGCTGGCTTGACTGAGTATCCCGCCAATCTGGATATCATCAGGCAAATGCGTTGTATGGTCTAGGATGACTATCAGATGAAGCCAGAGTACTGACAGTAGAGGGCTGACCAGGACCGAAGTCAGATTTCCTTATCCCTCTCGCTCACTGGTTGGCGGTAGTCATCATTTCATTACCACTATATCTTTTTGATGCATCACAAGCTACAACTGAAACTACGGATGCGCACGACCACGTTCAACCTGATGACTCTGAGCAAATAAACAGCATCTCGTGTCATATATGGACATCCGATGAGCTTCCTCGTTAGGCGCCGATTTGCAAGTTTCGTCTATTCAAGACCTTGTTTGCCGTCATTCGGTTGCACGAAATTTCACGTTTCCTCTTCAAGTACTTCCGCCCTCCGTTCTTGCTACATTCGTACAGCTGTCCCAAGATTGACGCAGAAGTACCATATCGGCTCTCTCCTTTTGGTCCGGCATCCAAGCGAGTTCATCATGTTGAAACTTTGCCTAAGTTGTTAAGCGAGGTAGATCCCGATTAGAGAGCCGGCTGCGGCTTACCAAACCGAGACGGGTTATGGGAAACATATGCTCCAGGGTCTCAGCAAGCATTCCACAACATCACGATTCATGAGAATTAGGCAGTGGCCGCTGGACCGTGAAATGGACAAACAAATCCCAATCTCAAGGCATTTTTGTACCACGAAAACAATCACCGACTCCTTTACCTTCGGTACAATTGTGTATCAAATTTAATTGATGATAATAGGCTGGATATCATATCCACATCAATCAGATTGCGGTATTGTGGTCACTACACCCTCACCAACACCAATCGATTTTAATTGGCTATATATTCCCGGTATTGCTTGTCCATTTATCTTGTGGGTAACCAGTAGTGGCTATAAAACCAACTATAAACTTTCATTATAGTTCTTGTTTGGCATGGAACTTACTAAAGGCTGTCTACCAAAGACCTGCAATGCACATGCAATGCTGCGTATTTCTGGCCATGGCCTCACTAATCTACCACGCCACTAGAGAATGACAGGCATGTGAATGAATTACTTGCAGCCGATCTGACTTTCATAGACTTACTGTGAAAAGTGTCTGTGTTCAAAACCGGGGTGGGACCTGCAGCCTTTGGTATATCTTGCAGTCAAAATGAAGAGGTAGTCTTCTTCATGTGGCCTTTCCTTTCAATTTCACTTTCCGAGAAAATCGTTTAAACTACAGTCAAAATGCCAGGCTTAGTACCGGCTCTGGTTATGAGCAACACGAAAGATGATTTATTGAAGACACTTAATATGGCACCTGAGACATATGCAATGATGGCAGTAAGCTTGTCAACCTCCATAAGCTGACGGGCTCCACATCCCGCTTGGGGGCGGACGCCATTTTTCGGAATCAGAACCTTAAAGTGGTTATTTACTGACAAAATATGATAGAAAGAAGCAGATCAAGTCTATAGATGGCTAACGCAAGAACGATATCACCTCAAAGACAACTGCTCACGCAAACCCCCATATGATTGGTCTGACATCCGTGATCGTTCAAAAGATGAAGCGTACATTCGAATTGCTCAATCCGGAGATGCTCACACGAGCTATTACTGGAATCTAGCGGAACCCACCGAGGATTGTCCGAATTGGATTGCAAGGTGGTTCTTGTACCATAAGTTTCGGTACCGGGATGGAAGGAATAGAAATCCGGCGAGAGCGGATGAAGGGAGGAGCTCGGGAAGTAAGAGGGAGAGGACGAAGGAGGTGAAGAGGTCGAGCCATAGTTCGTCGAGCTCGAGACCGAGTACGTATCAGGAGACACCTAAGAGTTCCTATTACGGGACAGCGGCGGAGAGTTCTTGTAAGTCTACGATTTTACTTTTTTACGTAAAGGGGAAGAGGCCTTGTTGACGCTTATACCGTTCGGCTGCTTTGAAATGTGGCTTTACATCTCTTTTTTTCGTTATCATCTTTAACCATTTCTTGATGCGTTCATTCCTCGTTGATACATTTGGCTAACTCTTAACAGCCTCATACTCCCAACAATACTACCAATCAGACCGTACGTCTTCATCCTCCATTTTTCAACCTCTCTTCCTGCATTTCCTCCATTTTCCCGTTCCACGGGCCCTTCCCCACCACATCCATGCTAATCATTCTCACAGAATACACGACATCATACTACCCCAGCACCGACTACCCATCCAGCGACTACCCCGCAACCGAATACCAACAATCAAGTTATAACAGCACGCCCAGACCAGACGCCGACGAAGAGGAATACGCTAGTCCGAGTCCAAGCACCTACTATGATCCGGTGAGAGATTCAGCGCACTCGGCCCATTCGGGACATTCATCGCATGCTGGGCATTCTTCGCATTCGGGGAGGAGACGGCGATGATGTAAGTTACACTGTCACTCAGCATAGCGTCTACTTCGTGTAGTAGAGTGTATTTGGGGGAAATCTTAATGAGAGTGGAATGAAGAGCGATGTAGAGACGTGGAGAGATAGAGAATAAGTGGATTCTGAACGGAGATAATCAGGGAAATCAAAAGAGGAATGCGAAGGGGTAAGAGTCCTGTTTTTTGATATTGCTTGAAGGAGTGTTATTTGTTTAATCATTAGTTATATACCTCTCTCTTTATTCGTATATAAATGCTATATACCCCGTCTAAGTCTTTGCTGTTTATCTGTATTCTCAGTGATATTGTCCTTGCCCTCGACATCCACACTCTTTTTCGTATAAGAGAGCTGCCTTCAAATCCACGCGAAAATGCGTTTGGAACTCAGTATTGAGATTGGAAATTCTCGAGTAGAATAGCGTTATGAGAAAGAATGAGGATGACGAAGACCTGAGGATAATGCTTCCGCGTGACATGGCATAATAGCCCCGGCCTCTTGTATTTTAGTCAGAAGTGACCATTCTCGAAATATACTTCATCGTCCTTACCTTCCCAATTCCACTCTATACCTCATCTCCCCTTCATACATCTCTCCTCATCGACCATCTCAAAGCCCACCCCACCACCAAGTTCCCCTCTACAACCCATTAAAAACGAAAAATGATATAAGATGACCTTGACATTTCTTTATTTATTGACCTTGGATTAAAACGATATAGTGAGGCGGAGAAGGGAGGGAATAATTTCACAGACGGGAAACGCATGTTCGCATTAGGGGGTTTTAGGGGAGTAGATGAGAGATTGTATGGTTAATTCATGAGAGATGATATGGTGGTGGTATAAATGTCTGCAAGCTTCTCACCTTGGTAAATGAACGAGTAGGACACTATATCCCACGGACCGCACTAAACGACTTGCTAGGGAAGTAGTTTCCCACTAGAACATCTTCGAGGAAATAGACAAGAGGATACTTCGTTTGAGAGATAAACAATATATATATATATGTAAAATTAATCTCTAGAATATCTACTTCGAACCTCCCATCAAAAAAAGGAACTCCTGACACCACGCTACAAAATGCGCCTATGCCGATCTATCTCACCTCATTTATCCTTCTTCGCACCCTTCTTCTTCTCCTCCTCATCCTCCTCATCCTCTTCACTCCCCTTCTTCCTCTTCCTCTCCTGTTTCAGCGCTTCATGCACGACCTCACTCCCTTCATCCTGCATCTCATCCCACTCCACGTCGTACTCATCGGCAATATTCTTAATCTCCTTGCGCAGCGCATTAGCTTCTTCAATCAGTGCCTCCCATTTCTGCAGACTAAAGCCGCGGGCTGTGTAGAGCGTGTTTTGGCGGCGGGAAACGGTCAGGTTGAGGGCGGAGCGGTAGGAGACTTCGCGGTTGTGGTAGAGGAACCAGAGGTAACCGAGCATGATGGTGGAGAGTCCTGCTAGGTACTGCAGAATGTTAGTTTAGGAACAGTAAAGAAGTGAGATGGTAGAGCATAGGGGGCTTACGGTAATAGGTTCCATAGTATCCCACCCATAATCCGTCATAAAAGTAAAGTAATAACAACCCCCCCACCACCCAACCAACACACCAAAGCCCCCCATCGCAAGTCTCTGCGCCGATTTATGTGCAAGATCATCGCATTCCTTCTTCACGCTCGCGTAATCCGCCAGTTTCTTTGACGTTTTGCGTAGGCGGGTTCGTAGGTAATGCGTTCGATCGTTGAAACTTGGGACACCGACTCGAATCTCATGCGACGCGCCTTCGATTTCGACAGCGAATTCTGCTCCACGCGCCGCGTCACGGATGAAATCTCCAATCTCTGTACTCGAGCTCCAGCGTACGAATTTGCGATCATTAGGCGCGTTCTCAGTCTCACGTCCTGAGCCAGAATAGCTTTCTACACCACCTTCGCCTGGTCCACCGCGTAGCCCTTCTTGTCGTTCAAGGCGTTTCTTTTCTTTCTTGTTTATCTTGCCGAGTTTCACGAGTTTGCCATCGACCATCTGCTCATCGCTTCCTTCTTCTTCTTCGTTGCCTTCTTCGGCGACCTTGGCCATGTCATCTTGAGCACTGTCTTCGGCGCGGAAGTGTACCTCGGGGACTTTTTCTTTGCCGTCTTTTCCTGTAATCATGGGGAGTTCGGACTGGACCAGGCGTTCGAGGTAGGAGAGAGGTTGTTGGGGGTGGACGAGGAGGGCTAGGGGTTCGATGTCTTTACGGTCGGTATTTTTGTCGAGGGTTGTGAGGGGAAGAATGAGCTTTAGGAGACGCGAGGGGGTTGTTAGGAGTTTGCCTAGTGATGTTAGTTGTTGAGCTCATGTAGATTGAGATATACTGGCAAACTTACCCTTTGTCATGGCTCCCGCACTTCGATTACGCCGTACTGGTGGTTGATCGGCCCCTTCTCGATGCCATGGTGTTCTGGCTTGAAGCTCCTTCTGCTTTCCGATTGCATTATCAATTTGTGAATTGAAACCATCGTCTTTCTCATCGTCTTTCTCATCGTCTTTCTCGCTATCTTCCAACCCTTTCCTGCTCAGTTCTTTTGCCTTTTCTGTGTGTTCGTTCTGCTCTCGGAGGTTTCGTGAAGTAGAGAATAGATTTGAAACAATATGTGGGTGGTAAATCGAGACGGGTCGTGGCTCTTGTGAAGCTCGAGGTCTATCGCGAAAGTGAAGTATGGCAATTGGAGATTGCGATGTGGCCGCGATCGACTTCGGCAGCAACCGCAGCGACTTCATTCTATCTTTGGCAGAAGCGCTGCTTCGGAGCCAGAAGTCGTTGGATTCTAAGACTGAAAGTCTATTGCTATCTTAGACTCATGATGCAGAATATATCTGGCACAGCCCAGGAGTTGTTGAGCTTGAAATTGAGAAGCTGTTTGCACCCTAGCTTGCGCCCACTTGGCAGCTTGGTAGACGATGACGTCCGCCGCACAACGAAAAAATTCAGCCCCATATCCCCTCTTGGTAAGTGAGTATCTGTGAAACAGGGGACCTGGACTTTTGAACGTCGCATCACAAGATGTCAAGGTCTCAAAACAAAAGTGGACAATGATACATCGGAAATGCAGAATCAAATTCTACGGCCATATATTGACAGACTCGCTATACAAATAATACATACAGAAACTACGTACGAACGGTACTTAGAGGAGGGGTTCTAGTCGGTCACCACCACACAATCCATGTTACGTCCATCCATCAATCCTGCCCCCATTCTTTTTCTCATGTATGCGTCTAACATACTATGCATGCCCAAAAACAACCATCTTCTTTTCCTTCCATGCGCGTGCTAAGATTACAAACAACTCCCCCATCAAATTGTCTCGCCTCATCTCCATATCAAACGCATCAATTCACACCCTTGAAGTTCAAACTGAATCTACTCTCCCTTCAGCTTATCCTGAGTAACAGTGAAAGCAACCTCAAGAAGCTCAGCCTCCTCCTTGGTATGACTGGCCTTCAATCCAGTAGCAACCGAGGCACTTGGGTTACGACCAGCATACATAACGTGCTTGCGATCGTGGTGCTCAGTGTTGTTCAACAGGGTCTCAATTCTGGGCTGAGTGAATGACCAGGCTCCGGCATTGAGAGGTTCCTCCTGAGCCCAGACGATGGTCTTGGCATTAGGGTATTTGTCCAGATTCTCCTTGAGTTGTTGCCATGGAAAGGGGTTGAGTTGTTCGATACGGGTAATCGCGGTGTTTTTGATGCCCTTCTCAGCACGGTATTTGTGGAGTTGAACATAGACTTGACCGGTACAGAGAATAATTCGGTCAATCTTCTCTGGCTCCTCGATGGCTTTGCCGTGCTCTGGGTCGGGGATGATCCATTGGAATTGAGATTCACCAGTGAACTCTTCGATTGGTGAACGTGCTAGAGGGTGTCGAAGGAGAGACTTGGAAAAGAAGATAATGAGCGCTAGAACAATGTTAGTATGACAAATCATGACAATGTAGAGGAATTAGTTTACGCTTTCGGAATTGTCTGTTCATCTGTCTCCTTAAGACGTGGAAAAGATTGGATGGCTCAGTCATATAAGCAATCTGCATGTTGCAGTCCTGGTGTTGACGATCAAGCTTCTCAGGTGATGGGAAGATACGAGGATCCTCGTTACACAATTGAAGATATCTCTCCATACGACCAGAAGAGTGTTCAGGTCCTTGTCCGTCATATCCGTGGGGCAGTGACATGACCAGACCAGATCTTTGCATCCATTTCACCTCACCAGAGGCAATGAATTGATCGATAATGCATTGAGCGTTGTTGGCAAAATCACCAAATTGAGCCTCCCAGATGACAAGAGCATTGGGTGATGATAAAGAGTAACCATACTCGAAACCGAGACAACCAAACTCACTCAAGGAGGAGTTGGAGATGACGAATTTTCCTTGATCCTTGCTGATGTGTTGAAGTGGTGTATATGTCTTCTCATTCTCCTGGTCGTGGAAAACAGCATGTCTTTGGGAGAAAGTTCCACGCTCGACATCTTGACCTGAAACTCGGACATGGTGACCTTCATTGACCAGGGATCCAAAGGCAAGGGCTTCAGCAGTAGACCAATCGATGTTCTTTCCCTCATTGACAGTCTTGATGCGGTTGGTGAGAATACGTTTAAGATTGCGATGGACGTTGAATCCTTCTGGAGCGGTACCAATCTCAGTTCCGATATGCTCTAGAGTCTTCTGATTCACACCGGTTGGTAGATGGGGAAGGACCTCAGTGGCCAATTCCTTGGGTGACTTGAATCCATTCCACGCTGATGTTGTCCACTCCTTGGAGGATGGCTTGTAGTCCTTGCTCTTAGCAAAGCTGTCTTCGAGCATACCCCAGACCCATTTGCGGTGCTCCTCGATATCATCTTTGGTGAAGCTACCCTCTTTCAATAGCTGATCAATGTAGAGATCGATTTGAGACGGGTGTGCTTGAATCTTCTTGTACATGAGGGGTTGGGTGAAAGAAGGCTGGTCGGTCTCGTTGTGACCGTACTTGCGATAGCAGACAAGATCGATTACAACATCTTTCTGGAACTCGGCACGCCAGTCAGCTGCCAATTGACAGACGTAGTTGACCGCCTCAACATCGTCCGCATTGACGTGAAACACTGGCGCGTCAATAGACTTAGCGATGTCTGTGCAGTAAGCGGTAGAGCGAGCAAATCGAGGATCAGTAGTGAAACCAATCTGGTTGTTGACGACCAAATGGATGGTACCACCAGTAGAGTAAGCAGGTAGAGAATGGAATCCCAGGCACTCGTAGACAACACCTTGAGCAGCGAAAGCTGCATCTCCGTGAAGAAGAACACCCATCGCAGTTGTGTGATTCTTCTCGTCATTGTTATAATGCTGGATAGCTCTGGTTTTACCGAGCACCACTGGATCTTCTGCTTCCAAATGCGAAGGATTGGCAACCAACGAAAGCTGGACGCGTTTGCCGGAAGGAGTTGGTCGTTCAAAGTTCATTCCCAAGTGGTACTTAACATCTCCAGATCCCTCGTCCTCTGCCGCAGCAGACCCACCGAATTCGCTGAAAATCGACTCATTTGGTTTACGGACGACGTTACTGAGGACGTTGAGACGCCCACGATGAGGCATACCGATAATGATATCCTTGACTCCATAGTCAACACTTCTGTCGATGAGTGCCTTCATTCCCGGTACCAAAGTTTCGCAACCTTCCAGACCGAATCGTTTATCGTTGGGGTATTTCGTCGCCAAGAAACTTTCGAAACTTGAACTCCAAATCAACCTGTCAAGGATTCGGCGCTTCTCATCAATTGAGTATTTGAATGGTGTCTCGATCTCGACGCGCTCTCGGAGCCAATCGCACTGATGTCTGTCCGGGATGTGGATGTACTCGACTCCATACGAGCCACAGTACATCATCTCGCAAGCTGCGATAATGTCTCGAAGAGTCATTTTCTCTCGTCCCTCTTTCTTCCATCTTGGTAAAATACCCGGACCAAGTGTGTACTCCGTATCGAGGTCCTTCTCAGTGAACTGGTAGTGCTCGAGTCGTAGCTCCTTTGGATTGCTGTACCCAAATTGCTCGGCCTCAATGCGAATACCCAATGGATCGATTTTCGCCTTGTGATGACCACGAGCTTGATAGGCGCGGACGAGCAATTGAACCTTCAAATGATTTGTGACATCCGAGCCTTCCCCAGCAGACATGCCTAGACCTGGCATGAAGCTGGCTACGCCACCAGTTGGCGTTGGAACGAGCGTAGGTGGAGGAGTGAAAGCTTGCGACATTGGCATATCGCCACTTTCCATGTTCTTGAAGTAAACCTGCCATGAGACGTGGACACTCTTAGGATCGTGTTTCCATTCCATGTACATCTCATCAATGTAGTTTGCGGTATTTCCGGACAGGAAGCTGTCATTTGGATCTGGGGCAGATGCGACAGCAGCAGCATATCGCTTCTGCGACAGTCCAGGTAAGGGGTTTCGTTTCGAGGAGAGGGAGGATTTGCAGCTTTTCGAGAAGCTTAGAGGTGTTCTAGGAGTGGTACATATGGATCGAGCTGAGCAGCCGGCCTTAAGGAGCTGGCTGCTCTTTTGTCGTAAGGAGGTTCTGAGCATTGTGCCGGCCAATACAGTAAAGAAAGGTCAGAAACGACAAAAGGTAGATGATCGGGTTCGAAGATACCCAAGCCACGCAAGCTTATAAGTGCTTGAGGCAGATTGATGAAAAAGAAAGGCGGAGTAAGTCTTTTTTGGAGATCTGGAAATGTAACAGGAACTCGGAAGGGCAACACACATGCAAGGCCAGATGACGGATTATTTTCTCCGGCCATTCAGAACGCGCTAAAATTGCCTCTCAAGGCTGAGTAAGCGTGGAGCGTGCCGGACCCGGCGAGCGGCCCGACCAGCGATTCAAGCGTGGCGATCTGAGGCATCCGACCCTTGGACTCATTCCAGACTCCTCATCAACAGCTTCACCATCGTATCTTGGTAGAGCAACGGCGACAGAACGCGCAGAGGTCCAGCACTAGGGGGCTTTGGGTTATTGAGGATTGCAATCTTACTGGGTCAATTTTATTCGAATATCAAAGAACTTGAGTTCAATTTGAGATTTCCTCGGGATTGCCTGCCTTGGTAGGCACATTCAGACATCACCATTGCTTCACCCTCAGTGTTATTCGCAGAGCGCCTGGCGTTTAGATGCTGGTCATAAAATAAACACTCGTTGAATATGTCACATCTTCCAAAAGGCTCGGCCATCTATAAGAAAAAGGAAGGAACTTTGAGCATTACACCCAACAAGTCTCTTTTGCAATGGCTGCCTCGAGATGGAGGAAACACGGTCGCAATCGCAATTGGAGATATCACTAGTAGGCAAAAACCTGTGTGCTAAGCAGCTGAGGATATTAACTTCATTTAGATCTTCAGCAGACCCCGGAGACTGCCCCGAAAGTCATGTTGAAAGTGTTTGAAAAATCACCTGGTGCTGCCGAGGCAACAACTCATTTATTTCAATTCAACTCGCCAGCTAACCCGCGAGGAGAAGCAAATGCTATCAAAGATGCTTTGACCGCGGTGATAAATGCCATTAAGATGGCTGATTCCAACACACCAAAAGCGAATGGCAGCACTCCTGTATCTGCAGCGATGGCCATGGCAAGCGCTGTTACTTCAAAGCATGGCTCGGTGTCCGCCAAATGGTATGATGACAGTGCATTGAAGGTTGACATTGAACTCCAGCAGTCACTCATGAAGAAAGACCCGGCACTGCATCGTACGTATATGGAGGCTTTGCGGACAAAGCCGGATACCATATCAAATTCTCAGTTCAACTCACAATTCTGGTCTACCCGAACGAATATTCTCAGAGCTCATGCGGTCGAATCTAATCAAAAGCGAGGTTCTTACAACGTCCTTTCGGCTGTGAAACCGCGGCAAGTCGATGGGGAACTCAAAATGAACATCACCCACGAGCAGGTTCAGCTTATTTTCAGCCAGCATCCACTGGTCAAGCGAGTCTATGATGAGAATGTTCCCAAGCTCAACGAGATGGACTTTTGGTCGAGGTTCTTTCTTAGCCGGCTTTTCAAGAAGTTGAAAGGAGAAAGGATAGTAACAACAGATTCAACTGACCCTACGTTCGATCGATATCTAGATGCAGCAAATAACAACGGTCCCGATGCGAAACTTCTTGGCTTACACATCCCACACTTTATTGATCTCGAAGGCAATGAAGAAAATCAGGGTGGTAATAAGGGGGGTAACCGAGCAGATTTCACTATGAGACCCGGTGGCATAGACAAAGTGCCCATCGTACGAACACTCAACAGTCTTAGCGAAAAGATCATGGCACACGTCGCTCCATCGGACATCGATCCAGCCAATCCTATCGGGATGGACGAAGAAACCTTCAATACTCTGGCCCTGCGCGATTTGCAAGGAGATTCCGCGGAGAATCGTATCATACTCAATATCAAAGAGCAAAGCCAATTCTTTGCGAACGAGAAAACCGAAGTTTCCGCTGATGCAGCGCTGTATTCTAAACAAGTACCCGCTGAAGTCTTGTCAGGAATGCGTTCAGACGTAGACCCCCGAGCAATGGGTCAAAGAGATGGGAGAGGGCTAGACCTTAGCTCTGCTATAGGAGTGATTGAAGACAGCGATCCGGAAGACGAACCTGAGACCAAAACTCCCCATGTTGGAAGTAAGCTCAGCATGAAAAATGCCACTCAACAAATCATGGAAGGAGTCAAAGCTCGTCGATTGGAGACGGATGGATTTGACGCACAATCATCTCTTTCTGGTCTATCTCAGAGAATGTTTGAAAGAATCACATTGACTCACGCGACGACGACGGAATTTCTGCATCACTTCTGGCTTGTATTTCTCTCGGGTGACCCGGACCGTGCCGGAGAACTAGCCAAAATGGTCGAGACATTAGAACGCGCTATGGATCGAATAAATGCTGTGGCTAATGAAGCTGAGGCTGAAAGAGAAGAGCTCATTAGTAAAAAGCGAAAACATATCAGAGATGTTTTTGAAAAGACTGGGAAGAAGCTCAAGTTCAATCCAACTTCGGTGGAAGGCGGAAAGAAGACTGTAATAGAGATGATGGAGCCAACCATTAGAACATTGCAAAAGGCCACTGCGGAGTATAAACGGGCTTTGCAGGCAGAAGGTGTAGAGGTATCATGATTTTGTAAACTGTATCATCAATCATAGCGACGGCGTTAATTTGGGGAAGGGACGATGGTCTCCGTCAAAAATCAATGGAAAGTACTCTACGGGCTCGGGTGTTTATGCTCACCTAGATCTGCCTCCCTCTCTTCTTCTCTACCACACCAATTCTAATCTTTATTGATGCCGACGACATATTCTGGGTTCTGCTTTGGAATCATTGTTTGAATATACCTCCCAGCTTTATTACTCATCAATTAGTCGTTATGACATCTACAATTACTCCCTCAAAGACGGAAGACGCTGGCAGTCCTTCTCGACTCCCGTTGATCCCCAGAAGTCTGTCGTCAAACACGATACCAAGAAGAAAAGTCCGCAGAAAGGATTCTTTTGTTCTTCTATCGGACTCGACAGACGATGCATTCAGTCCTCATAGTTCTATATACGATGCTCAGTACTATTCCGCCAGCGAGGAAAACACCGAAAAACCTGATCCTGTTGCATTAACTGTCCCGAAGTCGCCCTCTATACGCTTGATCGACGAAAATGTACGAGGTGGAGACACACGAACACCTTCCATTACCATTCCGGACATAGAGTTTCTTTACGGCAATGGCACGATGTTAGACACAATCACAGAGCAAAAGAGTTGTCAGACAATGAGATCACTTGCTCGCCCGAAATCGGTCGATCACATTCGCAAGATGGCATCTCTTACGCACAGTGATAGTTTCGAGCTTTCCAAGGTCCCCCGACGGATGCAGTCTCTGAGTCTTGATGACCTAGCTTCGATCAAGCTGTCATATCATAATGCCTGCCACAACATTGAAAGCAAGAAATGCAGCCCAGTTCCTTCAATACATGAGATATACGCACAGCCCAAAGAACCAATACATGCACCAATTGTCCGGCCTTCTACTCCGCCGGGCATGCCATCGTGGACTGCTGGTCAAGTCATTGGGCAACCGCAGCGCACAGCAACTCGCCAACGGAATGCCATCCAAAGATTCTTTGGACTCTCAGGGCCTATGAGCATTCCGTCCTCGAGTAATCCTCCTCCACCATATGGGTCTACTAACAGACCTCCACCTCGATTCCGACCTCCACGAAGTTCATATGCGGCGATTGATCAACACCCCTTCACTCGCGCCCCTATAGCAAACACATTAGAACGTGCCAACCCTCGTTTGATGGGCAGGCGAAAAGCGATGAATCGCGTACGCTTTACGGCCTCGGCGACAGCGAGAGACTCTGAACAGAACATGCTTCGGAATGCAATTGAAGCCACCAGTAGCTCTGCTATTAATCCTATTACTTCAATCCCAGAGACCGCAACGGTTCAGTCTCCGCAAGCTGCTTGTCCTCACCGTCGTGGAAGAAGGGCAGCCATGAAATCTTCAAGTAGACGCTTCAACAATCCATTCTCAAGGAGCACGAATACCGAGCGCGGTGGAATGGAGCTTCCATACTCAACTGTTCGGCAAAGCCATCTTCCTACGCAGCCAAATATTGAAGGGTCACCGTGTCACAATGACGTCCCTTCCGCCCGTCCATCATTGGAAGTCAGTCCAGTCGTAGCGCAAGGCATGGCTGGAAGTGCTCTCTCCAACTCCTCAACCGATCATCTCATGAGTGGCGCCAATCCAGAGCCCCGAAGACCTCATTCTGCCAAGAACTGGTGTTGGAAATGCGCAATTGATAAAGTGGTGGTGAAACTAGACACATTTTGGTACAACGGTGCGGCATGCCTGTGTTTCGTCTGCTGCGGATATGATATTGACGAAGATAGCCACGACCGAAATAGATCTGATATGGGCGTTTACAGGCTTCCTCACGCTGGGTTTCGTTATCTCGATGGTCCTTGTGATTTTGAAAATCCGAGAACGTATTTAGCTCCTAGACAGGTTGTTCTTGATGGGACTTATGGGGTTGCGTTGTGAGAGTTTGGGATTTGGTGACAGGGAATGCAAAGGGTGTTGGAACTGGGCTAGGAATACGTCTGTGTTGTTGAGCCTGTTGGCCTGTCCGTGTTTGTATCATTTTGCAAGTCTTTTATCCCGACCTGCATTTTTCAATCTGGTAATTTTCAATTGCTAATTCAACATCTCAAGCAGATGTAGTAGTTCGCAAGATGACCATGGCTGAGCTCTTACATCAGCTAAATTATACAACAGTGATCCTTATATGTTGAAGAACTTTGAGTAGGTCCTTAGACAGCACATGGTAATTAGGCATTTAGCCATCCCGAACATTCAAGGAATCACTTTCTACAGATCGTTGCAATCACAATATTGAACGCTTTATTGCATATGCAATTTACTTGGCAGATTGACCAAGGAAAATCTTGTTTGATCAACCAACGACAAGCCTTTACCGTCGTCAGGTTCTTTGTTATTCTTCATTATTGACCCACCGGATCATCAACCCAAGGTAGCTGAGTCTTCCCCTTCTCGTACACCCCCTCAGCGGGTTTCCACATCCACCAAATCGACAAACTCCCCAGATCCGACCCCAGCCTCTGCCACGTGTTACTCGGTTCCTCTTTGTCAGTATCAATACACAACTTCAACCGTCCTCAGCCCAAATTTTCTATACAGAGGCACACCCATTCTACTCGCTTCAACCAACACCTCAAGTTTCATCTACCCTGCCCTCTTCATCCCCCATTCCATAAACATACTCGCATACCCCTTATTCCGCTCTTTCAGATATGTAAACATCAGATCGAGTTCTAAACGATCAGCTGGAGTCACGACTTTGAAATGATAGGTAACTCACGTGCATAAGGCCTCACCATCCGTCTCCCTCTGACCTGATACATCTGATTGAAGTTTGAACACGCAATTCGCAAACTCCCGTCCCTCGCCCTCGGGATGCCACGTCGTATCCACCACTGGAATGCCCTTTACCCAGGCTGAGCCGTCCGGATAGAAAAGCCAATGCGCACCACTGACTACTTTGCCGGCGTCGTCAAAGACGGCGAGCCAGGTGCTTGAGGAGCCGTCGTTGATGTGGGCGTCCCAGAAGAAGTCGAGGGAGGAGTCGAAGGCGGCGGGGGCGCGGGGAGGAGTGTTGGAGAGGGTTGGGCAGGCGAGATTCATGTAGGGTTCGTAGGGGTGGTGGATGGAGTCCCAGAGGCAGTGGAGGACGGGGAGGAATTGGGCTTTTGTTGTTATGGGAGTTATTGGAGGCAAAATTAGGGCATGGGGGTTCGAATCGGAGACTTGTTACTTTGAAACTCTTTAGTCTGGGGCATAGAGGTCTGGATGTAGATATTCGTTAAATTCTTATATACTTGGAATTTTACAGCTGATAGCCGGGATTTGAATCGGGAATGAATACCCAGAACTGAGTCAGCTTGCCATTTATCTGACAAAACTTTCTGCATGCCGAAAGACTTGGAAGTTCGATAACAGGTTACCAAATAATGTTGACGTTTTTTTTGGTTTCCTAGCCTAATGTGATGAGAATAACTTCTGTGTGGTTCATTTTCGTTACTGGAGTCCTGGTCGTAATTAGTGGTGACGCAGAGAATTGTGTCAAATACTGGTAGTGCTTGATACATTCCAATGGTATCGCCGAAAGGCAAGAGTTCCAACCAATTGTTAGTTTCAAATCAACGTATGTCTTCTGGGCGAATGCAAACTAAGAAGTGGCATTTCATTATGGTGCGCTGAGATTGTGTCTTGAGATGTGCAGCATTTAACTCGCCATTAGGGAATTGGCGAGTTTAGCTATGGCAACGACCAATTCTATGAGCAAATGATCAAATCTCTATAATTTTTGAGTAGGACGTGTAATTAACTAATTGTTGTACGAAAGTTGTGAAATCGTGAAAGTAAACCTTTCTTTAGCAGTAGATAAAAAGAGGCTTTTTTTTAATTTCACATAAAAAGCTACGGCAATTGTAGTTGTATTTGATATAGCATATGAACATACTAATAGATAGTCGAAAATGCATACTTCCCCGTTTTAAAACCTACAATATATTGCGAAATGAAAAATGCCCCATAGTAGTCAAATGAATTTTTGGCGATTTTGATCAGTTTCACGAGTTGGGAGGTTTGGACTAGAATAAAAGTGGAATTGGTCAATTCCATAATCAGTGTATTGGATGCTGCAGAACTCTCAGTTCATTACAGTGTGTTGCGATAGTGTTCTGAAATTTCCTTAGATTCCTCTTCATGTTGTGACCTCGCTGTGTGACTCCACTCAGGAAATTCGAAGGTGACAACAACCCCTTTCAGCATCTCCAGTGAATACGCCTATCCTTCGGCCCCTCTCCATTTAGTTTACCCGGATTATTGTGAGCCAATCATCTAAATGAAAGCTTTATAAAGCTAAATGATTCTTTTTCCGTTAACCGATCGTTTAATACTCTAGCAGCAATCCTTTTGGGACTGACCGTCTATGGTTATGGCCTGATCAACCTGACTAATAAGTCTTTTAAACTTGTGTGGGCGACGGATCTTAAGGCTGTGATTATATATAATGATCCAGCATCTCAATATGGTGTTCATCCATACGAAAAAACTCTCCAATTCTTCTTTTTTTTCCTCAAAGTTTCCTGCCTTTTTTGTTTTCTTTTTTTGTAAAAGACATTGTCGCTTCCCACTCTCTCTACTGGTAATTTTTGATTTCTGGTTTTAATAAGTAATAAGGAAAGTAGCACTCCATATACCGAGACAAACTATAGCATTATACATAAATCGTTTAGATTATTTCAAGAACTGACTACCTAAAATGCAAGCGAGAAAGATAGACGAGACAGTATTCGGATAATTGTAAATTACACAGAGACGCTCTCATCTTGAAGTATTTCAAGGGGAGTTTAGAGACATTTTATTTGCTCAATATAGTTGATGAAACATACAATGTCTCGTCCCAAGAATTACTCATTTACTCAAAATATCAGATAAATTGTACGATATTTCGTCAATTGTCCTGAGCAAGTATCATCTTTGTAGTTCTGTACATCTCCTTGATTTCCATCATTTGTCAAGTTGTCCACAACGTTTACTTGCCTCCAGCTATCAGTGAATAAGCACGTGAACTCGAGGGTCACGGATTCGCCAGTGAATAACCAAACACCCAGTGAATAACAAAACAGACGAAGCTGAAGTCTACAGAATTTCGCCTGGATGCCTGAAGATTTTGCCTAATCAATGAGCAGGTTTTCTGAGCGTCGCCTATAAATTTCTCTTCTCTCGCACCACTTCTTTCTTCTTCAACATCACCACATCCATCCCCCCCACCGCCCAATCGCACCAAAATGGCTGCCACAGACCGAAAGATCACAGACTACGAGCTCTCAGACTTTGCTGAGCGGCCACGCCGTTTGAATGCAGACGGAAATAACCTCATCCGTATGTATGAGAATACGGACGTTTCACACATCAACCACCCCAAATGGCACAAATTTAACCTCTTCGACTTCACTTTCAAGGTTGGTTACAAGAGCTTTGTTCACAACGTTGATCAAATCAACACGGTCCCCGTTGATCGTATACGTATGGAGGCTTTGTGGTGGAAGGTTTTGTTGGAGAAGTGGGAATCCTACGACCCCCGATCTAAAAATCGCAATCGCCTCCAGTCACAAACCTTCGAAGAGCTCATGGATCGCAAGGAAGATCTCATGTATAACGCATTCAATTCGGTAGGCTTTCTGAATACTCCTTCGATCTGTCGTGCTAACTCTTAGAAGCGATTTGCCGAAGACTTGGCCCCACTCAATGCACTGAAGAGCAATCTCAAAGGCCTGCAGCGGAAGAATGACTTGAAACGCTGGATTGAGCCGTACTGGCAAGCCAAGAAGGAGAAATATCCAGAGATGGACGTCGAGGTACTTCTTCCCCCCTCACCTTTGCCTCCATCTTCTAACTTCCCGCAGAGACAAATCCAGAATGCGAACCCCAAATATATGAACTACGAGGAAATCGAGGATGTTTACGGTCCAAATCTAGCCTAAAATTATGTGACAGATTCGCTTATTTCATTCGACGAGATGAGAGGGACGTACCCGGAGGATGAACTTCACGATATAGATGAGCAAATGGAGGGTATGGCCATCGACGGAGGAGATGATGGGGATCAATATTATGAGGACGGCGGCGATCATGAGGAGTACTACGAAGAATATGACGGAGATTATAATGAAGAAGAGCATAACGAAGGCAAGAAAGATGGAGATGGTGATGTCGAGATGGATTGTTAAATGTTGAAAGATGGAGCAAGCTCACTGTTACAACAGAGATTACACTTTTTTTGTTAACGGGCAAGGCCACTTTTGTCGAATGTACAGAACAATAGCTTAGATTGAGGCTCAACAAAGATACAATTGATCAGACTACATGTACATCGCCAAAAACTACGTGTCTAGTTATTAGTTATTCAATTGGCTAACCAGATGCCTTCCAGAAGCTGACTTCTAGGTCGTATCTAAGATCGGAGACTCTGATGTGCCTACTGGCCCCTCCGCAATATACTTTCCACACTTGAAAGACATCATCCCCGAGCAAAGTAACATATGTGTCTTGGTTGGGTCTCACTAAAAGCAAAGCAGCAAATTTGAACCATGCATGATGGATTGAAAATATATATTTACAAGAACAACTCCAGGCAAAAGGATTTCCAGCCCCCGTTTCCATGTTTCCTACCCAAAGGAACATACTCAGGACGCCGAATGTCTCCCAAAAGAATGTACACCAGAAAACTACACATCGTTATATTTGTACAAGAAACATCTCACCCACCCCTGGGATCTACAACTGTCCATCAGCACCGAGACAAGAAGTCTTGGTATCTACGGTAGCTGGCTCATTGCCGGGAGTTGTTCCCTCAAACTCCTGACAGACGGTCTTGACAGAAGTAATCTTAGATCCATCAAGTGTAGCGGTATCGCCAAAGTTGGAGTTGATGCCTAGATCTCGTTAGTATAAATCCTAGTAACCTCAAGATCAGGAAAGCACTTACCAACAAGAATATCCCCGTTGCTAGCAGAAACGCCCTTCATCACCACATGTCTCTCATTAGAAGCCTTGCAGTTTCCACATGATCTATACAATTTCCCGAACGTATCAGCCGTGAAGTCGTTAATCACAACCGTTCCGGCGCCATTATGTTGGATGACCTTGTCTTCGGCTCCAAAGGCTCCTCCACCGTTGATCGTTGTCGTTGCACCGGCGTCCTGGAGTTTGATTGTGAAGGCATCCTCGCAGACAGCAGACCACCATACGTTTGTGAGAGTGCAGGCACCTTGACAGTGCACACCTTCGATTTGGTTGGGCCCGATGATGACATTTGAGAGGGATCCGCCTTCTTCGATGTTGAATACAGCATCTGAGTCGCCGCCTTCGGCTTGGCCTGTGCAGGATACACCTCGGTCGAACATCGTCATTCCACCATCGAAAGAGCCGCCTGCTGCGATTGTTTGCGCGGCTGAGAGGACGGAGGTTCCGGATGAAGCGGGTAAGGAACCGCCGCTTGAACCGCTGGATGAGCCGGTTGTTGGGGATGCCGTCGTTGCTGCTGAGGAGGCTTTGCCAGTTTTGCTTGATGCAGCGTCGCTGGCTGCTGGGGTTGCGCTGGCGGATTTAGCTTTGCTTGTGGTTGTTACATCAGCATCAACGTCGTCAGCGTCGTCTGCAGCATCGGTGGCTGTTGTGGCTTCAGTGGCCTTTGTCTTGGTTGTCTTAGCCTTTGAGGTCTTGCTTGCCTTCTTGGTGGTTGCTTCGCTAGTCTCAGCAGCGAGGTTTACGGGAGCTGTGAAGGTTGCAGAGGATACGGCGGTGCTGGTAACCTCATCGTCACATTCTCTGGCGAAGATGGCACCTGTGTATTTGTTCGAAGGCGCGGCAGAGACACCGAGAGAAAAGGCCAAGATGGCGAGTTGAACGTTGGAGAACTTCATTTTGAATTGAAAGATTTCTTTGGATGTTGGAAAAGTGAGTGTATAAGCAATGCTCAGCAAAGTATTCAAGAAGATATAAATCGCTACGCTCGCAGAGCTTGTGGGTATGAAATGATTCAAATGAAAGAATGAAGAAGATGATGTGGGTGAAGAAGGAACTTCTGGTAGGACAGATGAGATATACTTATATCGAATCCCCTTTCCTACATAACAGCGACGTTGAGACTGGATCCATCGTTGAAGTTACCATATCGTAGTTTACTCCATACAAACAATCTATTTCGAAACAACCTGAAAGAGTTCGAATTGGTTCGTGCTCTATGGATCTACACAAGCATTGTGGAAATGCATTGTGGAAATCCATGAGTAGAATTGCGCAATTCGATTGGTGTAAAGGAGGTCGTCCCGGTATTTCGTCTTCAAAACGAAACTGTGGTAGATGAGATGGTTCGAAGCTGCGGCTGACCTAGTCTAATCTTCTGGGTCAAAATAGTGGACGATGAATTTCAATTGGAAGAAAGACGCGGAAAAAGAAAGAAGGACGTTGGGTTGGAGCGTGGATCGAAGATACGGGAGTGAGCTCGGGCCAGTGCATAAATTGGGGTTTCTTGGCGTAGGGAGGAATTAAGGTTCAAACACTCTATCTGGGAGTGATTGAATTGAAGGCGGGAGACTTTATGCTCCTTGTGACGGAAAGTAAGGACGTTATTCGGATGATAGATGACGCCTCATGTCAGAAAAAGCAAAATCGCTTGTTGCCGACAAGAAAAGCGTGACCTTTCACTTCAACAACTTCCAATTAAGATGAGCCATTCAAATAAACAACAGCAAACGAAACACCTCCAGAAGAGAAGAACTGGATATCCTATATCGAAACAAATCCCCTAAAGGAAAAATATCCGTACCAAAAGCAAACCACTCTCCTTCCACATCCCAGCGCAAATCCACCCCCTCGCTTATTCGTCACCCATCAACCCGCCTTCGTTTCAAGTCAACGCGTAACCGCCAAGCTTAAAGCAGTCTTAGCAATCTGGGTATATCCCTAATCATTGTCCACATCTCGAGGCAACATGTTCATGGAAAATATAAATGTTGTCCTTCTCGAAGTGTGTCATCAGATGATGGAAAAGGCATATTTTCGGCAAAGTTTGAGAGATGGAACAACGGGTGGTGTCTGAGAGATATCGGATGAGGCATTGACGTGTGTATCAGAGGCCCGTCTCCAACCGGCCATGACTTGTGTTTTTTGGAAAGGAAAAGGTTGGAAGGCGAAGTAAAATTCGGGACATAATGCGCAGTCACAGAAGCAAGAGGAAGATCACAGGAGTTGAAAGGGGTAAGCACAAAAGAGACTCGTTTCATTCTATATACAGATAAACGCTAACAAGAAAGCCATCACTGGGCTAGAAAACCACATTGACGCAACTAGTGACCGTTGGTCTTGCCATTGGTACCGTTCGAGTTGCCATTGGCCTTGCCATTGGTAGAAGTACCCTTCGACCACTCGCCGTGGCTGCCACGAGTAGGCGCGCCATTGTTCTCCGTAGTTGAGAGAGTCACGCCCTTCATGCCATTGGCAGTACGCTTGCTCTTATCCTTGGCCATTCCGTTGTGCGTTCCGTTGAACTGCAACTCGGAGATACCATCGTACCCCTTGATACCGGTTGCCTTCTCGAGACGGCTGGCAAGATCCTCGGAGACCTCACGGAAAATGGCGATCTCACGCTTGATAATCTCCTCCTTTCGGCAAGTGCTCATGTGACCAGAAACGTTCTTGATGAATCGCTCCTTGGCTCCATCATCGAAGACCTTCTCCCACAAGGCGCGTGGTGCGTTGAAGTCCTCTGGGCGGATCTCAGACAAGAAAGTGACAGCATTGCCAGTGAAATGGCCGTGCAACTTGTCCAAGTTGACGCTTCGCTCGCGGAAGTGCATTGGCTCGATGGACGAAAGGTAGTTTGGTCGCTTTCCTTGGTTGTAGAAAGCCATGTTACCGTCGCGCTGGAAGTTACCCATGCGGTAGTTGACCTTTGGAGTGTTGACAGGGAGTTGTTGGTAGTTGGCACCGATACGGTGACGGTGGGCATCTGGGTAGGAGAAGAGACGGGATTGGAAGACTGGATCAGCAGATGGCTCAATACCTGGAACCATGTGTGCTGGGTTGAAAGCGATCTGCTCGATCTCGGCGAAGTAGTTCTCGGCGTTCTCGTTGAGCTCGAACTCACCGATCTTGCGGAGAGGGAAGTCCTTGTGTGGCCAGATGTGAGTAAGATCGAAGACGTTGATCTTCTTCTCCTCCCATAAATCCTCAGCTTCCTTAGCGGTCATTGTCTGCACCTCAAGAGACCACTTTGGGAAGTCGCCCTTCTCGATGGCCTCGTAGAGATCCTTCTGACTGTAGTCTGGAGACTTGGTTGCGGCCTCCTCTTGGGTGAAGAACTTGGTTCCCTGCTGGGAGATCATGTGGAATTGAGCGTACTTCCAATCGCCATCCTTGTTGGCGATCTTAACAGTGTGGCCCAAGTATCCGTGCATGTGACGATATCCATCTGGAATACCACGATCGCCCATAAGGATCATGACTTGATGGATAGATTCTGGGTTCTGGGAGAGATAATCCCAGAACATGGTCGAGTCATCAGCACCAGTAAGGTGAGTTGATGGATCTCTCTTCTGTGTGTGAATGAAGAGAGGGAACTTGGCTGGATCTCTCAAGAAGAAGACTGGAGTGTTGTTGGCTACCAGATCCCAGTTACCCTCATCAGTTCTGAACTTGATAGAGAAACCACGAGGATCACGAGCACAATCGTGAGATCCTGACTCGCCTCCGACCGTGGAGAATCTGACTGAGATTGGGCACTCCTTGCCCTTCTTAAACATATCTGCCATACATAGATCCTCTAAACCCTCGGTGGTTCTGTATACACCATGGGCACCACTTCCCTTGGCGTGGACAACTCGCTCTGGAATACGCTCGCGATCGAAATGAGAGATGAGGTCGATCAAGTGGAAGTCTTGGAGTAGTAGAGGTCCGTTCTCACCCATACGCTGGGTCTCGTATGGATGTGGCATAGGAACGCCATTGGACTATAACATTGTTAATTACCAGTCTTCAAAAGCGGTATATATCCAGGAGGCGAACTTACTGTGGTGTAGACGGTATCCTGAGACTTAGCATGACGGTCGTCAAGGTAGTCGCGGTGCTGATCACCTGAAGATGGCTTGGAAGACATAATGAAGTTTGTTAGAGTTTTGATTATTTATAACTCTTGAAATAAATTTTGATTGACAAAAGAAACCCCTAGATGGACAGCGTATTCTCCTTATATATGAGCGGTTGCCCCGCGTTTCTAACAAGGATGATGATTTCATAGCTGATGATTGGGGGTTCCATGATTGGCTAAGTGCTCTTAGACTAACGGTGACGCGGAACCAGAGCGTTCTGATTTAGTAACACCAGTCTAACGGTGACACCAGCTCTGAACCATATGATATACTGGGGGTATCATTGGCTATTAACAAATCAAATATGCTCAAATCCTTACTAAGACTCTTGTTAATAATGCACCAAGATCGGCTCCAGAAGAGTCGAGAGAACGCCTCTTGGGCAGGAGATTCCTCGGGATGTATAGGCTTGTGTTCGGCCTTCTCTATATCGATTGAAGTACGGTGGCTGGATGGAATCATGACCCGGACTGGTTCATTATTCCGAATAGAATAGGGGAGAAAGGAGTATTTCAACTTGAATGAGCAATTGACAACGGTGAGGGCAAACTGAAAGGGCAGGCTATACTTTCATATTCAAATTCACGTTCTTTGAATCTTGTTGCTGATACGAGTTGTAACTGCCGAGTTGTAAAGTTCAAATTATCGATGACGGCCTCAAGAACCTTGGACCAGCTATGATGCCTGGGGCATCAATTGTTTTTTGCCACGTGATCCTTTGAACCTTCATTCTTTATAGTGTGGCTTGTGGTGGCAAATGCGAATTCGCACAGAAATAAAAGATCTTTCTAATTTTGAGACACCACTCACTATAATGAACATTACTTAGGTAGTCACCTCGTTGCGTTTCAAATCCATAATGTATAATCACGTGACCGGTTTAACTCGCTTAGCCTACTCATTATTTGACTGCAGGTGAGGGAGAATGGGTCGAACTTCGAGTTCTATTTCAAAAGTGGTGTTTTAAATGATACGGAATCAACTGGCATTCTTTAAAAGGCTGTAAAAAGCACCTACCTAGGTGTGTACGGGTAGTGAAAACTCGCCAATGCTGAATCTCAAGGGAATTCTTCAAGTACCGTGGCTGTCAGCATTTATCTCTGGCAGAAGTCATTCTTCCTGGCGTAAATATTATGGCTGATAAAGATGTTGTAATTTGGCAAGAGTTATAATCCCAGCCGGAGACAGGTGTCAAAAGATGGGGTAAGAAAAAGGGGGAGGTTTACGGACGGTAAAGGGAATTCCCCCCCGTTTAGCGAGCCTAGCGCCCAGACTAACCCCGCATTTTCGAAGAGACTGCTCCATCGGCTTAAACCTCTTCTCATCCCAGAAGGCAACATGAACCTCCGAATTATCACATCACTCAATTTCTCGGAGGAATTTTCATTGTCATTTCTGATAATTTCTAACGCTAAGAAGCTCTCTATGCTGCCTCGGTAGCGTCATGAGCTGGCAGATGGGATGCCTCCAGAAGTCAGCCCTGTTAATAACAAGTCACTTAAAGAACAAAGAACAGTCTGTGATCATTGTCGAAGACGTCGTTAGTTCCCATTATTTAGCGTTAGCCTCTGGACAAGTGTTTGCAGAAGCTCAAGAAATGAACTTCAACTGACTAATACAGGCATTCGATGCGATGGCAAGTTCCCTTGCCAACAATGTGAAAGTGCTTCACTTCCTTGTAAAAGAGATCATGTCCCAAGAAGACGCGGTCCAAAGAGAGGAACCGGGAGAGTCATAAACGAACTAAGAGCCAAGGACGAGGATGATGTGAAACCAATATCATTACAACCAGAGTCCAATACTGGCTTTTTGGCTGGAAGCCACAGCACTAGGCCATTGTCGTGAGTAACCAGATGTTTCTTCTATAACCATTGAGTCGTTTATTTCTTCGATAATAAATTCAAACATTTATCTAGTTCTTGGTTGTGGAGCAAGTCATTCTCTACATGTTTCTGCAAAAGCGAAGCTTTCAGGACTCCACGCACGCTTGGCTTTTGCTATTCTCGGTGGATATAGTCCTAGATACATAATGCTTTCAAATAATACTGAGAAGACCACCCGCGATGAGACTTGCCTCCAGAATACTGAAGTGTCTCTTTCCTACATCCACTCCACTCCACTCCATTTGACTTCTTCTACAAGCTATAAAACTTATCTTTCTTTTCAACGTCACACACCATGTCGCTAACACTATCGAAGCATTAAGTTGTGGCTCTCTGATGATGTGGACACGGCGGGACGAGCAAAATGCCTTCCAATAGTGAGCGATGCATCCTATCTCTCCCAAGAACCCAGCATTATCTTCACGAGTGATCAGTACCTACCAACTAGTCCAAGCTACTTTCATCTCATGCGAACATGCCTGGATCTCTTCACGGAACACATTTACCCCATAATGCCTATCGTACATTTACCTTCACTTCAAGCCTCGCTTAGCCGAACATTGGACAAGTCAGAAAAGAACTGGCTATACTCGCTTTGCGCCCTCACATCGACTCATATGTCTGGGAAGAGTATAGTTGCACCGGGACCTCCTTCCTGGGAAACCGCTGGGCGCTTTTTTCTTGATGAATGTATCATGATTCGGCAGAGTTATGACTTCGTGGAGGATAGAACTCTTGCGGCTGTTATATCATCATACTTTGTATCAACAGCTTTTTTTGAACTCAATCAGTCGCGTAAATCGTGGTATTATCTAAGAGAAGCAATGACGATGGGGCAAGATCTTGGATTGCATGATGAGAAGTCATATGCCACATTGCCTCCAGCAGAAGCTTTGTGCCGTCGTCGGACTTTTTGGATATTGTACGTGACAGAAAGGTAGGCAGACCTCTTAGACAGATCTAAAATTGTCAACTAACCGGTCGAAAAGATCATTTGCCATCCTACGCCACAAGCCACTCACTTTGCAGAAAACGCCCAACCTTCCCAACACTGTTCACGATTACGAAGCCCCAGAGATACACGAGGGTTTTTTGCATCTGGTAAACTCCTACCACCTTCTAAACTCATCTTTCGTCGACTCATGGAACGAAGCATCCAATGCCCCTGCATCGACGCTGATCTACACGGCACTCCAACAACAACTAAACTTATCTCACCCAGCCCAACTATCACTAACCGACATCCAACGAGCCGACATCCTCGTAACCCAACAATGGCTCAAACTAATCGTCTGGCAATCCTCCATGCGCCAAGGTCTCCTCTCCTCCACCGCCTCAAACGAAAGCATGACCTTCAGCTACCCCCTCAAAATCGCCCACTCCCTTCTAGGCGTCATCTCCTCCCTCCCAACCACCAGCATCGAAGTCCACGGCATGGGAATCTTCGAAAAGATCTTCGAAGTCAGCAACACCATGCTCGACGTAATGCAGGCATATGGAAATAAAATCCAAAACGACCACTACGGCGTGACGCAGGACCCGTTCGAGATATTCATCAGAACGCTCAGTCAGACGCCGAATTCGCAGCGCCAATACGCGAATCTGCTCCTTGCGAAGGCGGCTGAGAAGCCTGAGATTCAGCGGTTCTCGCAATCTCCGCTGCCGGCACTGAGTGCCCGAACTGGTGTGATGATCAGTGATTGTGGGTTTACTGATAATCATAAGTTATTGCCGAAAACGGAGGTTGGGCAGTGGAGAGGAAGTGTTGTTGGGGAGATTGATGAGGATAGTGTTGTCAAGGTTGGTGGTGATCATACGGAAATGGATAACGGAGGGTAGGAAGGATGTACGCTTTGATCTCAGGGCTAGCCGACGAGGTCTAATCTTTAATATGAAGGTTCTCTGGAAGCGATTTATGCGAGGCTGGGCAATGTACGATATTTGGATTAGGAATTCTGTTTTTGACGGCTTTCCACGCGGGGTGCTTCTGTTTTCTTCTACTAGCTGCGACATTCCTGTATCACGAATCGCAATTTATGGGTCATAACAGAGCCAGGAAATTTCCATTTAATCAGCTGAGCTGGAAAGTCTTATGAAAATTTAATAATCGTCATTCATGGTCGGGTATCATTGAAACTATCAAAACACTAAATATTCCTTTTCTAACACATGGTCTTATAAACCTTCTTCCATCTCGGCCACATACTCCTATCCTCCCTCCATCTCTGCCTAATCAACTCGCTCTCAAATTCATTCCTCCCGGTCTTCAAATCAATATCCTTAAAATTAACCCATTTCGTCCTATACCAGAACTTGTAAACCACATAACATATCACTACCACAGGGAACGCAAGATACGCCTCGAAGAAATCCGCCGTACGTTCGGCGACGGATTCGCGACCGAATCCACCACTGGGGGCCACTGCGACCCAGAATTGTGCGACGAGAACGAGAATCAAGGAGACTAGACCGACCCAAGACCCGGTTACACCGATTGGCGAGCGGTAGATTAGGTCGTCGAGAAGATTTCCTTGATCTGCCCATGCGCGCCGGAATTGGATGTGGGAGTAGCAGATCGAGATCCATGTGAAGATAGACGAGAGACCGGACAACGCGAGGAGCCAGGTAAAGGCAGGGCCTTGAATTGGTGTGATGTATAGGAATGAGAGAAGTCCGATGAAGGAAGCGAGAAGGATGGCGACGAGAGGCCGTCCACGTCGATCGTAGTACGCGAGAATCTTAGGTGCTTGTCCTTGTTCGGCGAGGGCCGCGAGCGTTCGAGTCGCTCCGTACATGGAGGAGTTTGCTACGCTGAGAACGGCTACCATTACTACTGCGTTCATGACTGAGTCGAGGCCTTGAATTCCGGCGTCTTTGATAGCGATGATGAATGGGGAGGCTTTGGAGTCGACGTCGTTGCGGCTGATTAGCTCGAGGCTTGTGTATGGTACTAGAAGGCCGATGACGGCAACTGATATTATGTAAAACTAAATATCATGTTAGTTTATCATTCTTGAGACACCGAACTTAGACTTACAATTGCAATGCGCCAAAAGACCTGCTTGATGGCGGATGGTAGCGATTTACTTGGGTTATGAGTCTCGGCTGCAGCAAGACCGATAAGTTCGGTTCCAGCAAAGGAGAAAGCTGCTGTCACGAGGATGTTGCAGAAGCCTTTGAACCCGTCGTTGAAAGCTCCCGGATTTGACCAATATTTGCCACCAATATAGCCAGAGTCTGGACCGCCACCGCAGTTAATCACCACTCCAAGTATGCTGAAAAAGCGTTAGTGCCTGATCGAAGTCCAGGTTCGTCCAAATACTTACATAAATCCAATGATTGCTGTGACTTTCATGATACTGAAGCAATATTCCGCTTCACCGTAGACTTTTACTGGTGCCAAATTGATCACGACAATCAGGACCAGAAAAATGGTAATGCTAGCCCAGGCCGGAATACCAGTATCCCAGAATTCCAAGGTGATAGTCGCAGCCATAATCTCCAATGGCATTACAAATAACCATTGAATTGCGTAGTTCCAGCCGCTCGCAAATCCCCAAGCCGGATCTATGAACCTCGTACCGAAAGCTGAGAAGGATCCGGCGACTGGGAAAGTCACAGCCATTTCCCCAAGGGCTTGTACTGTGCAATATAATACAGCGCCGATCAGGATAAAAGCAATTAGAAGTGACGCCGGGCCACCTTGTGCAAGTGCTTGACCAGTGCCGATAAATAATCCAGTTCCTACAATGAAGTATGTCAGTACATTGAATCTCGTTACCGTTCCAAAGCCCTGAAAGTAACCGACCTATTGAACCTCCAATTGCTATCATCTGAAGATGCCTCCCCTTTAGAGTGCGATTTAGAGGCGAATTAGCGGTGTTGAAAATAGCGGTCTCATTGTCGTAATATCTCCTTCCATGTTCGACGGACGGTTTCGCTGGCAATACATTCGGTCTAGATGGGCCACTTCGAAAACTATCAAACACTCTCGACGTAAAAACCTTTGCTCCAGCCGGTCTGGTCAACAGAGGCGAAACTGTCGACGAAGACCCCGTATACGATTTGTTATCCATACTCAATTCTCTGACCGAGGTCTTGAAGTCATCCAGTTTGAGGTCTCCTGACATGGTCCGGGAAGTCGTGGTAGATGTACAAAATCAAGGTGTGGTCGTGGCGTCGTGGTTTTAGCCATGCACCGGCTCATGGGGCAGGTGTGACAGGTCCCGGGGTGGATGGCGTTTTCTGTTTGATGTCCTTGGCTTGTCGGGATGTGCTTTTGCAGGTGAAAGGCGTTTGGAGGCGTCTTCCCAGCGTGGGATGGAACAAATATGGAAGGATGAAAGTCTGGCAGCGTGCCAACTGTTGAGAAAACGCACTGCTTAACCTCGGAACGTGAAGCTGCCAAAAGATAAGGGTCCTTGGTGTGTCCGGAGATCGACAATGTCGGACTAGCACGAGAAAGAAAAGATGGGGAAGCATTGTATAATCATGTGAGGGGTGTGTGGTCGCGTGTAATATCGCTAGGTACGCACTACTACTTGCTCCGTACTCGCATAAACCGAGTAAAGATAGCACAGTCCGATAGGTGGCACTTCATTGATTTAGAAGTTGTGCGATGGCGAAAATCAACCTTCTGGACCACTGAGTCTCGGTTAATCCCCGTGCTCCGTCTCAGAAGTGGATGTTTGAGATATCACCAACATGACTGCATAGCCAACCCCCTTTTCTATAGTCGAGAATGTTCAGCAAATGTGTGCGGCAGTTGCAATGAGCAGTCCTTTGAGACAGCATGAAAGTGAATTGAGATTTGGTGGAAGCTAAGAATATCACAGAAGTGATAGACTTGAATTAATTGTTCCAACACAGTAGTACAGCCGGAATTGCCTTCACAAGAAACCCGGAACCCAGCAACAATTACTGCGTATATTGCCATGTCGAGCAAGCTGAAGCGGAAGATATCCATTTGGATTTTGAGTTTCGACTACGGACCTTTCCACTAGACTCGAATACAATAATGTTCTCCTCTTGAGCGTTGACTTCGAGAATATACTGTTAGTCGCACACCTGCTGCCGTTCTCAGCCCTTTTGACCCAGTAAATTTAAGCGAGAAAGAGCCAGGCCCTTGAACAAATGCGATCGACTTGCCTCGCCTCTATCGCGTCATCACATGTAACCCTCCAGCAGCCTCCCGAGTGGACGAAGTACCTCTGAGGCGTCGAACAAATCATTGTTCAGGTTGCGCTTTTCCAATTATCTTTGCCTCTTTTGTGAGAGCTTCGAGCCCTTTCTTTTGGTATTTGGGTTTGAGAGGTTAACGGGCTGTGATGAGAACGTGACATCGATCCGGCCGCTGCCGAATAGTGAAGGCGGGACTAGGTTAGAGCTTCGAGGGCCAAGTGGGTATGAGCCGGGAGTTGAGTTCCAAATAGGAAGGTGGTCAACAGACAGATCACCTTTTATCCCACCAGCGGCTGGCCACCGGAATTGATACGTCTTGATTCGACTCGGAATATAGAGAAGCGAGCCCAGATTAACCTTCTGAGTGTCTCAGGAGGTTGGTTCAATAGGCTCACTCCACCTGAGATTTCTAACCGAAAAAGCTCCTGTCAAACGCCGCGTGTGCCAGAGGGACCGTCCCTGAATGTTTTCCTTGAAGAAAGTTCCACACATTGTTTTACCCCAGCAATTTCCATGGTTGTGCCTGGCAAACAAGAAGGATCGATAGGGTTGTGAGGATTGCGTCTAGCCAAGAGCGTCCAATTGGGAAACTTACCCCACAAGATGGCTTGGACAGAACCTATCACTTCGAAGGTTGCTCTGAAGCGAGTATCAACCACCGCAGCTGTACTTCGGCACGGCATCAACTGCCTCACATGCTGTCATCTTGCACTTCATGCAGAATTACCTATCAAGTCCTGCGACAGTTCCGCGAGGTTATCAACACAGCCCTCAAATTGTGTCCCGAAGCATCGGTCCTTCTTGTGCCGCCTCACAACAATGTAAAAGGGGCTACAGGGCAATTCTGCCGAAAAGGTAAGGTACGGCTTTTTTTATCTGTCGGGAACATTTAGCCACTCGTTTTGTGGGCAAATCTGTCAGCATAGCATGATTTAGAGATTCTACCGGTAAGACTCTTTGGTATTTGGATTCGTTCCTGCATATCCTGTCAATCTTGTACAACCAACGAGAAAATGTTCCTGGTCACCGATTATCGGAAACACGCGCTGACCACAGCGCAAAGGTTACCAACAAACCCCCCTTTCACCTGCGCAAGAAGTCCTATACGCACCAATAGCTTCCTATCAATAATGTGGAACGTGCTATGGGCCACATGGGATCAATAATGGCAACAATGCAGACTCGCATTATCAACCTATCAGACTAACTGCCCGTATTACTTTTCCTCTATCGGACGTCTTACGATTCTCAGTTACTAACTAGCAGGGGGCTCCACCGTTGGAAAATATCCCGTCGCGGTGCAGAGGCGATCTTTGGTCAAGGCCGGGACGCTAGTCTCTATGATTAACATCTTCAAACCGAGAGCCCCTTGGTGTGGACAAGCTGTGGTTCTAGGCAGCAAGGGTCTGAATTGTCTCCCAATACCAGCCTTACCGCTATCCGACTATCAGAGGGGCTTTTGTAAAGTTCGATTGTCATTTTGTCTCAGCTCGCCTCCTCCCACGCTGTCGGTCACTTTTGGTTTCTCGTCTTGTTTTTTACTAGAAAACTACGTTTTCAACTTCATGTTCAATTACAACTAACCTCAGTATCTGGAATGAGAGAGGAACAGGATGGGTATCTATGATGGTGTTGCAGGGAATGCACCTGCCTTTCGGACATTTAGAGATGACAAGGCTACGGTTCTCATGAGTTGGGTACGTAATTCTTTCGTTCTTTGAGCTTCAATTACATGAGATCAACTCGGTTCTCCACTTCCCCAGGTTTCCTAATTTGCTGTTGTATTCATTGATCAACTTTCACCTGCAACCTTTTAAAGCAAAAGGCTGCGAATCACCTGCATTTCAAATTGACAGTGTCTTGAACGGAGAGGCATCTCCTTACCCAACCCTGTGTATGTTTCATATAATTATACTGATAAAGTGTGATGATAGTGGTGTACAATATACTCAATAGTAGTCATTCTAGTTCGTGTATTCGGCCGCTATGTACGCACAGAAAAGTTCTACAGAGAAGACGCCCTCGTCACCCTAGGAATAATCCCCCTTTTAATACGACAGGCGTTTGTACACGTCGTTCTTCTGTACGGAACAAACAACACCCAGTTTCTATCGCCTCCATCGGATAGTGTTATATCCCGCCGCGAGTTGGGAAGCAAGCTCGTCCTTCTTGCGCGCATATTTTACGCTGCTTATCTGTGGTCTCTGAAGTTCAGTACCAGTACCTTTCTGAATCAACTGACGGCTAGCACGACCACCAACGGGAACCGACATGATCGATCTTTTAAATTGTTCAATGGCTTATTGGTAGCCACCTTTTTGGGCGTGGTGATTAGCATACTCGCTCCTTGTCAACCGTTTTCACATCTTTGGCAAGTGACGCCAGATCCGGGTGCTCAGTGCAGAAGTGGTTATGCATTTACTATCACCAATGGGGTCTTGAACGGTCTCACCAATACTGCACTGGTTATTTTCCCACTTCCCACAGTGTTAGCCTCTAGACTTGGAGTTTGGAAGTAAGTACACCGAAAGTCTTCTACTTTATCAAACTAACAAACGCAAGAAAACTATCCATAACCATTCGTCTCGGTTTACCACTCCTCACAGTAGCCTTCACGATCTATCAAACAACCGCCATAATACAAACATCTTCCCATCCTAATTCCGACCACCAAGCTCATCGCAGTCTTCTCGCTTCGATCGACATCCTCTGGAGCACCTTCATCGTTAACGCCGTAGTTCTCATCTCCTTAACCCGTGACCGTGGCTTCAAAAAGAGCAAATGGAAATGGGAAGTTATTGCCACGGGCGAAGAAGCAGGCGGCTCCGGGGGTCGACTTAGAAAAGTGCAGGTAGGCTGGGACGCCACACAAGGCGACTGGAAAAACGACGTCAAGATCATTGCGGGGCGAGACGTGGATAAACTCGACATCCAGTCGAAAAGCGGGAAGTGGAGTAAAAATAGTCTGCATTCGGATGATAAGAGTGATGGGGATGAGAGTATTGAGCTGAGGGATCTGGGGAAGGAGGACGAGGAGGGGATTGTGAGGATGGAGGGCGTGGAGAGGCCTGAGAGGGCGAGGTTGTTGGGCGAGATTAGGGTCGCGAGACAGTGGGAGGTTAGTACTTCGAGGTGATTGCGAGATATACAGAACCGTGTTCTTGGATGCTTTGTACGAATGATGTGTTTTATGGAATGATACCTTTTGGGCGATTGAGCGATGTTTGTTAATTGTTATGTACAGTCATGTATTGATGTATCTTGTGAAATAGTTCTTTTCTGGGTTTTATTGAAATTTTTACACTCTGAAAGTCCCGTAGAGTAATCGATTGAAGTTCTTCTTCCTGTCCCTCTAATGTGTGTGTGTGTGTTAGAATTTGGCGTTTTTCATCACACGTTGGGTTGGGTGTCTAGTCTCACTAATTTTCTTTTCAAGGGGTTTTACTTCTGTTTTAACATTTGTATGCCTCGTTCCACGTAGACGAAACTACATCGTACGAGTAGTTTTTCTTCGTTGAAGATGATTCCTTTAGCCGCTCTAGATTTCATGTCACTGAAAAAACGACCGCATTACTTTGTACAAGCGTAGAAGATGTGCAATACATTTGGATGGCTTCTCGATAGGAGGTGTAAGGGAATAGGTGATACTTAGTGCTTGTAATTGCTCCATAAATGCTAGCGCTGTGTACGAGGAGCTATTGCCAGCGAGTTAGCTACTACCCACAACTTCCACATTCCAAGGAGTTTAATTACTGAATAATGACACAAGGATGAGAGAGGTGACTAAAGTGTCAAAGTAAAAAGAAAAAGGTTGCTCAACTAGTCTCGCGGATCGTGATTGATGGGTGGAACGTACTTCTCCAATTGTTGAGAAGGATGCAAGTGTAGAATCTTATTCTTGACCTCCGGGACTGGACTACATGGTTGAGTTTTCTGAGTTGACACAAAGGAGTAATCTGTGACACCTTGCAAGGCAACGAGAAGAGTACCATGAAGTGCGACTCGCGAGAGACATCTTGCAGGTTGAACTTGCAGTTATGTTGGTCACACTCACATAGCATAATTCCAATTTCTGTGTACCAATAAGCATTGTTGTCCGGCGAAGTTTTGAAACGAATCGCACGCGGATAAACTCGGTTTGTGTCACGAACTGTAAGAGGAACGATTGCTGACTGCATATTCAAAGAGCCAAAATACAGTTGCATGCGGAGATCAGATGATCAAGACAAGGAACTCGCCATTTACTTCTTTTGAAATCTGGAAATAGTAGGTAATAACGAAGCTACGGCTTGTTCTCAAATCAAGTGAGCCTAAGCTGGACTGCGGCCTTGAAATAGGAATACATGATCTAACAGCAAATATTTCAGATATTGAAAATACAGTGAGCCAGGCCACCTGTGATGTTGTTTTTCAAGTAGATTCGAAAATCATACTTCAGTAAAGGAGATGAATTCTTCAGGTTCCCTGACGTTTGTCAACTGTAAAATTGTAGGAATCCGTGGCAAGCAGAAGCAGAATACTCCGGACTTTGTGATCAAAACTACGGAGTCAACATTTTTTTGAGCGAATGACAACTGAGATTTTGGGTAATTTAACTCGAGATTTCAGTTCTCTTCGCAGTGAGAATAGCCAGGTCTGCCAAGCAGAAAGGAGTAAACACGAACAGTACAGCTGAGTACAGACTCTGTCGCCTAGAATTATGTGTGCGAAAGTATCCGAAAACTAGGTCTCTCGAGTCGGATGAGGTGACTTTAGACTTTAACCGCTGATCAAATGCCAGACTGCTAAATGTAACACCAGGGGACATTTCACAAAAACGGATGTCTACCGGCTTGGCGAGCATGATTTCAATGTATGTTTTACCCCCTTGCTTACATATGTTCTATATATAGAGGTGATTGTTGCATATGCTTATGAAATATGTCACGCAATTCTATTGACCTATAACTAATCGATTCTAGAAAAATCCAAACAAACATGAGTGCAAAGGTTGTAAATGTGTAAGCGAGGGGTAATGTTAGTCATTACACTCAACGTGCTTTTGTGGTAAGATACAACCTACACTTCGAAGCAATGGGGGGAAATCGCAGTACGAAATTCAAGGCAGTATATGTGACGTTACCTTCGCCGTGCGACTCTTCAAGTGTCAAGTACTTAAGCTCGTCAACCTTGAATTGCCTGATCATCGGATAAAAAGAGCTCATCTGATACCAAGGTAGTCCAGAACTTGTTAACTTGGCCAAGCATAAGCTTAAACCAATTATTTGGCTTCTCGGAAACTAAAACATGGCGAGAACCACGTTTGCCATCTGTGACTTACTCTATTGAGCAAATCGACCCATGTGTTCGTGGGGTAGTGTTTTGCTCGCAAATATAAAACTGGATGTTGCAACCACCTCCATTGCTTCGCCATCTATCAACGTGATCGGACTGTTGAATAGTCCGGTATAGAAAAGGGAAGAGCAGTAGCATCGAACCTTAGATTTTTATCGGAGACCTTCCACCGCATCTCCAAGTAGAATCTCCGACTCTGATTCATCTCCAAACAGAAAAATTCGAACTGAACCGTCACCGACGGATATACAACTTGAGATACAAAAGGATCGGTTTCCCGATTCAAAAGAAAACTTTAACTACAACACTCTCAACTCAACAACCTTCTCCTCCATAGACGCACTAGCTCCTACCATAACATTAGCATCAACGTTCAGTTTTTGAAAAATCCCCAACATGCACTCATCTACCTTCCTCTTCTCCCTCCTGGCAGCTTCGGCCTCAGCTCTTCCAGCCACCGGAATGCTCGCCAAAGCCATCATGGCAAGGGCTCCTCCAGAAGCCAACGTAGTCATCAATAGCATCACCTACTCCGGAGCTGGTTGCCCTGACGCTGATGTGGCTTCGCAGGTATCTGTTGACAAAACAGTCGCTGTTTTTCTCTATGATGCCAATCTTGTGTCGACAGCGGATCCTGGGACTGTCAAGTGTGCCCTCAATCTTGATATCAGTGTGGTTGCTGGCTGGAAATATGGGGTCGGGAAGAGCATCGATGTGGCTGGTTATGCTTCAACGCAAGTGGGAGTACAGGCTGGAGTTGATGTGAAGTTAACTACTAGCACTGGATCGGTATGTAAAAAGTTTCATCCGAAATTGAGTATATTTCGTGATGTTTCAACCTGCTTGAAATTCAAAAGACAGAGCTCTTCTGACTGATTAATACAGTTTACTTGGGCTACTCCATTGGGCACTTCATTGGCCCCGACAGAGCAGGATGTGCATATACACCTCTCTCGACCAGACTCTGGACCATGGTCTGCTCCTGGTGGAGGTCTTTCAACTCTAGAAACCGCGATAACTATAGATCCTAAATCCAGTGGAAATACTGGTGTCTTGATCTTAGATACTCTCACTTCTACATTGGAGTACAAGAAGGTCTAGAGTGCTTGTTATTTCCAATAATGTGCTGAGCTAGTACAATTTCGAAAGGGGCCCCTTTTGAAGATACAGGGAGATAAGAAGATGCTTGGAAACTTTTGGAATTTTGTTGGCAAGAAGTTGTTTTTATTAGTAAATAAAGAATTCGTCGATTAAACATTTGCGATGCTCGGTTCAACGTTTTAAAAATCATTTCACGACTACATACATTCTTACCAACATCTGCCAGTTTCTCCTAGCTAGCTGTTATTTTCGCTCGTAACATTCATTTATTCCAGCTGATACTAAACCTCATCGTCAACTTGAAGCACTCTCAAATAACCTAGGAATGCGGTGGACTCGCCTAAGCGAGACCCCTTTTCTAAGTATCGATTGCCAGCAGGAAAACGATAGTCAAACCAAAATCGCATACTTAACTTCTATATTAGATGATCTCAACTAGTCATGTACAGTGACCTACAGATCATAAGATGGATGAGTCACAGCCAACTCTCTATCCATCTCCTTTTGTATGTAGTCACGTGCTAGAGGGAAGGACTCCGTTATCGACGTTTGCTTGGTTCTATGATGCATGAGGCAATATTATGTGAGTGTCACTAGTATTGTAGTCAATATGCGCTGTTTGATGTTGTCTAACAGGGCGTTTGTGAGAAGACGATGAAGCTGGTTTGGGTGTGTTAGTTGGATCTCTCGTGATGAGGTACTTTCCGCGTTGAAGTTACCAGGAAATGCTAATTGATAGCACAACGGTATTTCTAACTGCTCGTTCTCTAATGTTGATCGAGATGCCTGGTTGACAATCAATCTGGCTATCATGCTTCCTCATGCTGAGTGGGTAAGTGACATGGGGGTGATATGGTGATCAAGCCGAAACAATCTGAAGGTATTCTGAACAATGATATGGTTCTAACGGGTAGTGTATGTTTCTATTCCAAATTCAAACATATTAAAAGGCGCCCCGAAATTGGTCCACCAGTTGCCTTCCTAGAGTCCTTCTCCTACCAATATCTCCACCAGTCCGACCATCTGAGCCTGTGGCTGCCGTAGCACTCGAATTCTCACTTTCCAACCGCCTCCTCAAGACTTCAAAATCCTCCTCCCGCTTCTTAGTCTGTACTCCGACCATCCATCCCGGAATACGCCAACGCATGACCGCGCCTGGTAGCACTTCATTTCTCCACGAGTACCCAACAACCCATCCTACAGCTGCGCACAAAAGTGACCCCGGGAACTGTGATAGAGCAAGTTGTGCCGCTGGAAGATATGTGTATGATTTGTCGGAAAATGTAAGGCCTACGAAGGGTTCATTCGTAGGCGGGGCAGCCGATGCTGCTATTCGGTATTTGTAGATATGTGGAATGATGGCATGATAATGTGCGAGTATCGCGAATATGAGGGGTGTTGGACCCGCGGGGAGGTAGTTTAACTTGTTGAATGATAATGGTCGAAGTACTACTGCAAGGAGGAAAGGTGGTATAAACGCAGTGAGACAGTATGTCAGAAGGATGAAGGACTAGAAATATGTTAAAATCAACAGGTTGAACGATGCTGCATATGGAAAACTTACTGCGTATTTCCGCGACCCCCAAAGTCTTTCAGCAACTCTCATATGGTATAAGGTAATTGCCGCAAAGAGTACTTCTGTCGAATTCGTGTAACAAAATTGATAGGTGAGTATCCGCCATAGTTGATGATACCGCCACAGATGAGGATCAACTTGTATGTAGAAGTAATGCTTTACATCTGTGATGCTAGCAAGTATCGAAGCTGCGACAATGCCATATGTAAGGCTGCGAGAGACTGGAGCTCCTGCGAATCCGGAGGAAAGCATATCGAATTGCGAATTGAAGCTGGCTATCCCTGTGTGACCGTCTCCGAGATGTTTGGTGTAAATTGAAGTTCGGAAACCGTTGTCAACGTATCGTAGCTACTCTGTGCAAGGCGAATCGGCTCATTGCAGGATGTTGTGGTGCGCAATGAAGTTTGCGATCGAAGAAGCCAGTTGTCGTTTTGTCAGCCTTCTGTGGAGTTGGAGGATGTGACGTCCCTCGGCCGAGGACAGCTTCGACCGGCGTGGAATTTCTTGGTGCCGCGTAACTTTCGAGTCTCAGCCCCAGCCTTTCGTAATAATAACTAGTACATGCAATACTTCTGATCTCTGCATAACATCTGTCGCTCTTTGGTTCTCTTTCCTTATACAAAATCTTCGACTGCACACTAATAATATACACGCCAGCAGACAAGCGACTCTACCACGTCCAGAATCACAATTCTACAACGGAGGACTGGTTCCTACACCAAACAATTTACCAATCACAATGTCTCTACATCTCTCGCAACTACGGAAATGGATACTAGAATCACCTCCCATCGAATGGAGCATCAATCAGCTACGAGAAATGCTGATTGGAGCCTTGCGACAAGGCCCAATACCACAACATATAGCTTTCGTAATGGATGGAAACCGGAGGTTTGCCCGGAGTCACAAAATAGAAACAGTGGAAGGGCATAATTTGGGATTCGAAGCTTTGGCAAGGGTATGTGCCTGTCCAGCTACCAGTGGTATATCTACTGACGTGCCGGTTTTCAGATATTAGAGATATGTTATAAGTCCGGTGTTAAGGTCGTCACAGTCTATGCATTTAGTATAGAGAACTTCAAGCGCTCGAAATACGAAGTCGACGCCTTGATGGACATGGCGAAAATCAAATTATCGCAGCTGTCGCAACACGGCCAATTGCTGGAAAGATATGGGGCATGTATAAGGGTACTAGGCCAGCGGGATCTGGTCAAACCGGATGTACTGAAAGCGGTTGACAAGGCGGTGGAAATGACTAAGAACAATGGAGAGTAAGTAGAAACTGCCATCTTTCAGGATTCAATGACTAACTTGAGTTCAGCTGTGTGCTGAACATTTGCTTTCCATACACCTCCAGAGATGAAATCACTGGGGCCATCAAAAAAACCGTGGACGAATACTCCAAACCATTGTCCGCTCAAGCCAGACCGTTCTCACAAACCAGAATTACTCAGAAAATACGGTCCAAGAACCTTGACGCATCGCCACTTCGTGCCGATTCCCCAACGCCATCTTCCAACTCTGACGTTGACGATTCGTTTTCATCAACCACGACATTGCATACTGACTCCCCAAACGGGGGTGGAGAAGCTTCCATTTACCCAGATCCGGAAACGATTACAACTGATACTATCGAATCTCATCTCCTCACTGCTGGGGATCCTCCTTTAGATCTGCTGGTGAGAACGAGTGGTGTCAAGAGACTGAGCGATTTTATGCTTTGGCAATGCCACGAAGACACGGAGCTGGTCTTCCTGGACTGCCTGTGGCCCGAGTTCGACTTGTGGAACTTCCTACCAGTGCTCGTTGAATGGCAATGGAAACAGAAGCATCTCGAAGATAAAGAGCCTGCGAATAGTGTCAAGAACCTCAAGACTAAACTAACATAAGGAGGAGGAAATAAATTTTCAGATTCCGCATCTAGCAGAGTCAGACGTGCGAGTTTGACATGTTTTGGGAGCCTCGGCGTTTGTTTTTGTAAATGATATCCAGTTATTGGCAAGACTAACAAAATGTAATTATTTAAAAGGACTAAAGGCGAAATGGAAGACGTAAAACATCTGCAAAGTTTTCTTGTAGAATTATCTGAGTTGAACTTCACGAATTGCGAATGATTTCAGATTTGGTTGTTCGCTAGTTGGAGAAGCAGCTCAGAACCGATACCGCCGAGACCCACATTTATCACGTGCTGGCCGATAACGCCAAACCCTGATCGGCGACCCGTATGGCAGAATGCAAAGCATGCAGCACATTGTCCCCATGATGGTATTCTAAGTGACGGATTCTGGGGTCGGTTTTCACCTTCACTTCCAGCTTTACAACATCCCTATGACCACTTTGAAGCCATACAATATCCTACGCCGGGTTTCAATGGACTTCACGAGCTAATTCTTTCAGCTAGAACAGTCTCCATACACCTTGCGCGCGTCGCACGCCCACCCCCTCTAATACCTACAACAGCTCGACGAAGACACAACTTTGCATGATGAAGACAGCAAAACCATTACCCTCTGATCCCTCGTCGAGTCGCAGAGCTCAACCGGTACGGCAGACTCGAACAAATCCTTCGAGGGCTTCGATTCCGGGTGCTAGACCGTTTGGCCCACGATCGTCGCTGAGCGGCGGTTTGGAGGAAAAGGACGTCGAGATTTTCCCAGCCATAACACACTTCGCAGACTCTATAACAGCTCTCCCGAAGGAGCTTATGCGACACTTTACACTGCTGAAAGAAGTTGACGCAAAAATATTTGCGCCAGAAGATGATCTTGGGAAATTGGTCGACGCTGCGTTGAGCGCCCCTCTTCACGAGCGACGTCCACTAGCAGATACACACATTTCTTTCGGACCGGGCTCAATACCTATGAGCGCACAAGGCAGCACCAATGGCTCGATTGTCAACGGACATCCCGCGTCTGTCGCATCTATTCCAGATGCTGATGCCCAGTTTGCCTCGGCGGCCTACGATCCGGCCAATATTCCACGGCGGCAGCTTTTTCAGCACTGCGCGTTCACAATGCAAAACATGCTGGTCTCACTAGATGAAAAAAACCACGTTATTTCCACTGCGGCAGAAGCCCTTACCAAACAGCTCGCTCGGATCGACGATTGTTTCCCTTACATCGAGCTCGAAATCAGCGACGAAGCACGGTACGGGAGCACAACACATTGGGCATATCCAGAAAATCGAACAGGAAAGGCGGTTGCGAGCAACATTCCGCGGAGAGAGGCCGCGGCTGTGAATACTCTCTCTGCCGCGGCCCAGCAGCTTGCAGAAGAAGCTGCGGCAAGAAGTGATGCACGGAAGCAGGCTCTGCTAGCGAAAAAAAATCATAAACAGGCTCCTGGCGAATCGGATTTTGACGAAACGAATGAGAACCGGCAGAAAGAGAGTAAAAAGTCTCACGCCAAAGTCAGGAAAGCAGCAGACGCCTCACTTGGTGTTGGATTGGGCATAACAACTGCACCTGGAACAAACGGAAATGCCCCCAAACGTAGAAAGGTCGAAAAGGGACCAACAGGTGGCGTTGTAATGGAGAGAGCTTTGAGCGGCGTCTTTGGTAATAATGGGACAGCGACAAAGGGCAAGGCGGCAAGTCCACGAGAAACTCCTGGACCAGATGCTGCGAAAAAGAAGCCGAGAACAATTAATGGAACATCGTCACGGAAAAGGTACGTCGCATCGTTACTTGCCGATGTCTATTTATTAACCATCGATTAGGAATAATACTGTAACTGCTGCCATGTCGCCCTCCATTGCGTCTTCCCCTATTCGAACAACCTTCCCAGACCCAAAAGCTCTGGTGCGCATTTCTCCTCCTCCTACGAATGGTGCTCGACCTGTGACATCAAGAGCAAGGCAGAATTCTACCCAGTCGATTGTAGAGAATATACGTCCACGACAGGAATCGGTGGCTTCTATTAAGCCAAATGGAATTGCCGCAATTATCCCAGATCCTCCAGTAGCCGCAGCTACCACAAGCAAAATCTTGCCCGAAGTCAGGTTGTCGTTGAAAGAATTGGCAAATGGCAAAGTGGAACACGTCCTTGAAGATTCCACACAAACCCAACCAACAATTTCGAGTGGCAGTGTCATCAGCAGTCGAAAGGACAGTGTTACCAAGAAAGAAGACACGGAAGTGAATGGCGGTGCTGTGCAAATCATTCAGCAAACAGCTGTGACCACGAAGAGCGGGCGTGCAAGTAAACCTTCGACACCGGCAATGCCCTCATTTCCGGACCCACCGCGATCTAGATCAGCACGAAATGTCCTCGAAAATGGCTCACATAACAAACGGAGTCATAAGAAAGGAGCAGGTGCGGCTGCACAACTTATTATGCAACAGGCCATCGAGGACGATACCTCGAGCAATGTGCCTGATGACGATGAAGAAGATGAGCCCGGTCCGGATGAGCCTCGATACTGCTACTGTAATGGTGTCAGCTATGGCGAGATGGTTGCTTGCGATGCCGATGACTGTAAAAAGGAATGGTTCCATTTAGAATGTGCTGGGCTCAAGGTTGCGCCCAGAGGTAATGGTAAGTTGACCTATCAAATCACCAGAGGAACGCTACTAATTCCCATGATAGCAAAGTGGTACTGCGACGAGTGCAAAGACCGAGTAAAATCCAAACGTTTAAACGCTCGATGATGTATACGAATTCTCTAATCCGACATGATAATAGGCGTGACGGAGTTCGAAACATTTGATATGGGAGTTTTTATCGGGCACTATTGGGGCGGATCCATTATCCTTTTTTTGGTAGAAAAATGCCTGGCGTATGATTTGACTCGTTGAGAGTTTAAAAGGTCCTGGATATAGGAACAGATCGCTGGAATGGCGATGGGATACTGATTTTTGACTTGTATTTGGGACGGACCACTGGGTATGGTGGGCGCGGTTAGAAGTGTGAATAATTGGGTTAGAGGTATATAATGGTTTCCGTTGAATGGAATGATTCGAATATTTTTGTGTGGTACCGTGTCAGGTGCGTGTTTTCAGCTTAGATGGGGTTCTTGTAGGTCACCTGCTGTGGACTCGGATGGCTCGTATCGAACGGATGGGTAATGTGAAGGGCATGTGACCGCTGGAACCGGAGAACGAAGACTAATGAGGAATGGAAGACTAATCATTGCATGAATGAAACCAAATTTGATCTGTTTTTAAAAGTATGATTATTGAACCTCTTGAAGAATGAAGATAAGAGCTGAGAAATGTGTCCCACGTTCGTTCGCCTCATCAAGGGGTGCTTCCGCCCAGAACTGTAGGGCTGATATACTAACCGGGCGACGTTCTTATATAGAGAAGGATAAATGAAGCGGTATCCCACTATGTTTCTTTCCTTTTTCCTTCCTATCTTTCGCCATCCCTTTTACTCTTTCGAACAGGTTACTCTTGACATTGGAGCTTAGATCATTCGTCGGGCGAGGATGAAGAAGCGGTGAGAATCAACGGCCAAGCTCGATACTTTCAGCTCGAGAAAGATATTTCGAAATACCTACCATCCACGTGATGGACATACTCGTATTTCATTGCAGTAGTCTCTTGATCTTCCTACTCTCCGTCGCTAAGCGCTCGGTACTCGACCCGAACAAAGTTCCAACCCATCGTGACGTTTGCTAAATCAGGGGAAGCGGAATCTGGGGTAAGAAGTTTACGGCTTGCAGGCACGCACGGCGAAGCGAAGCATGCTATTACCTCATCTCGTCCAATCAGCGGCGAGGAATGCCGTAATGATATTGGATGATGGATGCGAGCCAAGGGAGTTTGGGTTTGTGTTGAGGATGTCTCCGTTGCTTTTCCGGAGGGGAGGAGTAGATGAGGTTGGAGGTGGTGGTGGATGGGATGGGATTTAGGTGGATGTGTTGTGGTTGTTGGTGCCCAGGTGAAGTACTTGATATTGTGGTTCGGGCGAAGAAATATTCTTTTTGCAGCCTTTCCTAGCTTCAGGTACGCAGTGTCTGGCGCCGAAACCCATAGTAAAGCATAGATAGCCAAGGAAGCAGTGAATGAATCATACGGCATTCGGAAAGAAAAAAACTTTCTTTATTCCTGTTATCTAATCCCATTCGCCTCTGAACCAATCTCTTTGTGAACAACTAGAAAAGGACCAGCTACACCCTCCAAAATCCTGTCATAGTAATCCTCTACGAACGCTTACTCCGCATTTTCACCATCGTCCCTAGTCCTGACGAACAACGCAGCCTACGCAGGACCTCCGACTTATTATTCATAGATTGGTCTGGGGATTCCCTCGTGCAGACGTTTGCGTTGGCAACACACCGTTCCCCGCTTAGCCGCAAGAGTTTCGTTGACTAAATTCGAGGGGTTCGTGACAAACGGATTGGGCGTCTGGCCAAAACCGACGACCGTGTTGGTTTGTTGGGGAATTATTTTAATTTGGGAGGAGGAAGTATAATAAGACTGCAGATTGTTGCGCCGCGAAGGAGCGTCTTTGGGGATTGTTTCATTGTTTCGTCACTTCGCATCATCTCGCCTGTCGTGGAACCTATTAACTGCCATTCACTGTTTTTGGGGTGAAGGAATAGCGAATTATCACCACGTCCCCGTGCGAGATTGCCAATTAATAAGTGGATCAAATAAGAGGATATAAGAGTCATCTTTCCTCTGTCTGGAAAGGAAAAGAAAAAATGGCAATCGCTCAGCCGACTTCCAATATGTTGCCTTCACTGCCCGCCAATAGACGAGGAATATCCCAGGTCGCGTCGCCTCTCCCTCTTACAACAACAAACCGCCAACTCCACGACCACAATCAACGGCCGGTTGATCTCAAGAATAATCGCAAACACTCGATTGTTTTGAATATGGATCGCAATGATCGAGCGAGTTTCTCTAGTATCAAGGAAGGGGATTCGGGAGTCGCGCAGACTTTTACGACGACGAAGACGTCCAGCTATTTGCATAAATCATACACGCCCTCCGCCGAGGACGAAGAGGCTATTCAAGATGGATTCGTGACACCGCCGGATGGAATGTCGGGGCTTCAGATGCAGCAGCCGACTATGCTTCACCCGTATGTGTGTCCTTGCGATCATTTCCAGGGATGGAAGAAAATCAGTCTGGGAGGGAAGACAAAGAACAAGAGCTTTGGAGATTTGAGAGCTTTGGGACATCGATGGGCATGGGACTCAAATGAGTCGACAACGACGGTCCCGGACGCGAACGAGAAGACCGTCGATTCCGGAGTGGCGAAAATCGAGGGCCAATATCCGCCTGGTCAGGCGCCTATAGAATTGCTACCTATGGAATTACTTGGTGAGTTCAAAATTTAATATACCAATGACAAAGAAAGGGCACACCTCACATCCAGATTTTTTCACGATGCGAGACTTCGCGAAAAATTACATCATGAGAAATGTAGTCACATGACGCTCATGAGCCTTGGGTTTTTCCTCCTACATTGATGAGATGGATTTTAGCTAACCGTTACAGGCGCTATCATTGACCAGCTGGCCACTGATATCCCTCCAAATGGGTTCACAGCGCGGAATATCGATTTGATGTCATTGCTTTTGACATCACGGGGAATGCATGCTGCGACGCTGTCGACGCTTTACAATAACATTACGATTCCGCATTCTAGGATCTTTCGGAAGTTCCTCTCGCATGTTTCGGAGTATCCGGCGCTGGGGACGATTGTGAGGAGGATTGATTTTTCGCACTTTAATCCGACGGGAGCGGGGATTACGGCGAGAGAGCGAGCGCAGACTCAGAATCTTATTCCGGCGACGTTACTTCAGTGTCTGCAGTTGACGCCGAATCTGAGGGAGTTCTTGGCTCAGGAGCATATTGATGACGATCTGGATGAGAAAGTCATCAAGACGCTTCTTTGCGACTTGCCTAAGCTCAAGGCGCTAGACTTGTGTGCTTGCTCATCTAGTTCGTTCAGAGATGCATTTAACGCGGTTATTGAAGCTACACCATCTCCGATTCCTGAGACTCTTCCAATCACCCGATTGAGCTTCCACGAATGCACTGTTTTGTCAGCCGCTACATTTTCCACCCTCCTCCCACGACTACCTCACCTAACTCACTTGGATGCTGCACACACTCGCATCACAGACAACGCTCTATTCTCGATCCCACAAACCGCCAAACTCACTCACCTAAACCTAAGCAAATGCTCTCTTCTCTCCGGCTCCGCAGTAGTCCACTTCCTCACCAACCACCCCGCCGCCAAAACCCTCGTCTACCTAAACCTAGGCATGGACGTAAAATCCCACGAAATGCTCACCAGCGAAGAACTCACCTCCCTCCTCCCCATCCTCCCCACAACCCTCAAATCCCTCTCTCTCAAAGGCAGCAAGATGAACAGCGACCACCTCCCGCTTCTCCTACCCCTCACCAAACACGTCGAAGAGCTCGGACTAGGTCGCTACCTTGACCTCAACGACCTCACTCAGCTCTTCGTCCCGAATGAAAAACTGCCCATCGAAACACAACTCGCGTGGACACCGCACTCCATCCACTACGTCGACGTATCCGATCTCACGCTCGCTCAACTCGATCTCAGCACCCTCTTCGGCATGCGCTGTCCGGTTCTCAAATCGACCGCCTCCCCGCTAGAGGTCCTGGAGATCTCAGCCGAGGTCTTCAAGAAACTCGAGAAGAGCCCAGCAATGATCAAGCGCGTGGGATGGACGCTTAAGGATGCCGGAAGACGGTATTGGCTTGTGAGGGTTAAGGGGCCTGAGGAGCAGGCTGCGGATAGTGGTGCGAGGGAGTGGAAATGGGGCGCGCAGTATTGGGGCATGAGGAAGGTGCCGGTGGCCAGGGCGGAGGTGGGCGGGATGTATGGGTTGTATATGTTTAAGCGATGAAACAAAACAACTTGAGGAGGATTAGTTGGTTGCATGATGGCGTTTCTGTCCGGGTTTGACTTTTACATTGTCGGCGTTTTAGCATCTCACCTCTCTATGACACGAAAATGAATGATGAAGGGATGAATGATTGGGAAAAAGTTAGCGAGTGAGCATTTAGCATGGGATGGGTGTTTTTGATGGGAGTGGGTTTGTTTCGAGCGCATTTGGGGGTATTGTTTAGGGTGGTGGTGTGTGTTTTGGGGTGGGAGGTTGATTCAGTAAGAGGGATTAGATGTAAATCAAAATAAAGAAAAGAAAAAATGTAGGAAGTTTATGAGAGGTCGGTAGTTTGGGATGTGAAATTACTTTGATAGATGAAATTATGAGATTTTTAGAGGTAGTCGTCTCATGCCGATTCCCCGCTCGTTCTCTACACCAAGCATAACGCAATCGCTCTGTGACTACCACTTTCACACCCATCCAGCTCCAGGCTAATGACTTTCTTTATCCTCGCTATTTTCAGCTCAATCCCGCCTCCCGTCACTAGTAATGTGTTTTCAACATACCTCAATATTATATCAACACTCTTTCTCGGATATTCGTGCAAGGTGTTTTAAAGCATGGAGCTAGACTAGACGTGATAGTCTTCCTATATGTCAAAGGGAGGAAAGTCGAGGATGTGAGGATGTGAGGTATAGATAGGTTCTGGAGAAGCATGGTGGTGGATTTGGAGTGGTGAGGGTGGTTGTGAGGTTGTGGGGGTGGTTATGGGATTCGAGGAGTAAGGTACGGTACTGCGTTCCGCTAATTTTTAGGTAGATTCGTGTGGTTTCGGTTTGAGATAGTGTGAGGGAAGATGGTTATGGTTGTTGTTATGACTTAACATAAGCACGTATACCAAAAAACAAAACCTGCACCCCCCGAGATGTTTTCGTCCTACTTATTCAGGATCTGAGCAGGACATTGCGGAGTGTTTTCACTTCTGTTCTGCAACAGCTAGTCTGCTACGCAGTTCATCCGCGGGGAAGTAAGGTGTGAAGGAAAGTGGATTGTGCAAGAAATGCGTACGCGATTTAAACACGGCGGCAAGTTCCCCCGCTGAGAAGACTTCTCGTTCTCAAGAGTGCGGAAAAAGAGATAAGTATATCGTGTCTGTGATTGTGCAATGAAGGAATACAATATACGCAACCACCGCCATTTTGGTTGTCCACGCACCACCCCACGCTCCTCGTCTTTTAGACGTAGTGCTACATAGGGCTTCGTTGTTGCTGGGTCGAGCTGCGATTGATTGTTTTCCTGTGGGGGATGGTTAGCTTGGTATGGGAATACGTAGTGGCAAGTAGGTCTTTTATTTATTCTAAGGCGTGATGTTATCGAAGTAACTTGTTTCATTCCCAAAACTCGTGCTGTTGTTCCAAGTCATACCGTTTCCTTCCCAGCCTATTTATTTATTAATGTGGTTATTTCATTTTCACGTATATAATATTCTATAGTTCTCCACTAATCGCTACCAGAAATACCATTTCCACAATCTCACCCCCATCCCTCTTATGTTAAGAACTAATATCACATTCACAGACCCCTCGATATCCGGGTAAAATTGTAGAAGCAGACAAGGGTATACCCCTTCTTCGTGCGCTGTAGGAGTAAAAAAATCAAAACTGCAGACGTTTGCTGGAAACGGTAGTCGAACTTGTTGTCCGCATCCTACCTCCCAAATGCAGCCTTTTAGGTTGACTGCTGCTTTGCTGCGGGGTTTGTGTGCTTTGTATATCTGATTGGATATGTATACATAGAAGAACGCGCGCTTGCGTTTTTGTTTAGAAGTGCAAATCACGAGGCTTATGCCTATTGTAACACGATTAAAATTACATTTTCATTATAACCTAACATCATCTCTTTCTCCTATATTCTCTCTATTATTATTATAACCTTAATTTATCTACGATAAATAAAAATCTAGCTACAAATCATCTAAGAGGCCCTTCCGTAATTAATAATTGTAAAACATTTATTTAAGAATATAGATATCTTATTACGCTTCCTAAGATTTATTATTCGTAACACACATCCCAATCTTTCATTCGCTACCCCTTCTCCACTCCCTCTTTCTTAGTTACTCACTAATCTATACTGATCTTAACAGTTCTTCCGTCATCTAAACCTCCAACCTAATATCCTAACATAATACATACCTCACTAACCTTCCCATTTTCCATTATCTATTGACATTATGATTTATTGTTTCTCAATCCTTGTCTATTCCCTCGACCTCATTTCATCTAAATTAAACAGGAATCTAGTTCCCTTCATCTAAGTGCGCATTCTGTTCTAGAGATGTAGATGGTAGGATTGAATGTGAAGTGAGAAATTAGACTACTAGTTTACGACTAATTGTTACATGGCGTCACTTTACCATTTCTCTCTTCTTTCTATTTTATTTCATCTATATGATAGAGGAACTCAATTGTGCTTATCTGAGTAGGTATTTGGATGTCTCGACATGTAGGTTGTTAGATTTTATGTGACGTGAAATAACCTGATAATGAAATTTAATTGTAAAGTTGTATGATAGCCAGATAGAGATATTCCGTATATTGAACATATGGATGGTATTGAATTAATAGATGACTTAATCATGATTATTTGCATATATAGCTTTTCATAGAAATGCGGATAGTATTCTTCCAAAATTTGTAGAATGATAAGAGTCTTACAATTTTCTTTACGAGGGTGGGGAGGGGCTGGATAGGATGTCTGTATTTCATCTCTTTGGCATTTATTTCGTCTTGATTGTCTCTGAGTTGATGAAGGATTTAGCTTCGCTCATTTGAGTGGGTGCTTGGCGTTCTAGAGCTGTTTGATATTCTTATGTATTGTGTGAAGTAATGAGATTCTTGAATTTGTATTGATAGAGATTAGAAACGGACGTGACACAACGTTTCATCTATCACGTCTTTGATATGTTTTGTTTTGTGTAATTACCTCTGAATTGATTAAGAATTTAGCTGTACTCATCTGAGTAGGTGCTTAATCCTGTAGAGCTGTGGAATGGTCTTCTATAATGTGTGAGATATTGAAATTCTACTACGAGGGTGTAAAGTAGCCAGCCACGACATTTCATTTATCTCGTCTTATATCTGTTCTTCTGGGTTTAATTCGTCTTTATAAACCAAGAAATTCGTTTAAGGGTTTATTACTCATCTATAGCACTAGAGTTAGTTTAGTGTTAGCTGTTAAATTATTGATTAAGAATTAGGCTTTTATTTTAGGTGGGCAGCTTTTTACAACCTATATAGTTTAAGTAACTAGGCATACTTTCTCACTTATCCAGTCTCTTTATTAAATTCTCATTTTTATTTGTCTCTAAAACTTAGTATTTAACGTTGACTTTTTCTATTGTGTATATTTCTTTTCGAAACATCGACTCAGCTACACGTCGAAGTACAGATTCATTAATTTACAGTCAAAAATTTATTCTATCTAATTTTCCGCTATGCACGTAGCGTTACAAAATTCAAAGCACTATTCAAAACTACATCTAACCAGCCATCCCGACATCCCCATCACTATCAACATACCCATCATCAAGAAGCGCCGGGTCAACCTCCTTATACGACCAGGGAACCCACGGCTCACTGAACTCCTCATCACCATCATCATCTACAGCTACTCCCTTCCCCTTCTTCTTCTTCTCTGCTTCTTTCGCCTTCTCCTCTTCTGCCAGCTTCCTCTTTTTCTCTACAGCCTCTCTCTTCTTCTTTCCCCGATTCTTTCTCTTTCTCTTCTTCTCCGTGATATCCAATCCAGCGACATCCTTGTCCAACTCCGTCATGATAACACCAAGACCCTGTGAAGCTTGCTTGGGCTCTTCCTCAGCAGCTCTACCAAAACCACCGGCTGCAAAGAAATCATTTAATCCATGCAGACCATCTTGAATGCCACCAGCATCAATGAAAGCGCGGAGTTTGTCTTTCTTGGCCGCCATTTGTGCTGCTGTGGGCGCGACGTTGTTGAGCTTTTCTGCCGATGGACTCGATGTGCTGGCCACTATCTCTTCTGTTGGTGGTACGGCAGTGTATACATTGTCGTCCACTGACTATACGAAGATTAGACCATGTTTAGAAGTGACAGCATGGTGTGACTTACACGAATGTCCATGCCTGGAAAATCCCTACTTTTCTTCTGCCAATACGGCTCAATCCAATCGGCTTTCTTAGCACTCTGTGCTCTACTTCCACCCTTGTCATCTCCAATACTTTCAACATAATCTGCCCATCGTTCATTGTAATGACCCGATCTCTACCTACCATCAGTAAAACACTTAAAATTATTCGCAGACGAACTTACCATCAAGAACGCATTGTACATCATATCCCACTTGTAGCCTATACAAATGTTATAATTAACCTGCCTTTGCTGCGCCTCGTCACTCGGCCGCGGATCCCAAGTCGCATACTTCTTCTTCAGCATCGCCAACCAAAGCGCCTCCATTTGGCGGCGGGTAACGCCCTTGTTCTTGCGGTCGATTGCATCGACAAACCGCTTATATCCGAGCTCGAAAACGAAGCCGCGGAAGTCGAATTGGGGCCATTCGGGAACGGATAGGTGGGAGATATCGACTGCTTCGAGGATGGCCGTTAGGGGGCTCATGGTGATTACTTGGGGGAGTCGCGCGAAGTGAGAAACATCGTAGTACGAGACTGGTTTGTCTGAATTATGATAGAAGGGGTCATTTAGAGTTGGATCGTTTAGACTGGAAACCATTTTTAGAGCTAGGAAGGAAAGGAAGTGTCTGGATTGGTGTTGTTGCGATTGGAAAGTTGTGAAGCTGGGAGAATTGTTTGGTGGGAAAAGATTTTTTTATAGCGACTCTTGCTCGAAGTATGAGAACATTCACCATCGAAAGCGGGGTTTGTTTGGTTATTCACTGGAAATACTGAAAGTGATGGAGGGGAGTGAATCGTCTGTCGTTGGACACCATATATCAAACTTCCCAAAGGAAAAGTTTAACTACGCAAGATTTGAATCAAGATCAAATACCCCCAAGTTACGAGACACCCCTCTAAAGTTCTACTTCATTACCGAACGATTGTAAATAGTCAAAATATCCCAAGGCAACTTATGGAAATATTCGTCGTCGAATCTCAATCTTAACCTACCAAAAGATTTAACTAAGCGTCCTCAAAAACTAAAGAAAGATAGCAATTAGAATTATATTACTTATAAACATGACTCCTTTTCCCAAATTCATCCTAAACTTCTATCCATCCCATCCTATGCCCCCGAAAAGCTAAGCGAGAATTCAAAAAATCTCCAAAAAAGATTGTATGATCATGATTTTTTATTGTGCACAAGCCCCCAAGTTCCCACTCTCAAGTATGGCCGCTCCCCCTGACCCACTGGTATCTAGTCAGGCTAAACCTCTCGAACGACCGGTAGTCTCCCGTAAGGAGTTCCCGAGATGCACTAGACGCTTCTCACATGCCATCCATAAGTTTCAGACATGGGCAAATGTTATAATTAGCGGAAAAAGTGCGCAATGTTATTTATAAAGGAAAGAAATAAACGATTGGACATTAATATTCCGGGGGAACTGTGGGTGGGTCCATATGTGTAAATTCACTGCAAAGTTGTGAGGGTGGTGGCCGTCACCTTTAACATTTGGAACAGCAACGTACGAGCATCTGGTTTCAATTACGCCAACAACAGTTCAGAGAATCCAAACGCCTTCAAGTATCTTGGTTTGTTTGCTTTTTCGTCAAATTAGAATACAATTTGGCTCTTGGTGGAACAGATATGAGCCCGTGTAGGGAAATCGTTTGGTAGGCATCCAAAATATAGTTATTTTCGGCCTAAATTCACAAAATCAAACGCAGTACACTCTCTACCGCTCAACGAGAGCATTTAATCTGCATCTGCTTCTACTGAATAGAGATGTGGAATCGCAATTATTGCAATCAGTGGTATGGATCCAGCTGCGACCTTGGCGTTAGGCAAATCGTATTGTATTGATTTATCAGGCAGAGAAGTCACCCAGATATTTGAGCAACGAAGTAGTCACTTTGATAAAATGCAGTTATATTCGTGGGAGCATAAAACCTTGTTGGAATATGTAGATAGTAACAGTACATTTAGGGTATATAGTATGCAGTGATATTGTAGCTGTATCGCACAATCCTGCCCAGCTTGAGACCTGAATCATCTTCGTGGATTTTCTATGGAGAGAACATTTGATCTAGATTTGTGACACGAGTGCTTTAAATGCTACAGACACGAGTTACAGACATGACTTCAAGACATGATACGGAAATTATCTTTCTATGCCAACCATTGACCCGGATTGCTCGACGTCACCGCACTCCTCATCCTCAATCTCCCCTTGTTTTCCAATTTCAAACTTCTCCAAGGCCTTACGGAGTTTCCGAACTCCCGATTTCTTCTTTCGTCGCTCCTTCTTGTCAACACCAAGCTTTCTCATAGCTCTACAAAGTTTGCGAGCGTCACGTTCTGCATCCTTAGTTGTCATGTCCCCCATTGACCGTTCCACATCAGCATGCACATTGATTGTAGAAACCATGTCTCCGGAGGGCTTCTCTCCTGGTCGCTAAACCCAAATTAGTGGGCTGTCTTCAAGTATGAAATTAAAACACACCTCAATATTCGACTCCGGGAACTTCTTTTTCTTGTTGACCCAGTAATCCTCAGTCCAAGCCTTTGTTCTCTTAACCGACTTGTGTGGCTTTGACCTGAATTTCAACAGAGCCCTTTCAAGTTTCGTGTCGTGTCTGTCCGATTCAATTTTCGGCGCATCAGGCCTGTCATCTCTCTACCCCGTATTAGAAAATATTTAACGTCCCTTGGACTCAATACTCACCACATTGAAACCATGATACACAAAATCCCATTTCTGCCACATGCACATTTGAAAGGTATCTTGATCCCTTCTTGCCTTCTTGGACCTGGGATCATAGACTGTGTATCTTTTCCACAAGGCATCCATCCAGAGCGCTTCCATATGCAGTCGATCAATTGGTCGAGAATTCTTGCGATTAACTGCTCCGACGAAGTTTTTATAGCTAAGATTGAAGATCATTTGATGCAAGTTATACTGGTTCCATTTTGGGACCCAGATGTGCGATATGTCTACTTCTGAGAGCATTTTTGCGACGCCGTTGTTGACTAATTGTGGAGGAGGTTTATTGAAGCCTTCGACGGTATAGGAGAGGATATCGCGTGGGACAGGTGGAGTGGCCATGGTGGAGGTTCAGGTCGGTGGGTTGGAGTTAGAGCAAGCTTGCGAATCAGAAGAAAAGCAAGACTGAGGAGATGTTCAAGACATGAGACTAGGCAGAATTGCGTCGAGAAAAATTTCGAGACTGATTCACCCTCGTTGCCCTTTCCTCCGCGTAGAAACTCGGAAAGCAATTCGGCCCCTCAACCATATTCACCTCTATTATCTTTCTCTTTATTCATGAAAATGTTGCAGCAATTTGACACCCAATAAATATAGGATTCTCTCACAAAGAAGTCATAATCCGAGATTGCGGTCTCATTTTGGAAGCCGAGAACCGTCCATAATTCAAACTGCGTATTCTGTTTTCAAAGAAATGAACCTCTTCATCTGATCGAAACGAGGAAAAGAAGGCTGGATATCAGAACCCTGCAAGTTTCTCAAGACGGCAACAAGATCGAGAGAGAGCTGAATTGTAGAACCGCTGTAAGATTTAACGTCGGATTGGGGGATATTCCAAAGTTTCCCAACACCATACTTGATGTACAGCTGCTTTGACTGTCTCGACTCCATCACAACTCACCAACACATGTGAAAGCTCAAAGTTACCTGCGGAAGGCTTTGCTGAAAGTACAAATTCATAACGCACAACTCTTCGATATTTTCAGAAGCAATAAAGCTTGATTACAAGTGTGACAAGTAAACCTAGAACACAAAATATGGATACATCGCTGGAATAAAACATTCAAGCAGCGGTCTTATTTCCGTTGGCCTTAGTTTGCATTACGAATTAGTGTCAGTATCAAACCTCTTACTATGGATCGGGCCCTCGTAAGTCCATTTCATACCCAAACTCCGACTCTATCTCCGAACCCTGCGTCACCAAAAGGTCTTAAGATCCATGGTTATCTGAGCTTAAAACTCACGTGCGAAACTCATTGTTGAAAAAGAAGATGCTGCAAATTATCTCATGATTAGAAATTTCTAGTATGCTTCTATTAATAATTGATGCTAATTAACTGTCAATTGATCGCAAGGGCCGGTTGGATTTATGAATATTGTATTTCTAGCCTTTGCCTGATTCTTTGGTTTGCATCTAGCATAAAGTACATAATTGACAGTTTACAGTATCTATTGGTGACTACTTCTGTAGTGTTTGATGTAAGCGTATCCGAAAGGGGTATTGCTCTGCCATATCGCTAAACGAGCTATGTCCAAAACCCAAGCTAATTGATCGACATTAATCATGATTCGGGCATAATAATGTAACTTACGACTCAAGTTACAGGAATTAATTACGATGAAAGTAAATCGTGTTAATAATTAGTCATGGCAGAAGCCTTGATAATCTTCTTAAGCGGAGCTCTCGACGAGATTGGCACTTTCAAATATCAATATAAACTCGGCAAGTGCCCATCTTCTTCTTCAATTCGACCTCAAGATTCTTCCATATAATTCAATCGCAGAATAATGACCAACCAAGCAGCATGGCTCGATGGCACTGGCCAAACCTTTCGCGTCGGATCAGCAGAAATGCCCAACATCGACGCCAACGAGGTGCTCATCAAGAATTGTGCCATCGCAATCAACCCTATTGACTGGAAAGTCCGCGATTATGGCTGGCTCATCAAACACTGGCCGACCATTCTCGGAAGCGACGCCGCTGGCGTGGTCATTGACGTTGGCAGCGAAGTGCACAACTTCAAGAAAGGTGACCGCGTTATTGGTCATGGCATCAGCATGATTTCTCAGAAACCTAAGCACGGTACCTTTCAGCATTACGTTGCCTTCGAAGCGCCAAAAGTGGCTAAGATCCCAGATTCAATGTCTTTCAACGATGCCTGCGTCCTTCCTCTTGCTTTTGATACGGCGGCAACAGGACTCTTCAAAGACCATGATAAAGGCTACCTTGGACTCGAATTCCCGAGTATCTCAGCAAACCCTAGCGACAAAAAGCTCATCATCTACGGAGGCAGCTCCTCTGTCGGTGCGCTTGCTATTCAACTGGCTGTGGCTGCAGGTGCCTATGTTGTTGCAATTGCCTCTAGGAAGAATTTCGACTTCTGCCGCTCGTGTGGAGCTCATGAGGTTTTTGACTACAACGATCCCACGGTGGTAGACGAAGTTGTTCAAGCCGTGAAATCGGGGAAACCAACCGACTTTGTTGGTATTTTTGATACCATTTCCCAAGAAGAGAGCTATAAGATTGTTGTGCCGATTCTGGAGAGGCTGGGTTCTGGTAATTTGGCTACTGTGCTTGGTGGGCCCAGCAATCTTCCTGCGGGATCAAAGACAGCTTATGTTGAGGGAATCAATGATTATGTTGATCTTCTTCGTGGGAAATTTATGACTCCTGCGCTTGAGCAAGGCATACTCAAGTGTCTTCCAAAACCCTTCGTCGTTGGAAAAGGGTTAGAAAGTGTTGAGAAGGGCTGCCTGGAGAACAAAAAGGGTGTCAGCGCTAAGAAGGTCGTCATCGAGCTTGAAGTAGAATAATACTGTTGATGGTTGTACATAACCCCTCACTTTAAGACTAACATATGTTTATTTTTCAATAGGTATGACCACCTAATGGTCGACCTGATTATTTACTCATACGATCTTCACTTTCATCATCTTTTCAAAAAGTTTCATTTCAAATGAACAATTCCTGTTCGCTAGAGTGGCTTATTCATATACCCGAAGCAATATACGTATGCGGTATTTGTAAAAAAAGGAACTTCAATCGTAAATCCAATCTCCTGTCTAAAATTTTGAGCGAAACAAGCGAGTAGCGGGTCACCCAGCATTGAAGTAACCACCGGCATAAAACAACATTGAACTCGTACATCGCGGATAAGAACTCTAACTCCGTCCTTTCGACTTCCAGGAACGTTTAATGAACATCAAACTTGCATTTTTTGCGACTAGTCTGCAGACTAAAGACTAATTTGGAAGGAAGCTTGAATTTCGGCCGAGATTGATTGCTCAGCAGCTCTGATTGTGGGGAAACTTTCAGATTATACGACTCCATTAGTCTGCGATATTTTCATCGAAAATCTCTCCTATATCTCTTCAACTTAACTTCCATTCGCAATGACATTATGATAAGAAATTGTATTATTTTCGGGTCAGTGAGCCCACACTGTGCCATGGTACAATTGACCTTGGAATTCGTCCAGTGGGCTTCAAAGGTTATCTTGAACATATTATTTCAGACTACTATTCTGATTTTTGACGGCGGTTCTGAAACTCAACTCAGAAGTTTTCACCATTTAAACCTTGGATTGATTGAAAAAGGTTCATCCATTGGGGAAGCATGGCACTCTCTTCTTTCCAGATTTTGACTTTGTGCTATTTTGGTGCAAGTAATTGATGAGACAATATCTTCTCTAAACGTCTAGTGACTTTGCACAATTCTGGAGTTGATGTTCCTGCCATGACATCAAGTTGCTAAATTATGTAGAATGCGCCGCTAAGCGAGAGCTCAGTATTTCATGTCTTTACTTTGAGCACCTGTCCTCGATCAGACGTCTCTGTGAAATTGAAGTCAATACACTTAAGTAACTTCATCACTTGCAGCGAGGATGTAACTTTCTCATTACTATGACAATTTCGAGTCACCCAAGTAGCTCGTAAGAAATTCATGTTGTTTAAGTTCAGATAGCCAGTAAATACCATCAAAGGTTAGAACTGATAGTATCAAAAACAGTATCTCTTTCGCTCACCCCAAGAACTGCTACTTTAGTCCTTATAGTAGCAGCATTGCAGGAAGAATATCGTTGATAGAACAGTCAGACCCTACCAGATGACCTAAATATTTTCCTTAAGACTGTAGGTGAACATCTATCATTGTCCAAGATGATCCGCATCTTAGGAATGCCGTAATTGCAAAAAGGTAGATACATGGAGTTGGTAATCGGTGTACCCTATTCTTCTGTTGATTGTTCGAATCTTTATTTGAAATAGTGGGTATCTACTCAACTTCAACTCGGACACTCTTGGTGTCTTAAATATTGAACATAATCAAGAAGCATATAATTGCAAGCGGCTGGAACCAAAAAGCTTGAAGGGAATCAAGTTTTTCAAACGAGATTTACTGGATTGTTAAATCGAAGGTTTCGATGTTGGACGCAGAAAGACAAGAATAGTGCAGGTAATATGGTAGAGTCTGAAAGTAGTGCGCCACCTGGCGTGTTGCCGGACAGCTCAACGATTGATGTTCGCACATTCTAAAAGCTCTGCACCAGGCGAACGTGAAGGAGCAACGCTATTTTTCACACGCTTAGGTCGGTTGCAGATGAGTACTGGACCAAGGAGCGCTGAAAACTTACTCATAAAGGCAGCACCCCAGCAACTCAGGAACAGGTCGTGCATTAGAACTACTGGAATATGAAGCATGGTGCAGCGTCGAGGGTGTGCGCGGCGGCGACGGCACCCTACATAAAAAGGTCAGCAAGACGTGGATGGTTGGTGAGTGCCGAGGAGAGCTTGAACCAGCGTTTTCCTGCACGCCAAGTGGACCACCGCTGTGGTCGTTGTTGGAATGAACGAAGATAATAGAAGATAATAATAAGCTTAACCGAATGTCACGGCGTGCGTTAGAACTATTTCCGTGCCACACAGCGGCTTGGTTGGTTCAGCCATGGGTTGCCAAAGAGTTGAATGTGGTGATGATCCGGTCGAACGTTCGATACAGGGGCTGATCGTGGGGTTAGTGCAAGAGCGGAAAACGCCTCGTGGTTGTGGCATCGTAATATGCATTTCTTGCATGGAGAACATCCACCAAGAGCTCGGATGTTGGTGCGATGCGTGGTCGGTGTGCGGCGAGGTTCCCTTCGAAGCAGGGAGCCAACAGGGCTGATGATGGAGCGTTTGCGTCTTGTTGAATTTCTTAGGGGTATTGAAGTCAAAATCGGCAATATTCAATGTCTCAAAGACCCGAACCGCTGTGCAGAAAATATTTACCCTCTTCCAGAATGCCAAATTGGCGGAAGAATCTAATCTTCTATAAAAGATTCGTCGCCCTCAAAAATAACGAGGCACATCAGAATCCCAGGTTTTGATCGAAAACACGTCGTTTAGTTATATCTGCCGTCAGCGCCAGTTGACTTTTAACCCGTCACTTTGTGCACTCGTTGTTTTAGATACCATTCGATTTCGATCTTAGAACGATGTCTTCGCCTCCATCAACAACCAATGCCACCAACGGCTCCGGGCATGACTATAGCAGGACGTAAGAATGTTTATTTTCAATATCCTCATGAAAGTTTTCATCTGTATGCATGGAGAAGAGAGTAAACAAAGTTCGCAGCTGATGTTGTTGTATCCCAGGTCGGAAGATTATTCATCTCGCGTTAGTGCCGAGCATCAACTAAAGTATACGAACGATCGTATCGCTCGCTATCTCAACGAATGTACACCAACAAACACGGTTTATAATAAGCACTTTGGGAAGCCCAGCGCACAAGCTACAAAAGCACATACCACCACTATGAAGAAAACATTGGATTGTCTCGATGCTGCTCTCAAGGGAAAGAAATAATTATAAAAACCGTGGAGCCTCGGCTGGCAATATAAAGTCAGAAGACATAAGCGAAGAAGCAAATACAATAGTGGTAAGAGTAAAGAAACGTTGATCCAAAAATTCCAAGCTAATACTGTCTAAGGAGCTATGTGCAGTATGGAGTAGCAAAACCAATCATTGATTCGTGGGGAGGCGTGATCGTCCAAGGTCGCATAGACAGCCGAGAAGGACATACGAGAATAGAACAAAGAGAAAGAAAATCGGAAAAAGGCAAAACAGGGTGTCTTCGCTACTATGAGAAGTTGTCGGTTGACATTCTAGTAGCAAATTCAGATTGAGGGCAGACCTGGAGGACGTTGAGATTGAGGTTGTGGGGCACTAAATTAGGTTCTTAAAGGCTCTCTTAGGTCACGTGTGTTGGCTGGGCCACTTCTCGTTTCGTTTCTTGCTTGTCAACTTCTCATATCGAAACGATTTTAATTCTTCTCCGCTATGTTTCTTCATAGCCTTAAAGTTAACTCCACAAGATATTTATTACAATCATGTTGTCAATAGAATCAAAGCTTCTAATCTTCCGTATAGAAGAGAGTCTTTCTCGTTTACAACTATTTACTAGCGGTTTTGGGAACACGCACACAGTGGACAACATTCAGGAGAACATGCGACGACTCGATGCCGCCTGAGCTCTTTGGTGCCAGGTGCAAATCAATGTGGCACACTACTGTGCGCTAGACCACTATCTCACCAACCGTGTGGAAGCCCCTTGGGCTCCGACTGCTTCAGAAACCCTGGCCTTGGGCAGGTACAGGATTAGCTTCGTCCCAACGACGTGGGGGTGCGACGGCGTACGCAGGTTCTTTGCTGTACGGAACGGAGTACTTGTTGGAAACAACGCTGGGCGACAACCTCGCAAGTTTGTGCGCAGACGCAAATGAATAGCGTTACTTCTGCGGTTCCCGTCATCCCCAGAGACACATTGTGGCGCCAAACGACAGGGGCCGCTGCTCTCTTTTCCATGAAGACAGACGTGCATGCTGCACCTCGAAGGAATATGAGGGATGTGATCATTCGACGTGAGGCTCTGTCCAGCGCTCATCTGGGGCGTGGCTCTGGCTCTCGCTGCCAGCAATATACATTTCGTTTAATGATTTAACCTCTTTACAAGGGCATCAAAGACTTCTTGGTGCATGTACTGGGTATTGCTTCGATTCCAGCGGTGGTATTTACGACCTACCGCGCGTTCTCCGGACTACGTTGAATCTCTGGGATTTGCATACTAAAGGCGGACCAGAGGTATGGAGTATCACCCAAACAGCAGCCACATCGGGGGATCAAAGGAGCGAAAAGCTTTTCGTCGTGAACGTTCAACGGCCTCTATTGCTCCTCCACAATTCCTCTCCCTGCTGCTCACATCCCACTCGGCTCAACCAGTTCCCAGTCTCTGAATCTCTTCAGCTACTTTAGTACTGAAGGGTGGAATACCAAGCGACACAGCGGGCATGGCGGATTTCATGCGCATTGTCGTCCGTAGGGCTATCGTAGATCAATCTTGTCGACAATGGGAAATTCCCGAAGGAACTTCTAAACGACGACTCATTGTAAATCAACGAGTACCACGGGACCGCGCGAGCGCCATGTTTGTGGAATGTACAGTATGCAGCAGGATCGCTTGATTGTCCAAATCTCTGCACACTTTCCCCGACGGTACATAGTCTGACCAATACGAACTGCCTCTTACGACGTTCTCAGAACACAATCGTTAGGATGAAAAACACACGGACTCGGATAAGGCTGAGAGAGTTCACCATGATACCCTCCCTTGTAAGCCAGCCTGGACCAAAACAACAACCTGCGCGCAGATTACGCTCTTCCGCACACAGGTCAAAGTAGATAGCAAGTCGGCGTAGATCAAAACTGCTGATTGATAGAGGTGTAAAATCATGCTGCCTGACCACTCATACCACAGGTCTAACGGGCATCCAGCCGAGAAAGACCGTTCAAGAAGCACCCGTATCCCTAGTGCCACAACGCCACAAGCTGGTGGCTCCCTAGAATACCTCGTGTCGAAAGCCGCCAGCAAATCGTCCCTCTCCTTCATCTCACGAGCTTCATCGGACCGCTTCTTTGTTGCCCCCATCACAAGTTGAGTGCAGCTCCAGCGCAGGCGGCCTGCTACTTGCTTCGGAGAAGTGGGCGTTTCGAGAAGTCCCCCTTCTGCAACAGAGGGCCACACTCGGAGTGGACTCAAACACTTATGATCAGGTAAGACGGAACTCAAATTAATTATTGCGCTGCGCCACAGAGGCATAGAGGAGTAATGATAGAAAAGCGAACTCTATGACAGGGTTTGAGTTTTACGATATACAATGGGAATCGCAAAGATCTTGTCTCAAAATGCTGGTGCTCTTGGACAACTTCTGTAAGGTTAGCGACACGATATTGCTCGCAGGCACAATAGCGGGAGCGTCGCTTTTATCGTAATCGATTGTCCCACAACACGATGATAAGTTGGCTGCCGCGCCTTTCGCAGATCCGGTCTCGACTGCACTGAACACAAGAGGCCTGTGGATTCAGGGCCTTGCACTTGCTCACAACGTGTCCTCGCAGCAGATCTACACAGATCGCATCCCCGCATCGCACGTTGTAATTGCGTCGTCTACAGTACCTGATATTCTGTACGCAATGGCACCGTGAAACCATTAAGTATACCCTCCCACATTTCGGACCTGGGGTACTTCGTATAAGATAAGGTCCTGGCCACACCTTGTCGAATGGAGTAGGAACTGTACATACAATGTGATCAAAGTGCTCGACGAGCCGTTGGTCCCATAGAACATATTGTACGCCCAGCCCGAGTTCACTACGCCTAGGCTGCTTGCTTACCTCGCTTTACTAGGCAGTATTTGCGCATACTGTGGTCTTTGAGATGACAATCGTTTCAAGCTCCATCATGCATTTCCAAAACTGTTTTGCTCATTTAATCCGGTATACCATGTGCTGAGATGGCTTACTTCGACACATACAGCTGTTTGTAGACAGGTACCTGACTTAACTCTTTCCATTTGACCACGACACGGTCAGACCTGGACTGTTTCGAAGGTGAGTTAAATGCAAAGGTTTCCTCGCCGCAGCTCACCCACGGTCTTGTCAGTCTTCTTGGGTGATTTTCAGCTCATTCTGTTAAACGAACTGTAGGACCCAACAGCTCTGACAACATTATCATATCCTGGACTCTCTCTGCTGGTCCAAAACAACCAGATCCCTTAATTTCCTATGTAGGTAGTCTTCTTCGTCTCTAAAGTGTGGACTCCCTTGTCTTGCACGCAACTCCCGCCGCGATAGCCGTGAACCGTGGATCTACAGTAACAACGAGTACTCTTAATCAACGAACCTATCACAAGCTCTACAGCTCCAGGCTCAAGATATGTGGAGGCGTGATGGCAGCGATGGCCGCGAGTAGTGAACCCTCTTTGATGGCGTGTCGCGCCCTTTCACTGATGTCCTCCTATCACTTCAAAGTTGATGAGCGACTTTACATGCATGTTTCTGATATCGATTATAGTGTCTCGCTGACTCTGCCACCGACTTACCAAGAATGTCGTATCCAAATGTGGTGGAGTACCCCGGAAGCCGTGAGAGGGCCGCATCCTCGCCTGCATGTGCTGGCGTCATCCATGTCAACGTGTGCCAGTTCTTGCCAAACCTCACCGGGGTGTATTGTGAAGAGCCGACAGAATTTTTGATCGACGCATGCCGTACCTGAATCTCTTTTTCGCATAATAATGTTTGTCGAGCACTTCTCGAGCTCTGCTTTTGGGGCGGAATTCCTATAATCTTGATCCAGATTACAATCCTCATCCTCATACTGGAAAACATAGACATGGACGGTGTTGGGTTTTCAATACGGGAGAAAATAATCTGTTTACATGACCGCTATAGAGGTGTCTGAGGTACACTTGTCTTTTGTTTTGTCTAGTTGAGGTCACATAGCCAAGCGCCTCCGCCAGATGGGACATTGGATACGCCATTGAACAATTCGTGGTCGGAGGACTTGGCGATGGTTGGCGGTTTAAAAATGACTCCATTGAACCCGCTGCCCAGCCAGTGATGGGTGGGGATGACCGGGATCTGCCCCTGGATCCGTCCCAAGGGCCAAAGATGATAATGATCCCTGGAGCTGCCCGCCCGCTCGCCTTACCAGGCGTCTTCGCACGTTTGGCCAGGTACTCTATTTTCAGCTTCCCTTGTCGTGCTTGGTACATGCAAGATTTATATCTTTTCCTCTTCCTACCATTAATTGGCAGGCCACATCCGTTCTCTCCCACGGCCGAGCGCCTGGCCCCCTTCCAAAGATGATTGTGACCCCTGAATCCGGCGAGACATGATAGGCGCCGTCATGATACTCCCACTTAGTCGTCCGACAATCGCCATTCTCTCCGTATGGAGTAAGCCACCATGTATCGCGGCGTGGCCATCAAAAACCGTCAGCACTTTAAGCAGCGGTAGAAATGTTATGCGTAATATGCTGGAGAGGATGTTTTCTCGGCTCCATGCCTAATCGATCATGTTCGTGTATTTGATCAAATAGGCAAGCGCAAAAACATGGAGGCATCTTCAGTTCTTCACCGGAAATCAAAACATTATGCTTCCTCGTCATAAGTAGAAGGAATCCCACTCGTTCGCTTACAAGTGAAAGAGACATTGTAGTTACTCTCCCCTTCCCTAAGTCTGTAGCGTGCTACAAAGGTCCTCCGTACTGCATCATCGGTCTGGATGTATTTCCCAGCAGGATAGACTGGGTGCACGACATGAGGCACCTCGGCAATTTCATGTCAGAACCAGGCTAGGATGGGGTTTTGGCAGCCCCAGCGGCTTGGAATGCACACATACTTTCAAATATCTACGTGAGGTAAGTCGTACGTCGTCAATTCGTGCTTCGCGTTGGGCGATCCAATGTCGTCGGCTCCTTTGCGTACGTTGGCGGGAGCAGGGGAGCTACAGGGATTGTGGAAAGTGGTCAAATCCATGCAACAATGGGCCGAAGAAGCCACCAAGAGTGTAAATGGCGTTTTCAAACTCAAATTCCGACAATGATGGGACCTTCAAACCCTGAACAGCGGTCAACGTATACACACGCTCCCAGAAAGCAGCGAACGTCCTCTCATGGAGTGTTAGCACGGGGAAGCAATGTCCTATATAAAAGGCACACTACCCTCGGAGTGTGGAAGCAGACTGTAGAATCCTAAAATACATCAGAAATCATCATTCCAACACATTCGTCCTTTACAACAGGGCCTTGCGATTTAATATTTTTTTTGTACTTAGCTGCCTCCAGCCTACGCACAGTATTGATCTGGCCTGTAAAGGATGTCCTCGTCTCAATTATCAAACCATGCCACTGACGGCTCAAATGTTGATTTCAGTTCGAGGTAAGAACTCTTTACTTACATGACCTTGAGTCTACCTCATGTGTGGACTTGTGTAAGCAAAGAGACTTCTTGCCTGACACCAGCGCTTTGTAGCTCGGAGGAAGTTCATACTCGTGGTACTTCTGAATGCCAAGCACAATACGCCAACGACCGCATTGCTCGCTACCTGGACAATTCCACTCCTGCAAACACCGCTTACAACGAACACTTCGGCAAATCCAACGGAAGAAAAAGCGTAAGAGCACATATCAAAAGCACGAAGGAGATACTGGATTCTTTCGATGCTAGCATGAAAGGAAATAAGTGATGTTATATATTCTTGAAATCCGACTTGCAACATATTATATGTGGAAGACACTGGCGAAGGAGGTAAGCAAATCAGGTATGAGTAACCCTCCATGAAACACATAGCGGTATGCTAATACTACTCAAAAGAGTTTGCGCAAGAGTACTGGAGACTCCAAGAGTAGGGCCAAAAACTCAGCGGGATGTGTGTGAGCCCGGGGTCACATCAGGCAGGCAGGAACCGAGAGGTTCGGGCACAGACGGATTCGAGTCCGAGTGCCGCACCAAGAACGCTGGAGAGATCTCCGGTATACGAGCTGAAGAAGCTTTAACTTGATATTTATGTGCATTTCGTTGCATCTGGCATGTTTCGTGTTGGAGTGAATCGTTGTAGTCGTTAATGTAGTTGACGTTGAGATTAGATAGTGGGTCCACTAAATTAGTTCGCTGTTAGTTTTCTTTTGATCCATAATTCCCGGAATTTTAGTCTCCTCAGATTTATCGTCGACCATCATCCTCGTTTGTGAAGTACCAGATTGACAACCTACATTATTGTTTTGTTCCGAAGATTGTTTTACAATGTAGTTGGATGAATATACGAGAACCACCGCAAGATCTTCAAATTTTCGACCAAAAGCCCATAGCGGAAAAGAATTGTTGTCATCAATTCGCAATTGTCATCGCCGTAAACAACATGAAATGTCTGACGAGATACCCAGTGACATCTCTTTTGTCGGCAGGACAGCGTGGTCCACCGGAAAGGCTCTTACAAAGACCGATTCAAGGTGCCACCAATTCAATGCTCAGCCACACCCAGTGCTTGCTGAGTGACTGTTACAGCATGCAAGCTTGGCCGGGTCATCGTTGCCGATTCGTTCTGTGGCTCGTGGTAACCTTATTGGAGTGGGCGTAAGATCACTAAGGTTGGTTCTATTGAGATGCAAGGCCTGTAATTTCCCGTGGGTTCCGCCCGATTTGCTCATAGGGGAGCAATAAACATTATTCGACCGGTCGCTCAGATTTCCGGGAGCAAGATATCGGTAAGTGCGCTCTGTTGTAGGATATATGGACTGTGTTATAGGTATCCTATGCTAGAGAACATCTAACGCGCGAATCACAGCGAGTCCTGATTTATATTTATACTAAACCAGCGGAAAGAGATGAGTCTTGAGATCCTAGTCCCACGTCGATGTGTTGATTTCTAAATTGCGACACATTTACTCGCCAAATTGTTGCTTCTAGATTCATTGACGTGCCATTGGGAAAGCATAATGGGCAAACGCAGTCGCTTTTGGCTGGCGCAATTCCTGGATTGGTTCCCGGACGCCCCCCGGACGGTTCGGTCATGGTATTGAAGCATTCCGTAGGTTCAATTCAGGACTAGGCCCAGACTTAGTTCAGCTCTGGAGTTGCTCATAGGATGAATTGACTATGGACTCACGATCGTGAAGCTACTCGAGCCAGGTCAAGGTTCAGCTCTTGTGTCCGGCAATTTGAGTGGAAGATAGGCGAGACAGGTCGTCCGCGATGAACCGGCAGGCATACGTAGTCCTCGAACAGGGTACTCACTGATCCTTACTGAAGCTCCGAGTCCCATGTCCACGGCCTCGCAGGGTCAGCGGTGCCGCAGCCGCTGCCTCCATTATCGATACCAGATTCAAGGATCTTCCATGAACCAAATACAAAATCAGATCAGATCTAGGTTGGGTAATAATTACCCTGGGTCAACTGTTTGTTGCTCAGCCACGGTGCGATTGGGAGCTGATTGGCCGCCGTATGTTTGGACAGCGAGCGTTGGAGACCAACGGGAGTGTGGCACTACATTTTGGCGGGTTTTGTAGTGAGCGCACGTTCTCGGGTATGTGGCTAAATCGTAGCTGTCAACAGGTATCTGTCGATACTTAGCTGTACTTTGTTGGATTCTATCCTGTTCACCGGCACCTCTTTTCTCGCAAGCACGCTCATCACTATTGTACCACCAGTAGACGATAGTCTTAGTATGCCACTTACTTTTGGATTAGTACGAACGATACGACTTACGCTATTGTTACCTTCTGATCATCTGAAATGAGTTTGTAAATAGTATCCTTGTACCTAGTAGCTACAAGCCATCTTGATCTATTCAATTTATCCAATAAAATATCACATGCAAGGATGTGACTTCCTTTGGTGTGCCTTTCACACTTTGAAGAAGCTCAAACGTCCGGCAGATTCACAAAGCCAGCCACAACCAACGTTCGAGAACGGGAATACCTGTCTGTGCTGGCCCATGTCATGGGCAGTTAATCTCCTTTTCATTCAATTCGGGTTAGCAGACTGTGATTGATACCGATGACTGGGCGATCATCTTGTCCCAAATTGGCTCGTTTCAGAAAGTCTACTGGGATGCCCCTGTTGCAGCTTTTTTGACAGAAGCCTTCTGGAAGTCCAAATGGAAGCATTGGAGCTGTGCCGCCGACGAGCAAACACAGACCAGGACTACTGGAGCTTGTCATGACCGCTCCCAGAAAGTTCCATCAGATGAACGCCAAGCTGTAGCATCATGATCCTGGCTCGAACTCTCAAATCCGGTCCCCCAAATCGTCAGCAGCCAGCCAGCGTTGTTTGGTTTTGCTTTTGCGAGGTTGGAGCTCAGAAGCCTTACGGAGAGGGCAAGTCGATTCACTGCTACAGCTTGATGAAGATAAGGAAACATCCCTGATATGTCAAATATCCTTAGAAATCCAAAAAGAAGCACCCCATAATTGAGGACGAATTCTCAGTCTTGTTAAATTTCTTTGGTGGGTTACTAGTAGCCTCGTGCCTTTCGGTATGTGCCTCTTTACGGAAGCAAAGCTTCCCAAGATTGCTGTCGAGACGAGATGATTGCAGATGGCATTGTTCCCCCGAATAACATTCGGGGAAATAGCAAATAAGGCTTGCAATTCCACGGTTCATGCTGCGCACACCATCATGTTCCGTTTGGCCCCTTTTCCATGGATGTGGGCCGAACGGATGCTCACGGCAGACCATGCTCGCTCAACCGCTCAACAAGCCCATACTCGACAAACAGATGTGATGTTCAGGCTGCTGCAGCGACTTTTGCAACCACGTCTCCGACAGCCCTGGAGCCCTGGAGATCCACCGGCCCTGGCCCCTGTTGCGTTGTCGAACGAGCTGCAAGCCTGCAAAGGTATGTAAACTGCCAGTTGGACGGTCAGCATCATACATTTGCGATGAGCAGGGAAATTATCAGCTTTTTTCTGCCGGCGCCCTTTGCACTCTGCCCCCTGCCCCGTTCGCGTCGAGCTGGGACTGCGTGGTCTTGTCACAATGATCACCCCAAGGCAGGCCAGCGACGCCATCGATTACCAACGGGGATGATGAGCAGATTGGGAAGTTGATCCGACTCCCGCACTGTGCCAATACCTAAATAGCCGACTCCAGAATTCTAGGTTCTCGCCCCGTCACAAGTCATCAGGCCCTGCTCATGGCAGTCTGCAGGTGTGTTCTGCCTCTGCCACCTTGACTTCCACACGCAGCAGCAGCAGTAGAGCTTCGGAACAGTACAATATCTGAAAAATACAATAGCCGAGTGCATCGCTGTTGCATGAAAGGCAATGCTTTGGCGCACGCTTGCGTTGATCATGGCGTTGATGACCTCGATCCTGGCTGCGTTTTATGTCTTCCTAATCTACACAAGCTCTCCACACGTTGTCTCTGGAATATGTTGTGCTTCACATTTTCCAAAGAGCCTCTCCGGTGATGGATGTGACTCGCTCTCATTCGCACATAAGCCACATCACGTATCTCAGTTCAGAGTTTCGTGGCTAAAAAATATCACGACCTAAGACCGATCGATCTCACAGCCTCATCTTCTTTATGCCGAGTCTCCTATCTCGTCTGTCTTACGGACTTTTTGAATTTGAATCGCATGCAGGCCCGAGATGGACACGAATAAGGTGGAGCGCAGGGTCGCACCGTCCAAAAACTTAACTTCGCGAAAACGAAGAAAACGAAAAAGGAGTATTTAACTATTATACGCCTAAATAGCACATTTAAGCCTATTAGTATTAGTATAAAATTAAAGCCTAGGTTGAGGGCTTTCTTAAGCTATTAAAACAATTATTCTACGACGTCGAGGGCTTTAGAAGTCGGTTAAAATAACTTTTTCTTCTAAAATTCGTTTTCGCGGGGTAAAAGTATTTCGGCCTTAGACTTTTGTCGCTTAAGCGATTTCGGCCACTTTCTTAAGGCTCGAATCTCGAAATCTTGAGAAATAACCTCGATTAAAAGTCTTAATAAAAATATAATTTCTAGCCTTTCTCTATAGCCTTAGGATATTATTTTACTAACTATATATATTAGGAAGGGCTCTTTTTAGCGCTTTAATCTACTCTAGTCTAGGAGAATAAACCTCTGGAGCTATCTCTCTAGCTATAAAGATGTCTTTTATTTCGTTGTTTTTCGGTTTCTGAGTTTTTGGACGGTACTACCCTGCGCTCCACCTTACACGAAGCGAAACCAGCGTGATGTTTAACCATGTCTCTTTATCAGGTTTGGATCTGATTAATCTCATGCAGTGACTTCGGTCTTCGTCATCCGTGAATAACTCAGGGGGGCGTGTTTTGATATACGGTACCCAGAATCGCGTGAGGGTGGAACGGGAGGATTTACGCTAGCCGAATGTCGGTGGGTGTCATGGGAAAGAAGAGGCGCAGGCGAGGGGTGATGCCTCCCGCGACTCCATACAGTGCCTCTGAACCACACCTGTATGCTGGCGCCGCGCATCTGCACCACGGGTGGAGCCAGAGTGGGAGACAGAGCGAAAAGAAAGAAATGCCCACCCTTCTCCACATATCGCGTTGACAGCACTCCACACCCTATCGCGTAAATAACACCCCGTCCTCCATCGTCCACCGTCTGTTGCCCCCTTCTCCCCCCAAAGAAACAACTCAACGCTCGCCAACTGATATAAGACGAACCCAATCCCCTATACAAAAATGTTTTCAAACCACCATCCAGACCTCTATCGTTCCTCTCCAGATCATTCAAACGCCTCAGCCTTCTTCCAAATTCTCTCACCGAAGCATTACGGTACACCGGATACCGCTCCTCGCTTAACAACAACAAAACCGTGTCGTCGACTATGTCTTCTAATCAATCTTCGACTGGTGCTACGGATGGGAATGGGTTGAGGTAAGAGGAGTGTGTTTTGTTTTTGTTAGTTACTTAGTCGTGTGTGTGTCATGGGTTCTATATCCGACTACTGTTGGATCATGTACTAGCTCGCTCATACAACGGATTCCTTCACTCTCTGCAAAGAGCGTAACACTCTCCTCTTCTGCCCTTCATTACCACTGTCCATGTCTCCTCTCGATCGAAACACCTCCCCCTACCTCGTTCTCTTCACTCATCCATCATCATTCACCCTCCTTCACCGTCCTTCACCGCACTGCTTCCACCCCCTCCAACCCCATCACAGCACAAAGCTAATCCCCTCCCCGTCCAGCCCCGCCCAACTCAAACCTCCCACTACAATCTCCACCTCTCTCTCCACCTACTCAACCCAACCCTCCCTCTCCCAATCCCGACTCTCATCCTACCTCAGCAACCCAGTCACCTCCCACCCCCTCTACAACCCAAACACCAGCTCACGCACCACAGCCATGAAGAACTACCTCGACACCTTCGACCGCATCATGGAAAGCGGTCAGAAGTGAAAACACAACCAGAAGTCGTGAATACAACACTTTGCCTTGAAAAAAGTGGGGATTGAATAAGCGAGAATGAACTAGTTCAGGGGTAAGTCCCCGTGATGAGGACAAGACCAAGAACTTCTGTTTTAACGGTTTACTACCAGAATTCCACGACCCAAACCCGACATCAACGATCTCACATCGGAGATACCTCCACTTTCAGCTGCGGTAGCCACTCGCGTGGCAGCCACATGTCGTGCGACGGTAACACGGATCACCAAAGAAACCGAGTCGTGCCCTCGCTTGAGGCAGAAAACCGCAAACGAGGAAGAACGCGCTTGACGGGAGAAGCGGAAGCGAAGAAAAAAGCTGCTGAGCGATCATTTCAATACGACCACGAAAACGGGACGTCAAATGCTTAACACCCCAGAAAGCAGTGCCAAGCACCACTCGCACCCGCCGCGTACATTCTCGCAGTAACACTCAAATCTCACGCCGACGCCACCCGGCTCAGCGAATCAGCCTGAATTTTCAAGCGCTAAACCGTTGAGCTACGATCTTGGGGTGGAAAAACGTCAGGTACTTTGAACCGCTGTAGAGCACTTGCCCAGGAAATTTGATTGCGTGTTCCCTGGCCGAATTGCGGAGAAATGTGGGTGGATAGATAGGCGGAATACGTAGAGGAGGGAGGGTAGAATGATATCAACGGGCGTTAAAAGGGGGTCGAGGGTGATGGTTTCAAGAATGGAGAGGAATGCGCTGCAAAAGCGAGTGCGCCGAAACCAGTTGGGAGAAATCGCGGCATGGGCTCCAGGATGGTTGCGAGATCGCGTTATGGCACGATCCAACGAACGAAAAGGCGGCGGAAAATGTCGGATTCGGACTTCTGGTGTGGAAAGAGCTGATGGGGGTAACTGGAAGTTGAACGTGGCAAGACCTGCTAGTACGGCAATGTCAGCAACTGCGTCCAAGACCGGCAATGGTCAAGTAATTCTACATCAACGCACCTTGAGTAACATCCAGATCCATGTTATGTTAGACTTCCAAGTGAACAGAAAAAAATAAGGAACATGAAGAAAAGGGGGATGATTAAAACATTATCATTCAGCATTACTCTATCCCTTAGGATTTATTCCCAGTATCTATTCCTATTCCAATTCCAACCAATAATCCACCACTCCCAAACTCCATCGCTATGGTTCCGAAAAATTATACATGACCTAACGGATCGATTATGAATTATGAAGTAGGTATGTTCAGGGTATAAGGAAGACGACCCTCCTCATTCGTCATGCTGAGTTTAATTACACTTCCCTGGCTCGTGGACCTGAGACTGTCGTTGGAGGCACTGCTATTTGTGTATGGTCTCCGACTTTGGGCGAAGCTGTTCGCACTCGGTGTCCTTGAGATAGCACGCTTCTTACTGCGTGGTGTGGCGGGTGCGGTAGTGAAGCCGAAGCTCTTGGTGGGCGTGGTTCTGTTGGTTTGGAGTTGTCGAGATGGTGCCGTGTGGATGGTGCCTTCGCTTCCGCTCCGGCTGATGGCCCTGTAGGAAGATGCGATGGATCGGCTGCGAGGTGTCACGGGAGTTGGACTGGAGGTAGCATCATCGTCAATATCGCTTTCCGGTTCCTCATCAAATTCTAACAAAATAGCCGGACTGAGAGCCACCATACCGCGTAGTATTTCAGCAAATTGCTTCATCAAGTCTCGAAATCGTTCCTCTTCTAGCGCTTTGGTGCCAAATCTCGCATATTCATACTTGTCGATGAATTCTGCGGCGACGGAAGGCGTACTGATTACGTTGATACTTATAAGATGACTGATATAATCTCGTAATCCCATAGAAGCCGGTCTTTGCAGAATTTGAACAGCTTCAAAATTAGGCGTTACTCGTTCCGCGGAAGATTTGGGGTCCGCTGGAGCCAAAGATACGGCCTTGGCCTCGATGAGATGGGGAAGCTCGAGTATTACTGTCGTGAACTGTAGGTTAGGCAAATCGGATGATGTAGGAGATGCCCATCCTTTATGCGAGATCTCCCCCCACACGGGTTGTGCGGGTGGTATTACAACGGTATGGTCCTCCTTTTCAGTATCCTTCGTTCGTTTGTGTAGCAAACCCGACTTCTTGGTCCCGTACCCTTCGAGATCGGAGGATCTAGCGACAGGATCTCGCTTCTCCGGATCAGATACCACTGCCGTCGGCTGTGGTTCCACACGAGGCCGGGCGTCCCAAGCAATCACAGCATTCCTGTTGAGACTAGCGACGATCATCTTCCGAACCTTCTTGTTGACCTCTCCCTTCTCTATTGGTATCCATGTCTTGGGTATTGCTGCCAGAACAGTTCGATTCGTATAGAGCCTCGAGGCGTATATTAAAATAGCGAGTACAACAGTGAGAAGATAACATCCTGCGACCACAAAAACGTTGTAGAGTTGCTTGTTGCTGAGTGCTTGTCGAATGGCATCACCGGGTGTGATAAGAAGCAATGCGAATAGGGCGATGTTCAATACGGTGAAGAATGAAGCGTAAAATATACGGAAGAGTAAATGAACCGCTCTAGCCTTCTTCATCGTGATAATACATCAGGCTCGAGCTTCGCGCTCAAGCAGAGAACGGATTCAGGGAGCCTGTGCCATTGTTAGGCTTCGACAGATAGACTACCAGATTTGCGATAATGCGCTCGTGCGCTTGTGGCGTGGCGGTAGAGAGGAATCGCTCGTGAGGCCGAATCTTTCGCGAAGAGATAATTGTCGTGACAGATAAGGAGATGGGATGGGTGTGGAAACTGGAAATGTTTGTGATGATATGCGGTGTGGTGCCAGCCAGTGCACGGTCGAGATTGGCACCAGGAAGGTTAACGCGGCGCTTGTATGAGGGCGGCAAGCGGCGGCTAACAGTGGGCCCCTATCAAGGCGCGCTTAGCGCGTCGAGCCACACCCTCTTGCTTTTCCTTCACTTCATCACATTTGTGGGTGACTTCATTCCGTAACGTAGGTAAATCATGTCTAACTGATATTTTGGTAATTAAGCGGGAAGTCTGCAGTTTCAGTCATTACCGCACTCGTATCATTTGCAATCGTTCTTCCGACGTGCCGACTCTTCATCACTGTTTATGTCACTTGAACCTTTCTTCTGTAGTGACCAGCTTGGTTTTGATTTGAAAAGCCTGTCATTGTATACGTCGGAAGGTGTACGGAGTATTCATGGAAGGAAATTTACATTGATCTGAGGTTCCAAGCCTTCTTTCGTCTGAAGCTGAAAGTGGGTTCTTATCGCTCACGTTACTGGACGAACCCCCACACAGGATGGCCCGGCCCTGCAACTCCAACTTGCAGCTTCGGGACTCTGACAGGAAATCTCGACTGGCCGATCACGACCCCGTGGCTGGCCTGCATGTAGCAAAATAGTGGTATAGTCAAGTCGTATCTCTCAAACAACCTACCGCAACTTCCTCACATACCGACCTTTGTTTCAACCCATTGTATTATTGTTGCAGCCTTGCGAAGATTAAAATCTCGTATCGTCCGTACGACCTGCAGGAGTCTCACCCACAAATCGAGCTTATCCAATAATTACGAGGCCCGACGTCACCCGTGTTCTAGACACTCTTTGAATCCGCACCATCATATGCAGTTGCTTCCCTTCTCCCTTTGAGCGATACCAACCGGGCGAGGAGGTGTAGATGGGATTGACTGAGAGCATTGTTGTCTGCCAGAGATTGTTGTGTCAATTGGGAACAGTTTGAGAGGCATACGCCAATCGCGATGAATACGAGCAATTGGACTCAATGATTGACGACGCATGAGCACGACTCTCCTACGATAACAAACACGCTCCTTCTACGATCTCGATCTCTCGGTTTCAAATTATGTTTTCGTATCTCCGACCCCACACCAGGCGTACGCCATCCACTCCATCGTCGCCCGCCGAACATTCACAGTCGTTCGAACCACCGATTCACCCAACGGACCACGGGCATCCCCAACGATGGCAAGAATCAATCTCCCCAGAGCCTGTCGGCGTCGCACCACCGCTTCCGTACACGTCGAGTAATATGACCAGAATCGCTTCTGGGGGGAGAGAAACTGTTTCCGTAGCACTGGATACTTCAAGACAAAAGACAATGGAGAAGGAGTTCAGGACACACGTTTGGGAGAGCTCAAGGCCGAATTCATCATCGCGAGACGTTCACGCATACAATAATAGTCAGAGAATCGCACCTGGCACTTATCAGCAACCTGAGCCATCGGGGAGACCTGCTACCGCTAATTACATGAGTTCGCAACAGAATAAGCCCCCACCATCTTTCCATGGCGATGGCGGATATCAGCAAGGAAGACAGGAGCAGAGTCACAACACCATGATGTCGTCGGGGTTCCAAAATAATGGGATGCCTACTGGGAGACGGCCCACTGGGGCAAGGCTGCCGTCACCTTCACCGAGTAATGTTTCGACTTTCGAGCCAACTCCTTCAAGGTCAGGAAAAGCGAGACTCAATTTACTCAATCCTATGTCGCTTCTAGCGCGCAGGCGAACCTCGCATGCAATACCACCATTGGCTCCCGAAGCCCTTATATCCAACAAGAGTAAACAACCCGAAAGCCTTGACTTCCGAATACGGGGAACAGTGGTCCATGATTTCAGTGCCCCAAGACCTCGTAGAAATATGTCATATGGCGAATCCAGACCCGAAGAGCATTCGGGGAATACCAGATCATATCAGCGCAGTCCTATGCCGGATTCAAATGGGGCTGACGAGAGTTCAAGTGCGAGGTGGAGTGGAGGAAACCATACGCCAGTCTTTACCGAGAATTTTGAAGAAGAGCAATATCCAGCCGCCGGACCACATGTGAGAAAAGCAGATGATATCACAGACCTGCCATTACCAAGACCTCCATACGCAAAGGGGATTCAGAGACCTGTTGATGTAAATGCAGCGACTCAAAGTGGTGTTGACTCTACGACAGACCGAACTTCTGTTGTAGCCAACACGAATTCAATACCTGCACCTGATCGTCCGCCTCCTGTTCCACCCAAAATGGGCGAACAAGCATATCCACAGAACAAACGCATATCAATAGACGCCCCAATGCCACTGCCGAAATCAAGTGTTTCTTCATATAAAGGTCGACCACGAAAAGTTTCAGAGGTATCTATCAAGTCGATTAAAGATGCTGCCATTCCAAAGCATATGAAGAGCACTTCTTCACGTTTTAGTTTCGACATGATAGGTGCTGCTGAGCAGGAAAGGTTGTTGGAAGACAGACATCGGCAAAGAGCCTTGGAGAAGCAGAATGAAAGGGGGAACGACGATGACAATTATGGAGGGTTCGATGATGAGTACGATTACGACGGCATGGATGACGATGATGGGTTAGAAGAGAGGATTCCTGGGGTGAATGCCGACTACGACGATGAGGATGATGCAGAAGACTTTCCTGCCGAGGAAGAAGTCCCACTCGTAGGAGTGGATGAGGAGAAGGAAGATTTTCCTGCCGAAGAAGAAGTTCCGCTTGTAGGAGATGATGGTATTGGAGATTACCCGGTGGAAGAAGAGGTACCAATTGTCGGGGAGGACGATTCAAAAGAAACCCCGACCGACACGGTGGAAAACCTCGGTGGGTTTACTTTTCAGCAATCATGGCATACACCTCTTAGTCCGTCATCGCCTGGCATGCCAGACACGCCACGAGACGGAAATGGCGAAGTTATCGGGTTCGCAATGACCAGGAACTCGCCATATGTCCCGTCCGCTCCGACCCCTATTTCAGCTATATCGACTTCCTCGGGAGTCGTCGAGCAACATCCACCATCAAAAATTCTCGAGCCTCAAGGGCTTGGCTTAGAAGGTATTGCGACCGAAGCTCCTCGACATCCAGTAATTGAAGACATACTAGACGAAAGGTATTCTGCTAATGACATTTCGCCGTCTTCCCCCTTTTATAAAGATGGCGATGACGACCTTTACTTTGATGATGGGATCATTACTGGACTAGGTAATGACGAAGAGATTCCAGAATTCGATGAATCTGTTTTCGACAAATTGGACACCGACCAATACGGGAGACCTTTGAAACCATTTTCACCAGAAACTACTTTATATTCACCTCCCACAGTGTCACCCAGCCGGACGACTTCACATTTGGGCAGACAACCCCAGGAAGACGATAACAGCATAGCTAAAGCCCTGTACCCGTGCTACTCATTGCAAAATAATGTTTCTGCACCCCAAGGGACCATCCGACGCTTACCTGCTCAGTTAGCAGAAGAAGAACCTTCTCAAGGATTGACACAAGACAGTCTGGAGGCATACCAATCGGCTCTGGCGGCAGCTGCTTTTAAGGCTGTGGCAAATGGCAAGTTTCGACGTGAGAGCACTCCGAGTCATCCTGTACAATCTGATTTAGAAGACACCCAGCCTGGACTTATGACAGATTCTAACCAGACCTCGCACTATGAACCCTTTTCACCAAATTATGAGCTAGAGGATGATTTCGATTACGATGATGCTCTCGAGGATGATGACATTATTGCCGCGGCCAACGCGGAAGCGCTAGCATATGATGCTGATGGGTTTTACGGACAGGAATTCGGTTTCTATTCAGCACCCGCCGCATCTGAAGGAGAATATGTCAATGGAGGTTATTTTGGACCTCGAGGTGGCGATGGCCTGAACCGCGCGCAGAGTGGCAGAATCGTGGTTCGTGAGCCGAACTTGACGCCCATCACAGAGCGGAGCGAATATTCTAATCGCAACTCTTTCATGTCGCTACTAATGTCCCCTTCATTACATGGTTCGGGACCGGTCAGCAGCCCAGGTTTGGCGCAGCTTGCAGGAATGATGAGCGCTCAGGATTACGAGGGTGGTGATATGAGTTTGAATGCGTTGCTAAAGCTGAGAAGAGGAGCTTGGGGTGGGAGTCAAGCCAGTCTTCATAGTAGCACTGGTAGCCCTAAAAGTGCGGGCGGACCAGATGATATCAATCCCGCTTCCCACCCTCCGTGGACGCAAGCAGGCTCATCTAGCTCAACGGCATATGCTAGTCAAGGCCATCGTCGGAAGAATAGCGCGATAAGTGCCATCAGCGAGGCTACAAGTGGCAATGATCAACTAAACCCGAACGATTCGGTACCAGGCAGTCCAACCTTGACAATGAATACTGCCGGTTTCAACAATGCGCGAAAAGACCCCGAGTATGAGAGCGACGATAAGGAAAACGAACCATTATCTTTCGGGCGACACAAACATTCAGCTAGTGCTGAGAGTATCAGCTATCTCAAAGAAGAAGATCCTATAGCTGGCCAGCGATGGATCTTGGAAAGACGCAGGACCGCTGAGAGCGGCGAGGTGGAAGTCCTCGGTCGGGAAGTGGTACAGGGCGGGAGGATATAATTTATTCTCGTCTAATTAGCGTTATGTTCAAAAGCATGAGCGATTACTTTGTAGCTATTATACCACATGCTCAGGAAGGCTTCGAGTAGGCATTATTTTTTGGAAAGGTGTAGAAGTTTTAATTAGCGTTCCAGAAACGATGACGTTTGAAAAGGAGCTATAAGCCTTTATTACCTATTACCTAGACTCTAATAATCAATAGAGATTTAAGGATTATAAAATATGTTCTATAGTATAGTAAAATTCTGTAACCCTCTGTAATAGCTTTACTAAGAATATCCTAAAATCAGTACCGAGAAAACCCTTATAAACGCCTTTCTATTTATCCTATATAAAACTCTTCTATATTTATTTATATGTTTTAGCTTATTAAACACTTTAAAAATTCAAAAGTTTAGTCAAAAGCCACAACTTATCTTCACATATCAAAGTGGAAACGTGAGTAAAAGTCTCGGTTTACATCATTCCTCGCTCTAATATATCGAGGCAAGAAGAATGACACTTCAACATCAAACTTTCGGCTTCGTGTGCACCTAACAGGAGTAGTCGCCAAGTGTTCAATAAATAGGACCATCGTAGGCTAAGGGTGCGTATGTCATATTTTCGTCCCAGAGTCCTCCGGCCGGGTCAAATATCATCTGTGGATAGCACGGATCCTTGATATTTTGATTAGTTTATGAATGTTAAGATTGGACGACGGGCTATCGATGTAGGACAAAGGTGCAATTGGATACCGCTTACATCGTCAAAAAAGGGTATGGCATCTCGGTCTCCGTTCTTCCAGGTATTCAGGTTGTGTCGACGCTTGCACCACATACATCTGATATTGCCGTCTTGAGGAACTCTTTCGCCGCATGGACACCAATACTACAGCGTGTCAGTATTGTAGGAAATGATGTGAGTAGCATTCTTACCCCTGTGACATCGTAAGCTGCCCTCTGCCATAGACCTTCATATATTTCAGCAAGAGCCTCCTGGCTAGCTGCCCTTGAGACCTCCTTTGTTCGTGTTTCGATGTATTTTGCTTCAACACAATTTTCTTTGACCTTACAAGGGAAACATATCCATCTTCTGTACTGGTCGCAGTCGCAGAATTCGGAAAGCGACAGTGGGAGATCATTTTCGACTTTTAAATCGCATGCTGCACAAAAACCCATGATATTCCATGGCGTGGGGCATGGAAGGTAGTGCTGTCTCGGATAAGAAAGCCATCTGGGCATATCGCGAACGCGCGGGACGTATCGGCATTCCTAAAATTTCGATCATGAGTAGCGTCCCTCGGAACAGATCATGTGGATCGCGGACCTCACAAACATTGACTTTGCATTTGATACAAGGCAGTCCATTCGCCTCATCACATCTCAGATTCCAAACCCGCACCTCAACCTCCTCATCGAAATGTGATTTTCTGCCCGTGCCCCAGATGCAATGATCAGCATCTACCTCGTACACGCCTTGAAAATCTTGGCGCGCGAGAAGACCGCGGCCGTCGCATAATGCCACTGCCTTTAAGCGATGAAAGATTTCCTTTGATTTCAGGATTAGTGTGTGGAGTTCTGAGTGCGTTAGTGCGAGATGGAAGAGATCAATCGCGCTGAGAAAGTTGGCCATCCGCTTGAGTATTCCGTACTGGCGCAGAAGCGAGATTATATTGGACATTATCACTATTGGTTTTACGAACTGAATCGTGTTGTTTTGAAAAAGATGGTTGAGATCACGGGTGTAATGGCGTTGTCGTCGCAGCTGGCTCCAACAATTTGACACCGATTTGGCAAGGATGGTGGACCAATGGGAGGGTGGAGAAAACAGTTCCTTGTTTTGAGGCTAGTTGTTATTTGGTCTTTGTATTATCAACACATATGAGTGTTTCTTTTACTACAAAATAATATCAGTATTTAATATTTAGCTTATTCGATATCTACCAAGATGAGTTAGGTTTTGTCCAAACTTTTTAACGCCTCAACATGGGAATCACTAAACAATTAGACATTTGCGATATACTATTCAAATTACATCATCTCAAACGCTTAATAGAGACACAAAGTTCCCCATTTACATCAAGCACAAAATAATGGAACCCAAATTAGGCAACGCTACTACATTTTGGACGCTGTACGCGAGCTTCATGCCATTTAAGATGAGTTACACACTTTCCCCTTAGGCGAACCCACTGCACCTCGCCATCTATCCCGGGTACAAGCAGATCGACCATAAAAGTTCGGAAACTCACAGGACAATAACTCGGCATTTCGATTTAAGCAGTCCACCGCCAAAATGGAGCTAGATTCCACATCCGTAACCCAACTTCTCAGCACGTCAATTCCTGGGTTTTAGTGGGATGATAGCCATGGCTGAGGGCGAGAGGTATGGCTATATAGTATTGAGGAATTTGAGGGGGGTGGGTGTTGATAGCGAGGATTCGGAGGCGTCGAGCTTGGAGATAGTCTTGGAAAGAGAAAATGTGCTGAGGGATTGGTATGGTGTTAGGTCGCTGTAAAAATGAGGTCCTATTTTTTAACTTAACATGCTACATCGATTGTTAGTTGACTGTTAGTTGACTGTTAGTTTTGGATAGCTACTGGATGGTTTGCTCTGCAACAGCACTGTACTCTACCAAAAGCCTTCTGGTCAACCATAGTTACCGTAAGAACTATCCCTCACCCAACTGGATGTTTAGAAACTGAAATATAACAGATTACCGCATGTCAAGCCTCCTACATATCCCCACTACTAAATCCTAACACACAGACAGCTGCCACAATAGGCTTTCGAACTTTCGGGATCATCCTGCTGTCCTATGCGATTACCCTGCTCAAAAACACGCAATCTTCAAATACCGATCGCGAGAAGTTATCATGGTGGAGACTGCACCGACAAAACTGGCTACGACTACTACCGAACCGGTCTTGGAAAGGCATGGTACCAATATCTATGTTGGCAGCAGTCTCATTACCAATGCTATTCCAAGGCCTCTAACACATGCCCGGTCTCCCAGTTTTGGTGATGCTTTTCGTAAGTCGTTAACACCACATTAAAACCCTCCGTGTAAAATCACTAACCTTCTTCCCAGCCCATCATTTCTACCGCGGAATCCCTCGTTCTATTCATCTCTCGACAAGCACAACAACAACCCCAACAATCCTCGCCACCATGGTGGGCACTAGGCGCACTTTCAGCATCCAGTATACTTCTATACAACGAATACCGGCTCATGGTACCAGGCATCATATGGTGTATCACCAGTCTCCTTACTCTCGGCGGCGTGCGCGCACTACTTATCATCGACTCACGGCGCGAATTTGGAGTCGAGACGAGGGCTCAGCGAACGCACGGATTCATCGTCATGACGCTTATCTTTGGACTGATTTTCAGCTCCGCTACAGCGTATTTATTCGAGCAGCCTGCGACGTTGCGTGTGCCGTACCCAACGCTGGGGTTGGTGGTTTTCAACGTCGTTTCGCTCGTGGGTACTGTGTTTACGGGCACGTCTTTGATGGTGTATTCTCCGATTTCATTGGGAGATGACAGGTTAGAATCTTCTAATAAGGTAGGAGCTGGTGCTGGATACTTGACTTCGTTTGCTTCTAGCGTTCTTGTGTTGGTAGCAGCGTTTCCTTCACAGCCGGCGACGGTTGTTTCGAAGATCCAGATCATGATATATCTGCTTGCCAGCTTTTGCGTCTTAGTAGGTAATGAAGCCTACGCTTCCGTTTTCAGATCTACGGATCTTGGACAGCAAGTTTACCGAATATTTCGCAATACATCCGTAAGCCGGACACCACGCAAGGTTTTCTCCATTACTATCATCGGGTTTATATTTGCTGCACTAGGTCTTGCGTTATATGTGCTCGAGTCCAACTCTCTTACCTCAACCTCTTCCCCGGCCTTTCCTTTCTTGCCTTCAGCCTACAACTCCTCGTCGACATTCGATATAGTCGTCAGCGCATATCTCGAAGACCCAGAACTGATCAAAAGCATGCTCGACTCGCTTAAGGAAACAGCATACCTCCGACACATGACCCCGAACGTGATACTTTACACCAAAGACCCAGCCGCGAATATCACGGCACTGAAAGACACCACAGGCGCAGATATCGTCAAACTCTTAGACAACGTCGGCCGCGAGGGCGGAACGTATTTACACCACATCATCACGAACTGGGACAACCTCGCTGAAAAGACGATGTTTATCCAAGCCCACGCGCATAACATGCGGGAGTTGGTTCCTAGGATTAACGATTATCTGGTGCCGGAGACGGGAATGTTGAGTTTGGGATTTGCGGGTATAACTTGTAGCTGCTTAGATTGTCAAGATCGCTGGGGTTGGGAGGACGAGGAGAACGTGATTCCAGCTCTTTATCAACAGATCTACAATAGAAGTTGTGATTCGAATATGCGTGTTTTGTTGTCGTATAAAGGGCAGTTCGTCGCCAGTGCGAAGCGGATAAGGGGGATTAGCAAGGCGATGTATGAGGAGTTGTTTCTGGCTGTGACGACAGATGAGGGATGGCGCCGTGGCCGAGATAGTGTGGGGTATACGCAATTGCCAGAGAATCCGGATTTTGGATTCACGTTGGAGAGGTTATGGGGGTTATTGATGCAGTGTGCTACTGATAGTAGAGTTGCTGTTCGATGTCCTAGTTTACTTAGTGGAAAAGGCTTGGGTGGGGATGTTAGAGACTGTCAATGTTTAGATGCATAATAAGCATACTGTAGTGCTTAGCCAAATTATTTAAATGACCCACCTAGGTGTGATATTCAGATATTATCCCCTCAGCTACTGTGATAATCACACATCCGTGCACACGCTTGTTCATTTAATAAGAGTATTAAAATGCGTCAATTAAAGCTGTTTGGTTGGTCAAATAAGCGTCGCACGGATGTGTGATTCTCAGGCACGCAAGCCAAAATACATACTGTATCCGTAAAATATCGTAAGCGAGCTTTGCGCAATGGAAATGCAAAATCTAGACGCAATTACACCAGACCAGACCGGCGACTTGTTCGGAGCGTTTTCAGACACGAGTCCGAGTCCGAGATGGCGGGAAAACTCAAGGTCTGGGCCAGACTCCTCAGAACTGTTGGATTACGAAAATTTTCTAACCTTTTGTTTTTTGAGATGTGAATTGACAATGTATTATTTCCCGTCAGACGGACATGAAATATACTCGCCTCGAATTACCATGCCTTCCTATGTACCGTACCTAACTGAGAGAATGTTGTTGGAGAAAACTCGGCGTTGGAAGGCCTCAAACAATTGCCAGGAACGTATAGCTCACGTGGAGACGATCCGACGTGATGGATACCGGGAAGATGCAACCGGACTAAATGTTGGAAAGTCGACGGGAGTCTGTCGGTGCGTACTTAAGTACTCGTTTGGTCGAAAATGCTACGTTACGGGAACTGGTGGGTGTACGAGGACGGGAATACCCAATCCTTAGCGAGTCATCGCACACGACGGGAATTCTACTTCTCTAGTCAAGAAGCATCGCGCATCCTACTACCGTCCCTCGCGCATTCCAGAAACACCGTTTCCCCCTTCGATTCCGTCGCTTTTGCGTTGAAATGTTCCGTATCGGCTGAAAGACCAGTGCCTCGTAGCGCATGGCGAGAACCTCGGGCCCGACCCCAATTGGCAAGTGATTGACACCTAAGGCGACCTAATGACACAGGGGCGGCGCAGAAAACTCCACACCGACCCTCTCTCTTTCGACTCGACGCAGACAGATCCTCTCTCTCTGATCCTATCCTCACCCCAACCACCCCCCATCAACGACTTCTTGCGCAGTCCCAGATACATGGTTTAATCTGACCTAAAACCCGTTGCAACGCTGACTATCTTTTCTTCTCCTCGCTCGTTCGCTTTTGTTGTTTGTTTGTTCGTTGGAGATACGTAAGGGCGAGTTACACGGGTTGGTTGTGTGCGGGGAAAGGCATACGAAAGGCCAGGAGGGTGTGCGAATAAGCATGGCTTCTCGTGCGACGGACCAACAGCAAAACCAACAGGATAGGGGCTCGAATGCGAGGAAGAATTCCGGCGCGCCGTTGAGGACGAGGAAGTCGAATGGGAAGTCGAGGGGTGGCTGTCTGGTGTGCAAGAAGAGACGGATCAAGGTGCGTTGTTTTCGCGATGGTTGGTGGTTGCCGAGGTGCGGTTGCCGGTCGTGGTTGTTGTACTCGGGTGGATTGATATCACGATTGATACTTGGAGAGGAAGTTAGAGATGCATTTTTGGTGTGGATATCGGATTGTTGGATGGTTGCTGATTTGTTTAGTGCGATGAGTTACGGCCAACTTGCACACGATGCAAAAGCCAACTCCACAAATGCGTCTACGCCACGAGCGGCGTCCCTCGCTGGAAGAATAATGTCACCAGTTTCTCCCTCTCGAAACTCGCGAAAGCAGAGGAGTCGGAGAAGGTAGTGGAAATCAAGGGCCATAGCAGTAGTCCCGATGCCTTCGAGAGTATTTGGGATATCAACAGCTCTGCCTCACCGCCGGCGATCAACATTCCACCCCAGATCAACTACATGTCCCAGGAGGATTGCGGGAGATTCGATACCCCGGATGCGTTGCTGTTGATACATTTTGAATCTTCTACGATGGGATCGTTGGTGGGTGCTGCGAGTCTTTGGGGTGAGGTTTTGCAGCTGGCTTTTCAGGTATGCTCGGTCAAATTATTTTCTAACTCTTTTCCTAACATACATTCAGCACGACTTCCTCTTCCACGCAATCCTAGCCCTCTCCGCTCGTCATATTCGTAAATGTCCTACCGTCGAATCAATGTCTTCCCCTCATGACTACGATCAACTCGAGACACACCACCTCCAAAAAGCCCTCTCAACCTACCATCCATCCCTCGAAGCACTTAATCCTCAAAATCCTGAGGCCGTAGTCTCGACCTCTTTCATTCTCTACTTCTACATGTGCTCGGTCATGGATTTTGATCCTTTCGCCGTTATTCCAGTTGAAGACACATCCTTCAAATACCTCCGAGGTATCTGCTCGGTCATCACCTCCGGGCCGGACGTACGCATGAAAATCACTCTTTTCAGAAGTCTGGTCGCCAGACCGGTGCATTTCCCATATTGGATGGAGGAAACTTATCCTGTCATGGGTCCAGCCAGCGTGCTCGTAAACTTCCTAGATGACATCCCCGCGTACTCGCATCTCCTGCGCATCGAGAACAGCCGCGAGATCTACCGCAACCGGATGATGTCTTTAGCACCGTATCTCGTAGCATGCACGAAACCAGGACTCGTCGACGAGGCATTCGAGGAATTGTTGGTTGGATTCAAGAGATGGCAAGCTAATGTCCCGATTGAACTTGATTTACTGGTTCAGGCATTTGATCCTATGGCTCTCGTTCTGCTTGCTCATTTCTACGCTGCGATTGGTACGGTCATGTGTAGGATGACTAACACGTGGTGGTGGTGGCAGGAGAAACCTGGATTCAGTAAGCTCTTCCCTACCCTCTTCTCCTCAATGCAAGTGCTAACGGTCTTCAGTGGTCAACACCATTGCCCGCTACCTCGGACCCGAATGGGACGTTTGCATGGCCTGGCCCAAAAAAATGGCCATGTCATTCAAAAGCAAATCTTCACTTCACCAGGCACCACTTGTTTCTCCGCTAAGAGTGGGCATGGATTTCCATGAAGTCGGATTCGGCAGGGGCTTTGAGACTTGGGTCGAATAACACAAAATTGAGGAGGAAAAGGGGGAGGATTTTGGTATTTCTGATGTGGCGGTGCGGTGCTTTTTGGGTCCAGACTTCTGGGATGGATAAAGGGAGCTAATCGTCTAATTGGCATTTTACCTGCGATTACTGCTCGATATTCATTATATCCGAAAAGTACCGTAACGCTGTTGAGGAGGTATGGTATCTACGTTGAAGATTTACCATACGACATGCATTTTCTATTTATTTTTGACATTTACTCGCTACCTTTAGGATATTTATTTGTACGTGGTGGAAACGCGGTTGTATATATGCTATTTATCTGGGAGACGGTGGGAAACACGTTTTTCTTTTCTTTGTAATTCAGGGTCCGGGTCGGTCGATAGCATTTATATATAATATACACATTTTTCATTGAAGCCCGGCTGGCTATTGTGTGAAATCAAATGTCAGGAGGTGAGACAGTTGTTCAACTGACTCGAATTAAGAGTTGGAATTGCAGCTACACAAAACCGTCGAATTGAGATTGGCAACTCCACGAACAAACCTCGAGTGTCCGTTCCTTTCAACCTCCCCTCCGGACCGAGCTACGCCTCCACAAAATCAGAGCAGCAAAACTATGTCTTCATCCCTACGACGGTGACAGGTACGGCTTGTTATCTGGCTCCCCGCCATATACGCCCAACCCGAAAGGGTTGCTGTCACTCATTCCGCCCTGCCTACTATTCGCGTGTGGCAAAAGAATTCTCAAGAGAAGATCCCCTCGATATCGACACGCCTACCACCAAAACTGATAGAATCCATTCTTCCGGTGCTAAAGTATGACGAAGATATGTTTCGAGGACCTGATAAGGCTGTCTTTACGGCCTCGATGTGATAGGTAAGTACTGTATCATCTCTTTTCACCATAATATACATCTCTTTTAGAAAGGCAAGGTAGGAGCTAGGAAATCCCGTCTTCTGATGACCGTGCCCCGTTGGGCTGGCAATGCATTGGTAGACTAGGTAGGTACAAGTGTAGCTAACAGTTCCACACCCATCATCTATCTCAAGTACGATAACTATTTCTTTTTTGGGGGGAGTTGGGAAAGCTTGCTTATTTGTAATGGTGTGTAGAAGCGTGTCTTGACGTACTGGGGGTACCACAAATCCTGCTAACACATTTACAGACGGGGTGATCTGGAAATATAGCATGTTCCGTTACTCGACCTTATAAAATAACATGTCAGAGCTGGCTCCAGATATACTTCAAAGATTTCACATTCAGCATGTTAAATCATCTACTCGTTTTTAATTTCAATTACTCGGTACAATATTCAGATCATCACTGCCTCACTTCGACCGCCACGACACCATTCCCATCGAACCTTATAATCAACTCCTCCCCATCAAGTTTCTATCTCCCACCACCAATCGCCATTCTCCTTCGCCAGAAATGTCCAGAACCATATCCACAAAACATCATAACACAATTCCTCAACAGATACCCACCAAACTTCCCCGTCATCACCGAAACTGCTTCACAATCGACCAACACTGCAAACTTCCAGCCACAGCAATCATACCAGTACCCCACCATGCAAGCACAGTAAAATGATTCCGCTCTCCAATCGTTTGAAGGTATCCGGCAAGTGGTGGAGAAACAGTCCTAAACGCCGCTCCGGTACTTGCTACGATACCATTGACTCGACCGAGCACGGAGCTGCTAGGTGCTGCATTCTTGATGAAGATGAGCAGAATTGGGTATGTGAAGACGCTGAAGATTGTGCGGACTATGAGCCAGGAGAATAGTCCGACTTCTCGCCATGTTCCTTCGGGGATAAATGCAATGTATGGAGCCACGAAGTATACGAATGGGTGAAGGAAGGTGATGAATGCAAATGGTTTTATCAAACCAAAAACCTTCGTACACTCTGGGAACAGCAGGAGTTGAACCGCCATGCTGATGAGTCCTCCAATAGCCATGATCTCGCCGGACTTGTATAGCGGAAGACCTAGCCCACCAACGCCGCCCCAATAGTGTTTAGTAGGTACCTCGGTATCTGCTGGTCGCTGGAGAAAGATTGGGATCAGCTGGATGTAGTTGAGAGTGTGACTAGTAAGTATGCACAGTGCAATTATAGGATTCCAAATTCTTGCACTGAGTTTCGGCGAGAATCTTGTGTCTTCGAAGGTACTGGAGGAACTGCTATCCGTGCCATATCCCGGTTGCTCCGCTGTGCCGTCCATGATGGCCACTGCGAGAAGAGGTGTCTCGGCGGTAGTTTGTGGAACGTCGATTTCCATCAAAGTACGTCGCTTTCGGTGCGCGAGTATCTCAGGATGAGTTTCTTCAAGAAGTGTGGCTGCTATTGTGAATGTCAAAAGTAGCATGACGACGCAAGCAAGATTTGGAAGTAGATATGGGTATGTCTTGAACAGCTGGATTTTGCCTAAGGAGTTTGGAAATGATTCTTCGGGCTTCCCGAGATATCCTCCGATTGCTGGCCCTATCGTGCAGCCGATTGTGTAGAATATCGGCATGATGGTATACGCTCGAGCTAGAACGCAAGTCAGCCTTCAATCCCGAGTATCATCATCACATTCACCAACGTTCATGTTTTGGATTTGTCACAAGCTCGCCAACCATTGTCTGCACAATCCCTATGTTCCCATTGAGTCCACCACCAAAAGCTCTCCCGATTATCGCCACATAGATGTTCGTCGAGAATCCAATCACCAGCATGGAAAGAGCAGTTCCAGCGCATCCGAGAAGCAATACTGGTTTTCTTCCAATCTTGTCGCTCAATGCGCCCCAGAGGAAGGCAGTCAGAGCTTCTGCCAGAGAAAACGATCCGAGGAATATTCCGGCGTATAAGGCTGCGCTTTGAGCCACTGTTCCGCCGAAAAACTTCATCATATCGTACTGGAGGGTTGGTCAGTATTTTGATGACTATGGACAGAGGGGGAGCTTACTGAGAATGGGTAGACGAGGGTGAGCGCAACGGGTTCCGCGATCCGACATAGTGCTGTAAATGTTAGCATCAGGTTTCCATACATTGTGGCGGGTTTGTGTTGGATTGAACGTCTGGTACCTAGGTAAAAGAGCTGCTTTGCCGGAAATCCTCGCCCACTATCAAACTCGAGTTCCGGCGCATCATCATCATCTTTGTTGTGCTCATCTTCACCCATGACGAGGATAGGGTACTGTAGATCGAATTGCACCAAGAATTGCAAGTCTGGAGAAACGAAGGTCTGAGGTGAGGTGAGAGGAATTGGATTCGAACGAGATTGAAGTGCGGAGGTTAGCAGAAAACTATCCTCGGGAGTTTACCGTGCTTGATTAGATCGAGGAAGGAACGATGTTGGTTCTTTTCAAATTAACTTGGGACCTCGCTTATGATTTAGTACTAGAAACATGAAAATCAAAATATCAACACTAAGCAAACAAACAAACACCCTTTCCAAAATCCACTCTATCTTTTCCCCTTCATATATACCATATCACATCACTCTACGCCCGCATCCTCATTCAATCACCACCACTGAAGGGTACCAGCGCATGCATGAAGCAGTCTCCCTCGGAACCAGACGTGTCATGTCACACAGATTGGGGGGATCTCGTAGGCGTCATGGATGAGGAGATCTGGGTAGGCACGGTGCGCGCAACGGCTATGAGGGACTTGCGAGCGTGGTACCCGAGATGAGAGATGGTGTGACGGGCAGCTCGAGGGAAGTGTGAGGCGCGCTGCTTCTGTTGCAGGGAAATGTGGTACGGCGTTTGAGGAGGAGGTGAGATTATGCGGGCGGGTGGTTCGATGTAGGACTTATGGGAGAAGGCTCGTTGTATATCTTTCTATTTCTTTTGATTGTCATGATCAATCTCATGCACTTCAGTACCTATTTGGAAGACCATCTTACTGCCTACTTCCAAATCTCAAGTTATCTAAAAGACTTTCCAAAACACCACACTTTCCTTCTCCCCAAAGGCAAACACGCTCAAATCACACCACAGAATTCCAGCGGAAATCTACACTCCACGTCACAACACATGTCGGTCGCACGTCGCACCTCTCGAGGTACTTTGTTGTTCCCTAGCGCTCCGGGAGCTCCCCGCTGCAGATCAGTGCGTTTGGACCATTACAGAGAAGCGCATGGAATACGAATAAGAGACTGCACGGGATGGAGCTGAGGAGTTGGAACTCGTGTATGCTGGGTGCGAAAGCCACGATCCGATGATCTTGGATGGAGAGGGTGGTGATCGACTTGGCGGTGGGACAGGCGACGGGGTTGTACGAGGGGTGGAGGGGTCTTGGGGGTGGTTGAGGGAGTGGGTATGAATTGTTTATTTGGGGTTGAGATGTTGGGGCTTTGGTTTTATGCTTTCTGTATGTAGTGGTGGGTGATATGATTGTAGATGAGTTGTTAGTTGAAACTAGTGGAGGTATGATAGAGCTTTAGTAGAGTAAGAGATAAATTACTTATTCATATTACAATCTCGAGGATTCCTGGAATTCAATGTCGATTCCAGCAAGTGTATATAGATTGCCTTGTCTCTATGTACCAAAATCTCACACGTCATTTTACACCAGAAGACTTCATTCCTTATTCAGCACATCAAAAATCCAAATTCATCGTAGCCTTACCCAGACCGTCAACGTCGTGATGATATGAGTTATGAGCAACGACTTCTACTCTCTCTGCAGTTTCCGCATTCTTGACCTCCGTAACTTCAAAACTTTTCCCAATGTGCGCAGCTCAGGGCAGTACGGAAGCAGTCTACCTCCGACAATCTTGTTCATGTAGCTTGAGATGCTCCAAAACCTCATTAAACAACATATTTTCGAACACATTTATACTGTATATAGAAATGTCTCTCCTTCTAGAACCAGTCATCATCGAAGACACCTTTTTCTGGCTTACTTACATATCTTATGTATGAATTAAACATCCACGATCAATTATTCACGCCACTGTTCTGCATTTGATATAGCTGTCATCAATGGGACGTATTCACATATATCGGAAACACACTCAAGTCCTGGTCCTTGAAGTTCTCATATATTGCGCTTTTCGTAAACCACAGACACGCATTTCAAGTGTTCTTGCGTGACTTCCTCCAATGATTCGGTCTTCATTTAATACATTGAGGTTTCTTTCTTGGGCGATTAACTCATCAAGCAGCAATACATAGGTATTCAACCAGTATGTAGATCACCCCTACAGTCATTGATATGGTTTTTAGCTTACCTCAAATACCCTTTGGTATCATGTCTCTTTCATACTAGAACGCAGATAGAAGAAGAACCTACTTTGTGGAAAATCAATGCGATTTTACTACGGGTTAGTTCAGTGCGTGATGAGTAGTAATCCTCGGAAATGTAGTTTGAAATTCAGTAGTAGGCGGAGAAGTAGGAGCGGAATATCACTGAGGAATGGAAGTTGTATTGATACCGTCTATTGGGTCATGTATGGCGGGAAAACGTGCTTTCGCACAAGAAGTTTGCCTCAAAGAAAATCTCGGTGAATGTACTTTTCGCTAAGGTAACGACAAGACTCTCCAGCACCCAGAGTGAATTAACACCCCCAGACCCACCCCCATCCACCCCCGAACATTCATATCCAATCATTTACCATCTCCCTATATAAACCACAAAATACAAAAATCCAGTCCCCTTGTCTGAAACTATTGGAAGGCAAGTGAGAAACGTTCAACGCCTTGCCAATGCTACTTAACTGGAGCGCTGGTATCGTTCAAGAGGTATAGCCTAGTTAGACACTGGATCCCCAGGGGGCGCGGCCATTTAAAATGTGGGAAATTGGGGAAATGCGCAATACAAATCTAGATTATATATAACGTTTTTGGGGGGGGGGGGGGGGGGGGGAGTTGGAGGCTCGCTTAGCTTTTTGGTAGACGCGCAAATACTCACCTTATTTGTTTTGTGAAACAATAAAGTGTTCGATAGATTTCTGAGGAGTTTTGATACTCTATGGTAGTGATCCGTGTCCCAACGGCATACGAGCTTAGTCTCCATTTTCTTTTGGGAGTATGGATTGCAACCCATCCATGGACGGGCCAGCTTCCATTCACGGCTGCCATGATACCGAGTAAATGACTACCCTTTCAAAAATAAATAGTTTCTTTTCATCAATAATTAATGCTTACATTCCAGGGTTCGGCTGAGGAAGATGCCGCATACAAGGACGAGAGTCTTCGATCGATTAGTCTTTCCTCCAAACAACCTTCCAACAGCAACAGCGAGAGCGTTCAGAGCATTGTCTGAATTGTTTCTATTTCAGGACAAATCCGCTTCATCTCCTTGAAGTATCAGGACTTTAATGTCTACAGAATGTTTCTTTGTTGGAGAGGTATCGTGCTAGAGGTAATAGTTTAGGAGATGCAAACGTCAGATAGATCAAGCCTCGCATATGCATTGGTAGCAATATGGCGGAATCAACTCTCCATGCTTAAAGGAGAGATTGAATTCGTCATAAAAGGCGCGGAGCACGAAACATGAAGTCAGTTTTCTTTATGGAACAAACATATACAAACTCGGATTGTAACTCTCGTCCATCGAAGCTTCATGCTAAAAGAGGTGATAGATGAGTGCAATCTATAGTCATTCGATATATGAGGTCTAGCAAAAGATTGTTGTTGAAGTTGCGTGGATAGATGGTGGATTATACCTCTGTCAGATATAGTTCGGAACAGATACCTCTGGCTCGAGCAATGGAAATTAACTTTCGTTCAGCATCCCAGACCGTGACTGTTCGAATCTTGATGTCTGCGGGTAGTTAAGAGGTCTTAAATTCCCCTGGAGTGAAAATCATCACCCGACCATCAGTCAAGGTGTAGCCAGTTCAACACTATTTTTTGGAGATTTCCAACTACGCCCGCTCGACGCCGAACTACAGGTTGATTAACTGGCCTTCATGGCGACTCATACAATCACAATCGTCTGCCTAGACCCCTCAGCAGGAAAGCTCGCGTCTGGACCGAGCGCGTTCCTTTCCTCTAAGTCACGGTAGAGCTCATGAAAGTTGACCTCCGGCTCCAACCATAAACCGCGACTTAGGTCTTGACTGAAATGGCCCAACCGCTTAAAACTCCCATTAGAGAGGCTTTTCAAGATTATACCATGCCATGGGAAGACTCCGTGTGGGGAGAGATCTTGATTAGATGGCGCACAGCCTAGTATCAGACATCATGTATCGTCTAAATCTTCGACATTTAGAGGACGTCCATCAAAGTCCATGCGAGTATTCTCTAGCCACGATTGCTTAGCATATCTTGCCTCGACTGTATACCCTTCAATTGTTAGACGCCCGGACACAACCCTACCAAAAGGGTTATCCCGAGAAGCAAGTTTGACTTCGCAGGAAATGACACGAGCTTCCCTGGGTGTCTCCGCGTAAAACGACCGCACGACATCACACACGGACCCATCTACTGATGCCCAAGACCAGCTCGGAGCTTCAAGAGCTTTCCAGTTGCGATTTGCTAAAGCTGTATTGTCCACCCTCCATCCCAGTTGGCTTTGCATATCCTGCTCCCAAAGACCAGCAAAGTACCTATTATTCCACATGGATGCTGCCATTGCCGCAATACCAGCAAGAGCTTCTAGTCTGTCATCGGGAAATGTAAGATTTCGGAGAGTGTATATCCTAACAAGCTGGTCCCAAATGTCTCGTTGAACAGGGCCAGGTTCAAACTCTTGCGTGGCGACGACCAAATCATGGCTTGGATGTGATCGAATTCGCATACCGTCATAAGCCAACCGATCGAATACAGCGGAGCATTGCCAAACCATGCCTTGATCCGTGTAAATCAGCGCCCGACGTGCAAGACTAATTTCCTGATAAGCCCAGCCTCGCTGATTCAGCGGTTCGTGGCCAGAAGATTCCAGAGGAACTTTAACAATTCCAACTTCGCCTCTGCAAGTTTCTGAAAATTTAGCTGGCAGCATGACTACTCCGTCGGATGGTATGTTGGCGTCTTCAAGAAACCCGGCATTTGCGTCCCTGGCCCTTGAAGCAGCAATCACTAACGTTGCGCGGTTGAATGTCATTCGCATTTTAGCAATCTCGCGTGCTTTGTCGGTTTCGTCATCTTGAATGATACAAAGTGCATCAACCCACAAATACCGGATCTGGAGCTGTTTACACACCTGCACAGCGTCGAGTAAGGTCCGTGGAAGACCGTCGAGTCTAGCACCACCTATCCGAGATGAAATGTTGGCTCGAGTTGTTTTGAATAATTGATCGCCTCCCCAGCAATAGCTCAGCGCTGCGTAACTATTCTCTTCATTCCCTGTCTGACGTAGGCACATCGTCTCGACGTCGATTACCCGTAAGGGTAGAACATTCATTTTGCCCCGCGGACAGCATTCATGTTGAGTGAGGCACAGTTGAAATGCTTTCTCAATACGTTCTATCGCCCTGTCGTTTATGACTGAGCTAAAAGCTGGTCGACTGGGTATCACGGTAGACATCGGATTTCCTGCTGCGATATTATCGACGGAGTAAGAATACATCCAAACCAGTGGACTTACCAGGACATACAAAATAATAAAAACTAGTCTGCGTCCATCGATATTCATCATTTACTACCCATTTGATTTCGCTTCTCAACCCGATGTCGTCTCCCGAGCGAATCTCGAAAAACGAGTCGATGCGATCGGTTTCATGTGAGGATTCTCCACGCATTTCATGGGATAAAATAGAACACAACGCGCATCCCCAACTAGCGCTTTCCCGGATCTCCCCTATTGTGTAATGATCGATACGATATGCTCGGCCTTTTTCGATCAAGCTTCTGCAGTTGTCAATGTTCAAGAACAAAGATGAGCAACAAGGACAGAGTCTTGGTTGCGCATCAGTCACATCATGAAGAGTGTGAGCGTCCTGGGTACTACACTCCTCATCGCGGGTTCGTGGAATGATCTGGGCCATTGGGACACGAATAGGAATTGCTGTGAAAGGTGGTGTTGTGATTAGAAGCGGAGGTAGAGAGCAGTTGAACCCTGTCAGGTGTCATCACCCAACCAAAATCCAGAGTGGGTTGCAGGTCGTGAGCGCTTCATTTAGCTTCCTGTACGATTTATTCGCCGCCGATCAAAATCAAATTTTCTCGCAGAGCTCTTCGATGAGGCTGAGGTATAGTCCAACGCCTTTTCCTAAGATAAAGTTGTGACCATGTGAAATCAGTAATGGTATTCTATTGAAGCTCACTCCGTCTGTTATGTCCTCTAGGCAAATGCTTACGAGAGGAAGCTATGCTCTCAAGTCCTCCTAGTCGTTGACTCTCGATCAAGAGCGTAAAGTCTACCTAACAGATCATTAGGGTACAAATCTGGCTGTTCATCTAAATACGTGGCGAATTCAGCCATGCCACCTTTGCTATGTTTGGGATCCGGCATCACATGCATCGGAGGCTCCCCCACGCATATCATTTGTTGCAGTTCAGTATCAACCCCGGAGTCTGCATCGTCAGAATACTCTTCTTCAGAAGGATTTTCGTCGTTGGTGTTATCTCGGTTAGAATTACCGAATTCCCAGGGAGGTCCTTTGAATGATTTATCCTCATCTAAATAAGGCTTCCAATCCGTCTCTGTTGGCTCTCTTTCTGGATGGTCACGCCCAAGCAGCCCCGATAGTTCCGGGAACATGGCATACGAAAATAATTCTACCTGGGCTAATTCATCTGCATCTATCTCGACAAAGTCATGTTCGATTGCACAACCTTTCTTGTGACACGAAGACCAGTCATGAGGAACAACCTGCCAGAGATAGTGCTTGATTTGTATATACTGTAAGGATGGACAGATGGAATGCATATCGCGGGCATATCTCAGAGCGATATCCTTCGAGTAAGTGACACCAGGCCAGTAAGACGCAGATGGTGGGGGAAATCGTCCAAGATATCTTGCCATGATGCGGATATGGACCAAGTTTCGCATTTGAAGAAGGCGTTTTGAAAGTTGAATCTAAATAAGTTAGATGACTCGCGGAGACCAAGAAAAGTGGTCCACTTACCCATTGAGTTTCGAATTGGATAGCTAAGCCGAGTTTCTCTAGATGAATGCCTTTGTCCGGAAGATAGTCGAGTATACTGAAATGTGAGCGTTTCGAGATTTCTATGAAATCAGGTGATTCACTGAGCTCAGTGCCAGATTCGGAAATTATCTCTGAATGATTCTCAGATTGAACGTCAGAAGACCCTGATTCGGACGTCGTCTCTGGGTGAAATTCAGAAATTGTCGCTTCCGAAAATTCCGAATCATCCTCGGCGTAATTTTCCTCTGTTACCCTGTTGTTTTCTTCTATCCATGCAGCCTCTGCCTCGGGGCCAAAATCAGCTTGAAATTGGTCGTACCCATAGTCTGACTCGACAGACTCCCAGGAGTCTCTGTCAGAGTCGGTTTCAGAAGGTACTGTAGTTACGTAATAGGAGTTAGTGTCATCAGAGATATATAACCCAGTCAACTTCGTAAGGTTGAGTTGGCTCGCATTTCGATAACCTTCCCAGCCACCGACATAACGCTCTGTGATGACAAGATCTTCGAGGGCCTCTGCTTTATCACTTATCCATTCGGTGACATCGTCCTCAAGACGTGTGATTTGCAATTGTTGCAGAGATTGGCATTGGTCGAAGAGGTGCCAATGAATTTCAGCGGGTCGCTCGTATACGTCTACAGTCTCATACTTGTATCGTCCGTTCCAAATGTGGAGTTTTTGGAGACCTTCTAATTCGACAAGCTTTGATAAATAATTTTCCTCAGTCGGTGACGCTTTAGGCTTGTATGGGCTCAAGAAAGTGCCAAGCCGGAGTGTCTTGAGGCGCAAGGGCATCAATGATGTTCTGTCTTCTACTTCGCCCAACTTGCTATACTCGAGGCAGAGCCTTTCGAGAAAACCAAGTTCGCCCCACAAGATGAGTATCTTATCATTGTAGTCAACATCAGAATCACAGGACATGCCCAGTCCGAGTACGTTAAGTTTACTGCAACTTCTCAGAGTTCTGGCAAGATCGGGTAGAACTTCATCTTCTGGGCCATGAAAGTTATACATCTCTAAGGAAGTCAAGTTTTTGAACCCAGCTAGTGGCATGAAGCAGCTTGTCGGCATATGTTGCTCTTCTATGTGTTTGAGCAAATGACTTGCCATATTACCCCAGATCCTTTCTAGCGTAGGATGGTTGTGTAACGCGTCGAGTAGCTTTGGGTCTCGCATAACTAGAGATGTCAAATCGAATCGGTCGTCATACGACTGGTCCCACCAGCTAACAACCTTTAGCGTATATCAGACATTAGAAGCGAAGGATTGACCTGAAGGATTGGAGCCTGGGTATTGCCTCGACGGTCCTTGTAACAAAGCTTGCCATCTCGGTGGTCGCGTCGGGCGGCCAACTACGGTCGTCATCAAGGCCAAGTTCATCGTCAGACAAATATATTGTCAGGTGTTTTGTATGTGAAGTTGCTGAAGGAATGTCTCCATAGAACAGGGGGGGAACAACTGCCTTGTCGAATGTTACAGTCAAGTGTTCAGATGTAAGAGAGGCGAACAAAAGGTTGAAAGTTCGACACACGTGACGAAGAGCTATTTGAGTTCTTCGATTGTGGATCTACATAAGCTGATTAGTAGAGACATTTCTAAAGCGGTGATAACGATGGAGTGATATCAAAATGCACAAATGTATACATTTTTGTAGTGTGTAAAATGATTTCCAGCGTGGTCCAAAGTCGCGTTCAGAAATAGCTGAGGTCACACTTACATGCTGTGCGATCATGGTCCAGACTTCAGGAGGTAATCCGGAGAGCCACGGAACTTTCTTTCCTTCCAGAGATTTATCCCGTGTCGTATAGTTCATCTTTCCGTAGTTCTCGATGTGTAGAATGTGAAGTAGAAAATTAGAGAGACGTCGCGTCCTGGAATTAACCTCGGGGCTTTTGGTCAAAGCTTAAGTCACGTGCTGGGCTGGTAATCTGCCTTTTCCTTGCAACCGTGTGGGACCCTTTCTCAGACAACATCGCGACGTAATCTCTTGCTAGAATGCGCGATCGGACTCAATATACTCAACTCTAGCTTTCAATTTAAATGTCGTCATTTGATGGCGTGGTGAAACTAATCTTTGAAGGACCTTATTGTTAAGCTTTTCAATTCTTTGCTTGCTTGGGCATTCGACACATCTTGGCGCTGCAAGCTTACGGTTTGTCGATTTTCTGAATGGTAATTTTTTTCCAAAATTGCTGGAGTCGAGCTGACTGGATGAGTAGTGGATTGTATGTTGAGCTCTTGATCGCAAAGTTCTGCCTTTCCGAACAATTATATCTCAGAATTCGCTTCGTTCCATTCCTGTTTGCTATTATCTGTTGAATAATTCTAACGTGCCAAAAGCCATCAGGCATGTCATAGGGACGTTCTGTTCGACCCAGAGGAAAAGACCACGAATCCTCCTGGTACACTGCCAAGGGTTATGGCTGCCTCTTCTCGTTGACTAGCTGGCGGCATTCTAACGGAAACTTACAAATCGGGAGCTGCAATCACATGTGCTGTACTCAACAACATCACAAGAAGTACAACATGCGGCCCTTTTGTATAAACCTAGAATGATAAATAAACAGTGCTGCCACACGCGTCATTACAACCGGCATTCATACGACTCTATGTGGGTAAACATTGTCATCGACTTGATCATTGAATATCTACCACCCTGGAAATTCCGTTCGGACTCGCCGTTATCCGTATTACACATCAATATCAGAATCCGTTCAGCCCCTGGCAGAATTGGCATCACAACGCAAAACTTTTTGACATGTTGTGTGAGCGGGTAGGGGACAAGGCTTAGTGAGCAGAATAAATGAATGAAACGTTTGAGCAGAGACGTTGTACTGCATTCGGGGTTAACCTGGCCGGTACTCTGCTACTAAACATGAACGCATAAGATACTGAGCACGGGACACATACTCTGGAGCCAAATAACACAGCCAGAAAAGGCGCTCTTGCCCCTACGACTCTCCTGAAGTTGTTAGCGAACTTGTTACTCAGGTAGCGAAGCGATCTCTGGTGTTAAATGAGAACAACGATGAAAACGTGCGAAAGGCTCCCTGAAAACCCGGACATAGCATGATCAGATTGACCTCGCCGAAAGGTTGGGGTCGGGACAGGATCCTCTAGCATGAGAAACGTGGCTGCCTGGTCACTGCAGCGAGCTCTATCTCATTATGGTACGTCAGTTCTGAATTCCCCTGCCCACTTAATATGGCAAAATTCAGGGCAGATGTCGATGTGCATGATCCCAGAATGGTCGGCCACAGATCATATCCCGGAATGTACATCTGACCTCCGTATCTCTAGCCTGTCGTCATGAGCTGAAAATATACATGATACAATTACAATCGTCGGCTCTAGGGGGCCACTCCCTTGTCTGAGAAGCTCGTGAAGAGGGAAGGTCCATTGACACCAACTACTACCACATCTCTGGGTGACACGAATTGTGCGATACCAGGGCTGCTGGGCAGGATTTAATCAGGCAAAAATACAACGCTCTTCATCACCTGAGTGTACAAGTCGGGCGTAAACCACATAAACTCCAAAACGGGCCTGAAGCCGGCACTCAGCCTCCTTTTGAGCTGGAGAGTCCCTTGTTCTCTGGATGAAAATGGGTGTTTCTCTACCAGGGCAGATTGTCAGAAACGTCTCGTTCCTGTGACCTTATCGCCTTGTCGTAAATATCATCGTCCTAATTGGCCCAGCAATATCCGCGGGTCAGCTCCCGCGTCAGAAGATTCGTCAATTCCACATGTTTACTAGGAAAGCAAGCGGCTCATTCGGCAGTCTTTGCGCCTCTCATATTACTGTCATCTGGCTTTGGCGGAGACGAGCACGTTGCTATACGTGCCGCTCTCCTGCCGACAACTTTCCCCCGGATTTGGCAGTTAGAGTGGCTTACGAAATTCTGCGAGTGCCCAGTGATACGTTAGCTATGCTTAATGGGTACACAGGGGGTTCGGGTCTCCCAAGTTCTGAACAAGATCTCTGTGCCAGTCGAGAAGGGTTTAAGTATTTGTTTCTCCCTCAGAAACATCAAACAATATCTTCATTTTCGAAATCCTCTAAGACCGACCAAGCTTGCTTCTTCCTGAGTTCTAGCGATTCTCATTGGACAACTTCAAGACAAACACACAGCGTGCAAGATGCCATCTCAGGCAAATTCCACCAAGGCCCACCACGGCTCCGTCTCCAGGTAAATCTTCAACAGAACTGGAACAAGGTTTTGTATCACTTGCTGACAAGGCCTCTTCAATGTAGCAGAGGTTCGCCATCGTCTTCGAATGCCCGAGCTTCCTCCTCGTCCGAAAGCGCAACGCTCTCAGAGATACGCATATCAGCCTTCCTCTACAGCCCGTTACCGGTTCCAAGATATTTATTCGACAACTCACACGCTAGCGAGAAGGCTCATGTGAAACGAATGGGTTCTTATTTGCACAAAATTGAAAGTGTTATTGGAAAAACATGAAAGGTGGACGGTGCTTCGGCCCGCGAATTCGGGATGTAACCAGAGGAACATGATGACTGCTTATGCTTTCTGCGAGGTTGAAAAACACGATAGTAAGTGATTTAATAGCGAAATGTTCAGCTGAACTATACTGACGAGTTCTAGATACACCATGTACATCATGGGACTGGGCGTTTACGACACCATGGGCTTGACAGATTCCACCCCACCACCAAGCGAGCCTGAAGAGAACGCCAAACATTCTATTGCAACAATATCAAATAATAAGATCTTGCATCTGTTCCAGCCATTCGAGCCAGCCACTAGTTGCTCCTTTTCGGCATGGTCTCGTTGATTATTTTCCTATGCTCAAGCCAACTGAGCCACCAACGTGCCAATCACCAATCCCAACTTCAGGGCCACGAAAGCATATTTGGGTGCTTTCTGCTTAAACAGCTCGGTCTTTGAGCGCCGAATCGGTTGGGTATTCTCTTCTAGGGTACTCTCGTTGGCGGATGTAGGAAGAGGATCCGAATTACGACGGCGTTGTCGAGGAGAAGCCGTATCGTTCTTCGAGTCTATATTTGCTGAGACTTTGGATTTGGATCCAAACCAATGATGGGTTCTTGGCTTCCTGTGGTTTGAGTTAGTCTTATGATATGGGGAATCTGGGATGAAGACTTACTTTGAAGAAGAATTGCCCTTCGACTGTTCAGGCATGGTATATTGTGACAGACTTTGAGGCTTACTGGAGCAAGAAGATTAAACTTAATGAAGTGCTTTGTAGGATGAGTGGTACAAGGAATTATTGAAAAGGTTGGGTAAACTTATAGACTCTTATAGAGGCCTCTCACTATCAAGAATAGTCTACGCTACGCACTCTCCAGTCAGATGCGCTGCTACTAGCGTGGTCCGGTTTTTGCGCACCTCTTAGCCCATAGCTGATTGGGTGTCGCTCATATGGCATATCAAAAAACCCATAGTATGAGGAGACAGATGACGAAAACCTCATACCTTTAAGTATTTGCGCACCTCGGAATGGAGTTTTTGCGCATACTAAGTACATCCCGCCAGGTCATGGCCACGCCCAACACGGGTGTAAGCGAGAATGCAGCACCCCAAGCAGTGCGCAAAAACCTATGGCCACCTACAACAGTTGGCTTCAGGTGGTTATTACACAAATCTCATCAACCAATGGCACACAATGTCCTTAATCTGGCAAGTAATTCGTATCTATCGAGGTATTTGCGCAGTCCACGAACAGCTTTTGCAAATCTTACTCCCCATCTCGTAGGTTCGAAGTACTGTAAGCGAGATTTCAGAACTGCGCAAGAACTCAACGAGCTCTTGAGTACCGTGGCTTACACAAGCCCCTGTGCATGTTCAATAATATCGCGATGACTTTGTCGGAGCACGACGATGAAGTCTCGAATACGCGGAAATTCCTCCATGTGGGTATTTGCCAGATCCGTGATCGACGGCTACACCTTCACGTAAACACATGTCAAGATCTTTATGGGACGACTTGAGTTTTTGCGCAGGAACAAAGGTGGGGCCAAAACTCTCCTCGATACCAGATAGCAATCCATCGATGCTGTGTAACGTGAGTGCTCAGAAAGATATCCTTCGGTACCTGTCCATATTTCAGGGGCATCGAAAGCTCCGGGGCATTAAGCGAGCAAACATGGCAGATGGGACTCAGGGCAACGAAGAAAACTCATTACGAGGCTAAATATATCTACCAATTTTCTGCCTTACTCGTTTCCCAGTCTCATATTATCACGACATCACTCAAGCTCTCTTAACAGAAAAACTATTCGGCGTAAAAGTCCCATCTGGATCCGCCTTCGCCCTCGCCTTCTTTAACCGATCATACTTCGCTTGATCCTCATAGTAAGCAGGCCAGACCTTATCAAGATCATAATCTCCAAAACTTCCCCACAACAACCTCTTGTCCTTCTTCGAAAAGATACCATTTGGTCCAATTCCCTCTTGAATATTGACGGTCCGCCAATCCCTCGCAGCTTGCTGTCGATTCGCGCCGTAAAAGCAATCAACTGTAGCAACGATAGTGCTATCGCGCCAACTATACGAAGTTCCATTATTGCGATTTTTGTACGTCGCTGAGTTTTTGCCGCCGAAGTTCTGGAATTGGGCTGAGACCCAGAGGTCGTTTCCGTTGGGCTTGATGATGCCATCGAGACGGCCGGTGATCCATTTGGGCCAGCCGTCTTTGGCGAGAGTTTTGGAGCTAGTGCAGGTCGTGGATTTGATGTAAGGGTGGTTGAACTCGCGGACGTTGCGGAAGATCCAGTCAGCGGTGAGTTCGGACATAGGTTTCACGCCTTCGGTTTTGAAGAGGGAGCCTTTCTTGATGCGGTCGAACCAGGAGATGTCGCAGACGTCGGTGGGTTTGAATGGCACCCATTGCGCATAAACGATGATGGAGCGAGGCCAGAGGATAAGGCCGTCTTCACCGAAGATTTCTGGGTGCTCTTCTTTGAGGGTTTGATCGGCTTCCGGGAACCAGTCGAGGAGTGGGAAGGAGGAACTGAGGACGCTAACGCAGAAGTCGTAGTTACCAGGGAAATCATCGTTGTCAGACATTTCGACAAGCTGATCGAGGAGTCGTTCAAGTGTCTCGGGACTGTACAGATGGATGGATTTGAGGCCACGCGAGCCCTTGTAATCTTCATCGCGGTAGACTTTTGTTGTGAAGTGAGTGATAACACCAAGATTGCCTGGGCTTCCACCAAGAATTGCGCCGAAGAGTTCTGAATCATTCATTTGGTTCACTTCTTTGACAGTCCCTTCATGATCAACAATTTCGAACGACATAATATGATCACCGAGAAGTCCAAAACTGCGGCCTAGCTGCCCGTATCCACCAGACTGGCAATGTCCCCCAAGATGAACGTGCACACACTGTCCATGTGGTACGAACAATTTATTCTCCCCTAAGTAGGCGTTAAACTCTCCAAGAGCCCAGCTGACGCTAGTTCTAACATAGGTCTGGTCATCCTTTTTGAGGATTTGACGGTCGTCTTTGCCACGGAAAGTCTTGCTCAAATCAAGTTGTATGTTGGGAGCAATGGTCGAAGATGCACCACTGTATTGATGGCCTCCAGTACGAATAGCAATGGCAACCTTTGCTTCCTTGGCATACTTCACGGTAGTGACTATTTCGTCTGTGTTGATTGGATAGATGACATTGGCCGGCGACATACGATTCTCCGTCTCGTAGGATGAAGTAGCATATTGACGTGCGTGAAGACTATAACCGTTGGTCTCGGTGGTATATTGACTGCCACTGATTCCTTGAATAAATGCAAAGCCACCGCTTGTGCTGGTAGGCGACAATTTACTATCCGAAAAGAGTTTGGTCAAGAATTTTGGTATCAAGCCACCGATAGCCCTCTGAAGGGTTCTGAAAGGATTGATCATGGCGAAGATACGTTCAATGATGGAAGACATCAGTTTACTACTGGGGCTTTCGCTCCTTATATGTGCGGCCGGCCACAGCATGAACGCCTATAAGCCATCTTTCTCACTGTATCTCGGGTGTCAGATATGGTTGTATTGGACAATATGTGTGCACATACCATCAAGTTGCTATGGGATACACAGACACAGCGTGATATGGCGTCGAATTAGAGTCCCGCAAGGAATGCGGTAACACGTTAACTTTGAACTGTGTCGACGCCTTGTCTCATACCCCTCCTCAGCTTTCCTTTATCCCTTGCCACCACGCAAGCCATCGCTCTATTCCGAACTGATGGCAATTTTAAGGCTGAGCTGATTGTCAGCAAGATCAGCACGAAGTCACATATGATATAGTAGTTGTGCCGGTGTATTTTTCTTTCTGGGGATGTTACCGCGGGAGGCTCCGTGCAGGCTCTCTCGGATCGATTTGTAACTTATATATCGATATTTCCATATGCGACATCTAGTCAATGAAATAGAATCAATATGGTATATCCCGTCAAGTTGATTGAATGGAACTTACAGTATTAAATATGTTCATCTTTGAAATGAAATCTTTTGCTTCACTTTTTACTTTTTCCCTTCCTAATCATTCAGCCAGCCACATTGCTTGCCCAGCCCTACGGCATAAGCGGGGGCTACTGCAAAGGGCCGCCTGCTGCGGAATCCAAGACTTTGTACGGACCGGCAATTAGACCGTAAGTATCCTATTTCGGAACCGAGATCACGGCAAATTCAGAGCTTGGGTATGGGTCCTAGACGACGTTGCTCTCTTGCTCTTCAGTTGTCAACATTACTTGCGGATGTAATAGAAACATCCGGATCGTCTGTGCCTCGAGAGTACATAATAACTATTGTCGTGTCTTTTCGTCTTTTCCTCTAGCCTAAGTTCTCTATAAAACTTGTCCTTATTTTTTCCTTGAAGGATCGGTCGCATTTCGCGCATGTGCTTCAAGGTTGGACTTCGGTGGTCAGTCGAAGCTAGTCAGGAGTGAGCGTGTAGATATCTTTACAATATGCTCGACCTTTTTCTTCAAACACTCAGCGCATGATATCCAGCCCAGATGTTGAGTACAGCAGATGGGCAAACCAGATGTTTTGGACTCCATTGTCTACACATGGTGGTCATCGGAGATCAGTCACACGAACGAAGCTGTATAAGTGTGCTTCGTTTATATGATTAAGAGAGCGATCCGGCTGATATGTTCAACAAGTACACAGCCTATTCTACAAAGGAGGAATGGCGAGAGATCGTCAATAGCGTTCTCGGAAGGGGGTCGTATTCCCCTGTTTCGAATTCTTTTTAAACGCGAGAAGCCGTCATCCGTAACTGAGTCCAATGTTACACTGCGTCGTTTCTTGATTTTCTTGATGGATAAGAGGCAGTGTAACAGAGCCGAAGACGACCAGGGTGCTGCTGATAATGCAGATAGTCCCTCATCGCATATATGCTGAGATCCTGCTTGCATATTTTGCCACAATTAAAGCCACTTCAGCAAAATTGGCCTTTTATTGTGTGATATCGGCACTGGCCCTGCGAAAGCGAAGTATGCAATCCTATTATTCAACGTGTTTATTGCTTAGAGGTGCTTTAAACAAACTTTATCCACGTGCGTAACGTTTGCAAAGTGATCGACCATTGTTTCTTTGGTATTATTTGTACCACGCAACCAGATGCAAGAAACGAGTTCAGAATTAGACAGCAGTTTGCTTCTACGAGTGAGGCCGTAAATCAGCGACAGAGCTGGTTCTCAAAATTCGTGTACACCGTCGTTCAACCTTTTTTTACGTTCGTGAAGGAAATTCCAAATTTGCGGTATTATGATGCAGCCCTAAAGAGCAATATTGTCATTTTATCTGGAAGAAGAAGAAGCGAGTGGGTCGCCCTCGAACGATTGGAATGTCAGTAACCGGACGAAAGCGATTAAGAACTAGCTAGACGGACGTAACCACTCTTCTTGTGTATTTGGGTCAAACACACCTCCATGATCGAGCAGAAGATTTATGGAGAGGAGAATGCCCGCATATTTGCGTCCCTCGCCGTCAGTCGACAAAGCTTTGTCAACTTCACCACCAGCCGACAGAGCCGTCATTTTTGCTGATGCCTGTTGAATGATACTCTTTCCCTGATAATTTCGGCTGTTCGGATAGGCTCCTAATCGCAGCAGAGTAGAAACACATGAACGATAGCCCTGCAACACGGCAATACAAAGTATTGTACAACCTTGCTTGTCACGTATATTCAAATCGACACCCTGGCCGTGAAGCTCAACAATAACTTGCCGAAGCTCGTCTTGTAGATCTGTATCCCAACCCATTCTTGACTCCTCCCGCTTGAGATAGGACACAAGCGCTGTATCGCCATGGATATCTATCGCTGAAGTGGTCACCGCAGTACTCGCACAGACGTGGCACTGGTAGTAGTGTGCCCAAATCGGGGACAGAGGCTGGACTTCTGCGCGAAAGTCTAAAATGAGGGTTGGTGGAGAGCAATAAGGCTCAGTCAATCTTACTAATGCTTCTTCGCCGTACACGATTCTGAGTTTCGAATTGGACAAGATGAGACTGCGAACAGTGATCCCCTGATTATCTCGACGATTCAAATCGAGGTTGAAGATTTTTAGCATACGGCCAAGTTCGGAACTTTCAAGTGTGGCAGTAGTGATAGATTCAAGCTTGCTGTCAAGTGTACTGAAAAGGTAGTCATCCTTGAATGCAATGTGGGCAACTGTCTTGCCGTGACAGTTTTGACTGCCGCAAGAGAAGCCATTATTCTTGAATAGCTCCAATATCCTTATATACTCCTTGAGAGGCGAAAAACTGGTAGGATATGTTAAATTGCCCAAAATGACGGTTCTACCATAACGAGCTCCAAGTAATGTGGTGTCCACGGCATGCAAAAAGCTGTCGCCTGATAGATCTCTCTGTTTATGATCTTCCGGTCCCAATTCCCGTGACCCCATAAGGGATTCTATATTCCAAGCCTTGGGATCATGATAAAAAGCAGCCGCATCCATTGCTCTCGTGCCAGTCGAGATCCGGCCCTGAGCATGGTAATCATACCTGCTACATGAATTTTGTCGCTCCATTTCCGCTATGTCTTCCATCTCTGTCGTGCCCGAAAGAAGTTGATAAAATGGATCGTTCCCTATTTGCGGGGATGGTTCTACATCAATTATGCAGTTTTCGAAGAACAAAATCTCGTCCTCTGATAGGCCATTCGAAGAATTTTGAGGGCCATATGACCGTAGGACGTCACCCTTAAGTCCTTCACTCAAGATCTTTGTGGCGCTCCCGCCCCCCGTCATCTTTAGAGAGGAAGATTTCGGGTTAGACCTTGTAGAAATATAAGACATCCAGCTTGATCTCCGGGAGATAAGAGAATCCTGGGAACCGCTAGTCATAGAAGAGCTGAGAGACAACCGCAGAGCTGCTACGACCCTTCTCAAGGAGGAGGATGACCGTCCAGGTAGGCGACTTGCTAGCCTAGAGATGGCACTGCTTGCAACATCCGAACTGTTGGCGTTGTGAGGCTTTTGAGCAATTGAGCCCTGATCAATTGGTGAGCATGGAACTTCTAGGTGTAGCTCGTTAACGACAGATTTTCGCTTCGTAGCGCTCTGATATGTGGACTCAATTTGCCCTTCTTCCTGTGCTTGAAGCTCCGTAGGTAAGACGGGCCCGACCAAGAACAGGTCAGCCGGATTGACAAACAAGATATCGGAGGATATTTCAGGCAGCGCCTGATATCCGAGCGAGACTTCTGTGCTCTGATTATTGTTCGTTCGATCTTTCGCAAATTCGACAGGCGTAGAGAGGCGAGTGGGTGCACTGTGTTGCACAGTCGTTTTATGGACTCGTTCCGAAACTCGTTGTTTCTTGAGTTGCCTCATAAGTCTTAGTCGCGCCATAATCTTGCGACTGCATTTGGTTCTATAGAGCGCATGATTCTTTGAATAATATTTGCCAAAAAGCATCTTGAGCCTCGTTTGAATGTTGCGAATCCTTTATTAAGTTTTAGCAAGTGACCACCTCGTATAATTGTAAGTCATTTTGAGGGTAGCCACCTTGGGGAAAATCCATCTCGTCTCAACACCTCTCGTATTTCAGGCATTGTCAGTTTTGTCATTGTGTATAAGCGGACCAACTTTCGTTCTCTTGATCGTGACCACGCTATCTCAGGGGCACCTCCCCGGTTGACAACTGGTTGGGTCATTTCTTTCGATGTGCTTGATTCTTTTCTTGTTGGACAAGATAGATAGAAGGATGGTTTAGATAACCTCTGGAGTCATCGTGAAAGATGCACGCTGACTCGATATAAAGCTTTCCAAGTACCAGCCAACGGGCTGAGCCGAGAAACATCTCTCCTGTGGCGTCCTCGCCTTGTTCACACAGCATCTTGCTCTTCGTTTTGGCCATTAATTGATGACAGTTCCCATGCTGCATGGGGCTGCAGATGTAGGTCAAGGAATCTTGAGGCTGCTAATATCTCGGATACTATTTTCGGATGCGCAAAAACCTCAGAATCTCAGATACAGGGGATCGAAATGGTTGAAGTGTTCTACTGCATACCACTGAAAGCGCAGTGTTGCTCAGTGTCTACCCCCGTCAACGTTAACTCAGAGCCAGCTAATTTACCTCTTCGGGATCTTTCAATATATCGGAGGGTATCAACATTCAAAGTGCTTCGTTGTTGGCGAGGAAGCAAGACCAAGCAACCACCAAATTCGCCCCACTTTTCTAGTGCGCAAAAACCTCCTCGGCCAACGAAGTTGTCAGCCCCTTTACGACCTCGGGACGGACGATACAGCAACGTCCCAATAACAACTTGCCCAACTGACGTACGTTTTCTAAAGCTACAATATTCACATTCTTTGATACCCAACAACTTGTCAACGGCACAGAGGACGTCATTCGCATCGATATGCGAAGTGAGCCGGCCGATGATAATTTTGTGGCATGTACGTGTCTTTCCTCAATACGCGGAAGTAGGTAGGCACAAATATTGAAACATTTTACTATGCGCTTGCATTTTTGACTCTTTGAGAACAATTAACAAGCCTCTTGGAGAAAACCCCACTTCCGATCACTCTAATATTACAGAAAGGATGATTCGAGTCAACTTATTACATCCGCCTTCATAACCAAACGGATCCCACACACCTACAAAACAGCAATATAACACCCTCTCAAACAGAAGAACCTACTCTCTCTCTCCCAAGTCGAAAACCAACCCTCAGCAGACCTCTCATTCCAACCTTCAATCCTCGTCTCCAACCGTATATTCGTCTTGGTCTCGACATCTATATACGTGAACGCGGCGAACATCTTTGATGGTTTCTTGCGCATGGGGGATGTGTATCCTACGCGTAGTTTGTCTTCGCGTGTGTGTATGAGGCCATGGTGAGGTGTTTCGAAGGTGCCGGAGCGGATGTCGTATTGATCCTGTTCGTGGGCCAGCCAGGTGGCGCGAATGTTGTAGGCTGTTGAGTCTGTGTTTTGTGTTAGCTGTGTATTTCTGTTATTGGACGGAAGAAAGTATACCAAGCCAAGTATTCATACGCAACCTGAACCCCAGATTCGAGACCTCGTCTACGCTGACTTCAATTCGTAAGTTTTTGTCCTTGGCAAAATCAAACCCACTAACCCAGGCCACTACGTTCGGCGTCTGACGAAATGGTCTCCGAAAGTAAACATACGTTGAACAATTAAGCTTACCACCTCTGAGCTCTGCAGACTCTACACTCCCTGTCAATATTCGAGGATCTTCCTCTGCAAAGCTCATGACGCTGCATTTGGCGTCATAGATGTGTGTATCATGCCAACTTCCAAGTGTGACATCAAAAGACGAACCCTTCTGGATCTCGTGCGGATAAGACGTTAACCTAAAATTGCCGTGTAGGCCCATGTCGATGTATGAAATTCCGGTGATGACATTGGCAGTTTTCTGAGTCAGAAAGCGTTGGGTTGCGGGCTGCACGTGGATCCCGCCTTTGAACTTGAGAGTTTGGGTGCATACGACGCCGATGGAGGGGCAGAAGATGTTGTAAGCCGGGTAAAGACGACGGAGAAGATCAAGAGCTTCGCTGTCGACGATAAGACCGCCGTGGTGTTCGTTTACGCCCGAGCCTAGGATGCCTGGGCGATCAAAGGCCATGATGGACAGTGGGTTTAAGAGGCCTGGGTAACCATTTGAGGACATGACCACGGTGGCGAAGAACGAGCCGCAGTGATTTTCGAGCTCGGTGAAGTTCCATGGCGAAGAAAACTTGATCGAAGGGTGTGGTCTACGGGTTTGAATGTTAGGTGATTCTTGAGAACTTGAAAGTAACACGTGTAACTCACAAACCAAGAGCGTGGCCAAACAGATGAGCAGTAACTCTTGAAATGTATAACTGAATGTCGTCTATCTTCTGATTCATCCAGCCATCAAGTGTAACATTCATCGTCGCCTGGTTCTGATCTTGAATTTCAGAAGCCTTAGCGCCTAGAGCACTCCAGTTCGGCGCGTCATTCGTGATCGATATTCGAATCTCTGCACTTTCATGTGATTGAACCCACTGGACATTAATAGATTCAGATAGTGAACTTGACCAAGTTTTGACAGCATCTTCGATGATTCTCTTGACTCCAGGATGAACGTGTTGCGGTTGTAGTATCTTGACTCGAAGATGTGTGCCTTGTGGCCAAAGATTTGGCAAGTCAAGAGTATTTTGCCCTGTCAAAGAGCTCTCAACGGTATCTGAACAGATGCTTGGGTCGCCTGGGCTGCAGAACAAGAGTGGTGTTTTGTCTGTGGTGAGTACAGCAGGACTCATTGGTGGTGGCATAATGGCTAGCGAGCAATTGTACTGAGTCAGAGAAGTGTCAAGTTTCTATTTGACCCACGAACAAAAGTCAGTGAAGAGACTGCAGGCTAAAGAGGAAAAAAGTCTTTGAGAAGAATTGAGATGGAATTGTTTGGGGGGCAAGTAAACTTAAACACAAATTAGTAGTCATCTCCTAAAGTTCGGGGGAGCAAACGGGCACTACCAGTTAAGATAAAGAAGTCCTTTTGCGCTTCGAAGACAGCAGCCACCCGCCCCACCCCTCGAAAAACAGGTAGCCTAATCTAGCTTAATCTTACTTCTCACGCATCCTTCAAACGGCAAAGAGACCGAATCGAAGCATCTGTGAATTTCGAACAATTTTGGTTCAAAGAAGTGCTATCTTCAGCTTCTGGGTTTTAATGGCTTTGTCTCTGCTCAAACCAATAACCTCAGCTACGAAAATATGTTTGAATATCTTATCCTAGTACTACCAATTATAGGATGGCGAGGCTGTAAACCTGTTGGTCATGCAAACGAAAAACGACAAGACTCACAGATATACCCATAATCGTACTTGGTATCAGCGCTTTGCAGGATATTAAGTGGTAGCTCTGGATATGATGTATATGATTTGCGAGAGTTAAAGGATGAGAGTTGAGAATAAGAGATGAGAATGAGATGTATTTTTTGAATACATGTGATTAAGAATTTGATTTTATAGATAATGCAAAAACTAGGAAAAGAAGCAGTAATCTTGGTGTATTAGCGTCAGAATGACAACACACAAAACAGATGAATTCAAAGTCGTTGTAGTATAGTACAAACTTTATAAACGGATACATAGAATGAGATCAGATATAACGCGAAAGGGACATGGAATATAAATAACTACTATACAAAACACCCACCCAACCACACACTAAACCCTCATCTCCCATACCCATCATAAAAACGAAAAAAACACTTACCCATCATGCAAACCAATAATTTCATCCTTCTCTATATCATACAAATACACAACCGTTCTCCCCCTCCCCACCTTTCCAACATCTACACCAACTGCTCACTTCTCCCCCAGTCCCTCCGCATGTCTAATTTCCACCAGTTCCCCATCATCCTCCGCACCGGCCTTCTCACCCCCCGCCATCTCCATGCCCACATGCACAACCTCCTCATCCTCCTCATCATCATCCACAAGACTAGTCCTACGTTTCGCCTCCGTCGTACTACTCAGTCTCCTCCTCCCCCTCGCCCCTCCACCATTCCCACCAAACCCCCTCTCGCGCTCCCTCCCCCCAAACCCCTCATCATCACTATCCTCACTACCCTCCCCATCCTGTTCACGCATCGCGTCAGCACTCAGCTCATCAAACCCCCCATTCGCATCCCTATCCCCATCCTGATTCGCACTCTTAAGCACGCCGCCAAACGGCCACATACTAGGGAAACTGGCACGCAGGATCTTCTGCGACCCACCGGTTAGATTAAGGGGAACACCCACATGATCACCCGCCTCCATAATCGGCTTTTCGCTGCCCACGAGCCCCGTGTTGGGCGGGAGATGTCCGCGCCCCTCCTCGTCAGCTTCCAGATCGCCAATCGTGAAATCCGCGTCCTCGGCATCCGAATCGTCGTCTTCGTCCGCGGCGAAAGGGTTGAGATCTTGTTTATTGGGCGAGGATTTCTCGGCTTCGATGTTGTTGTTGGCTGATTCCTGGTTTTGTTTGGAGTGGAGCGCGAGACGGGCGGCGAGTTGGCGACGGGCGCGGGAGGGAGGGATGTTGAGGGGTGGTGGTGGTGGAGGGGGGGCAGAAGGTGGTTCCATGTCGGAGCCGGATGTTGCTGTGGTTGTTGAAGGTGTGGAAATGTAGCGGGAGAACTAGGGAGGTAAGATGTTAGTATTTGGCTAATACCAATTTTCGACCAGAGATCAGAATATGAGATGATGAAATAGATCCAGATCCCGTGAGATTCGTTCCGTTCTTAGGCTCAAAGTACAAATGAAAAGACATGTTTTGCAAGTATGATTTTTGGACCTGTCTTTGGCGGCCTAGACAGTGCTACCAGAAAACCACCAAGCTATGATAATGTACACGAAACAATACTCTATTGATGACGGACTTCTCCCTCTGGAAATAGAGGGGTCTCGCGATCAAGTTGTTCCAAATACTCGTAATCGACCTCATCGTCATCGAACTTGTCAAGATTGGGGGCTGGAGGAACAGAAAGACCCACTTCAGCCGCGCCATTATTCCTCGATCCTTCTTCATCATTATCTTCGTCCATCTCGTCATCCTCTTCATCACTCGAGCTTCCGAAACCGCTGAGAAGAGTACCACCAAGCGCAAAGCTAGATGTCCCATTTCCATTCGCGAGATCTATGCTGTCGAGGCCAGCATTCCCGTTGAGACCTGCTTCTGCCAATGCTGACGATCCACTTCCAAAATTATTTGCTGCATTTACTGCGTTCATCACTGCTTGTCGTGGTCCAACAGAAACATCAGGTCGTACACCTCCGAGGATGGCATTGTCCCGCTCGCGGGTTTCTGCTAGTGTCACCTCAACGTAGGTAATCCACTCTCCATTCATAACTTTCTCCAAAACAGATTCTGACAGCAACTCCGGTGGGTGTCGTTCGGTGAATTTGACCACCTCTTCAGCAATGAGGGTGAGATGGCCCATATAGCCAAGGCGCATCTTGTTCTTCTCTTGCGCGTCGTCGCTCTTCTTCTGGCCATCAACAATACGCATGGTGATATTTCCAGTCTCAAAAAGATCTATAGCTAAAGAGCGGTTGAACCCCCGGTCCATTGGCCCGTTAAATACTTGTTGTACAACATCATAAACAACATTATGTAAGAAATTATTCCAGGGGAAGCGGAAAAAGAAATCCTGTGAAAGTCAGTTGCGTATCTCGTTCATTGGAATTTGTTACCTACAAGAATAGTTGGAACCACCTTGTGTTCCACAAACTGCATTTTGAGGAAATCACCAACGACAGGAGCCGCGGGTGGATCCGCCAAAGAATGCTGTAGGTGCTCATCTGTATTGCCCATCAAGACCGAGTTTGAGCTATCTCCTGCTTCACCCATCGTTGTATCCGGGCTCTCTACGCTCGAAGTGTTTGGATTATTAGTAGCCTCTGAACCGGCTGGTGCTCCGGCTGATGCACTGGGTTCTTGTTCGGTTTTCTTTGCGAACAATGGCGCTGGAATATCTTCACTATGAGGCATTTCGCTTGTGGACGTTGAATCATCTGTGACAGCTGGTGTACTCTCTTCAGTGTCCAGAGACGATTCCTTTTTAATCGTAGATTGGCTTTCGGTGGACTCTGTGGACGACTCTAGTGTCTGTTTGCTTGATTCGACAACCGACCTGTCGGTATCTTCTGAGTGTGAGTCTGTCATTAGGGTATCCTCCTCTTTCTTCCCGTCCTCTTCAGATTGCAGCCCCATGTTCTCCACATCCAAAGCGAGAGCGGATGGTGGCGACAGTGGCCCATCTAACGCGGGGATTGCATCAGAGTTTGCTTCCGAGTTCTCAGGTTCTTTTTTGGTCTCCTCATTTGAGCCTTGCTTCTCAAGTGGTTCAGGCGTATCAGTTTTGATTCGTGGAGAGCTTAATGGCTCGTCAACGAGATCATCATTATCGGTGAATGAGAGCGGGGTCCCTGTACTTGAAGGACCTAGCAGATCTTCACCCTCAACCTTCTCGTCGAAATCATCCTTGGCATCATCCCCAAGATCTGCCGAATGCGTGACTTCTTCGAATCCATCATCATCTGACGCGTTCTGGACCTCCAGCTTCCTAGAACTCTCAGGAGACCCTAACCGAGTTTGAGTTGAAGACTTCATAGTAAGGTCATCTTCCGACTCTGGAAACATGAGAAGACGCAATTTGCCCTCGGCCTTGAGTTTTTCGCGCTCAGTATCCCTAGCTTTGACAAACTCTTCACTGCCAGGCTCATTCAACAGGCCCATATTACTACAGTGTAGAAGCTCGGCCATCAATTCGCAAGTCTTGAATCTGTCAAAACCAAGGGGTTCAATCTTTCCGCCAAAAGCGGCGTTTAACTGTTTCCTCTCAATTGTGACAGGTCCATCTCCTCCCCCAATTGTGTGATTTGGACTCAAGATTAAGTCCATGAAATCCGGAACGCGCTGTCCAAACATTCGGAGAAGTGTACCGAGGTAAATTGGGTCGCGACTGGAAGGAGCCGAATTCGCTTCAGCTCCTACATCTGGATCGTAATCTGAGTTGTTCTTTCGGATAACTTCAATCACGATTCCAACACCGACTGTGAGCGGGTTCCCCCCTTTGAGCATATCGGATATTAACTTTTCGATGCATGTCTGGGAGACCAGCTGCCGGGTAAGCTCGTTTGGACCTATACATGATTGCTCATTCTGTGAAGCATTTGCGGATATAGTAATGATGGCTTTAAGGAAGTCGCCGGCGGAGGTCTGCGTTGCCCACGAGTGCTCTGAAGAAAGAAACGATAGGAGAATAGGCATTAAATCCTGGGAGTGAAGCCACTAATGGGTTCACGTCAGTATTAAACAGAAGCAGTGTATTGGACGAACTTACATCGACTATTCCCTGGCCTCCCTCGGCCTTTTCCAAACTGATGATTTTGAGGAGCAAGTCCATTACCATAGGAGAATCTACGTGCTGTAGCATATTCTTTACCGCTCCATCAAGTGATTTGAATAGCGCTAGCATTTCTTCTGTTTTCTTATCAAGCAGAGTCTCATTGACCTTAGTGAAATAGCTGGCCTGCAGTGGGTCCAGAGGCGGAGGAAGCTTGAGGAAATTCCAGAATTTGCGCAATAGAGGTTGGTTTTCCATCAGAGCTTCGCAGATCGACCAGTTCTCCGAGGACAAGATTTCGGCTGCAACGTAGGCATACCGATTTCGTTTCTTTTCCTTCTCCTCTTCGTCCTCCTCTGTTAACGCTTTTGCATAGCTTAGCCGCTCCTTGCCTTTACTTTCGCCATCCTCGTCCTTTTCATCCGCTGCAGACTCTCCCGTTTTAGCTTCTAATTTGGGTGCTGTGACGTATTCTAGCAATCTTTCAAGTATTTTGTCCTCTCTGAGAAATTCGATTAGTTTGGTATTATGCTGTTTTAACTCCTGGATACAGTCGCTCTCGTCCAGCAACTCTTCGAGAGTGACATCGTTCTTTTCAAGCAGGGTATCAATTGCGGACGCATGGTTGTAACCTGCGCCAAACCTCCAAAACATCTTGAATTATGTTACAGCGCCCGAATGACACCGATAATCTGAAAGCGGATCGATGTGGTACTCGTTTTCGCGGACGATGCGTAGACGCACGTTGGTCATGCGTGTATATGTGTTGTCGCTAAAGATATCCAGACTATGTAATCCCCAACAAGGCGCCGTATCAGACGTAGCTGATGATGAAGGTCCTATCTAAGCCCGTATCGTGAATTCGTAAAGGAGATTGGGTCGCGAAGGTTGTCTGTACAGGCGAGAGTTAGCGGTGAGGTCCAGAGAAGGTCCAACAGCTCTGAGGTGACCGCGGATGCCTATGCACAACAGGCGCGGGTCGGGCCCCGCCAGCAGCCTTTATCCGCTTCTGGCCTAGCAAGAAGATGGGAACATACAGAATATGTCGTTGGGGACAGTGCTATTGTACAGTCGTATTTCTCACGTTGAGCGGCGGTGGTGCGGGCGAGACTAGGGCTTGCAAAGCCGGATCTGCTGCAGATGGACTGAGTTGGCAGCGCCGCTTGCTGAGAGCCGACCGGATTATGTGTGCGAGTACCGTGCAAAAGAAGAAGTGACGGTGCAGAGGATGCAGTTAAGTGTCGGGTATCAAAAGAAGAACAAGAATAGAAGAGTAGTAGAATTACAATTCCCCTCAATGTTGCGATCGCAAGACCAGGTGAGCTCGGTGGAGGGGTGTTTATGGTTGTTCCGGAGATGGGAGATGGGAGAATGGGGTGGTTTGTTGGAGGTTCTGCGTCTGCTTCAAGATTTGCGGATAGCTTGGGCAGCCAGCGAGCCAGGCCAAGGCGGCTCTGATGCGCGCCTAACAATTTCCCGTGATTTGGCAGCCCCTTTCTGAGGATGTGATTGACGGTATTTGCAGTGGTTAGCGCAGAAGACTATCACAGCTCGAGGTTACACGGCAAGATATCCAAGATCTGATCTGTGAGACAAAGTGCCACTATTATGTTGGCAGATATGACGTTTCGAGAGCATTCAAAGTCATACGTCTGCCACCTGGCAGCCGGTCAGTGCATGCGCTTCGTTATGAGTCCTGAAACAAAAAACTTGGAACTTTTCCAATCACGACACGTGATCAGGAGGATGGCCGGACTTCGGAGCGGTCACTAATCGGATGCCAAGCCGACCACCAGTGTCTAGGCCGATGGGACGACATCATGGTGAGCCTCGCGGGGCACACAGCTTCGTGGTCAACTTGCGGACAGACACAAACTTTCGACAAGCTCTTTATACCGACATTTAGAGTCAAGATATTCTGTCTTATTCAGCATCTTTGTCTCAGTAATTATACAATAGATCATATCCGACAATTGTTAAAGCAACACCACAAGAGACACTATACATCTCCCCGGAGAGCCCACGAGACCACCAACGACACAGTTAAGACAGACCTACTGTAGCTTTTCCCCCTCGCAATCTGCACACGTCGTCCCAAAAACTTTCGAAGCACAGACAAGATCTACGCGTGCGCATACCGGGGCAAGCTCCAGGCAGCACCAGTAGAGACGAGACGGGGCTACGTATTTGAACCTCGAACAGCGACCGCAAAGCTCACGTTGCTCCATCACAACATTCCGGTTATCACACACTCTTCAAAATGAACCGCCTATTTGGTGCAAAGAGCTCAGCTCCTAAGCCAAATTTGACGGGCGCAATAAAAAATGTAAGAGGCTTCCGACTATCCCCATCTCATCTTCCCATCTAATGACTGTCTAGGTCGACGAGCGAGTAGAATCCATCGACGTAAAATTGGCAGCCATAAATGCTGAATTACAAGGTTATCAAGCCAAACTGGCAAAGATGCGCGACGGACCGGGAAAGACAGCTATCAAACAAAAGGCACTTAAAGTACTTCAACGTCGGAAAATGTACGAGGGTCAGCGCGACCAGCTACAGCAGCAATCCTGGAATATGGAGCAAGCTGGAATGATGCAGGATAACTTGAAGAACGTCATGACGACTGTAGATGCGATGAAGCAGACCAATAAATCGCTGAAACAGCAATATGGAAAGATTAATATTGACAAAATCGAGCGCATGCAGGACGAGATGGCTGATTTGATGGATATTGGAAATGATATACAGGAGAGCATCAGCAGGAGTTATGACATCCCAGATGATGTAGATGAGGCGGAATTAGATGCCGAGTTGGAGGCACTTGGCGATGAGGTCGAATTCGAGGGTATGGGTGCGGAGTCTACGCCAAGTTTCATGGTTGACGAAGTTCCTCAATTCATTGACGAACCTCCGCAGACGACCGGTCAGGTAAAGGAAGCCGCAGGATAAACATTTGCATGGGACATGAACGGGGGCTGGCATCGCGAACGGAGTTCGGCCGGAGGCGTTTTGATCAGACCAATGTGTCGCAGTGTGCTTAATCAAAGGCTTGTTTTTAATCACAGCTGAGAGCCGGATGCTTTTCTTATACTTGGAATATCTTCTGCCATCAAGAATGAATTTCAGTGAGTGTTACGTTTGTCCAATTGCATTGGCTAACAATTTCAAAAACGCGCCATGCTACTATTTCAGAGGAAGTTTTTTAAGACCTTTTCTTTACGTCTACATAAAAAGCCTTAATCCGTGTTATACTATTGGTTGTTTAGGGGTGGTCGAGAGTGGAGGAACACACTTTTCGGAGAGTGGGTCCAACCACCTACCCTTTATCGACGTCGGGTTGATTGTAGGTGATTTACCTAACGAGAGAACAACCTGCAGCACAAACACTTCGGAACCTCCATGTTGGACAACGAGAGAATGGTACTGACTGCGGCGACGGAGTTCTCATACCAGCCTCTATATGGACGTCCTGGGGAGGTAATTCGGCCCCACGACCGGTTTAGGCTGCTTCATCTTCATCCATCGCCAACCACAAACCAGCAGATTCATGGCACGATGGAAACAGCACGGCTCAGCGATTATCGCTGTGATTTTGTCCACCATTATACTGCTCTTTCATATGTTTGGGGATCGTCCACGGAGAAGGGAGAAATCATCGTTAACGGCTGTACGATGATTATCAGCGCCAGCCTCAAGACAATACTACGGAACGTCCGGGATTCGAGTCACGCAATACGACTTTGGGTTGATGCGATATGTATCAATCAGAAAGACAATGGAGAAAGATCGGATCAAGTTGGCCAGATGCGTGATATCTACCAGGGCGCACGACGAACAATTATCTATTTGGGAGACTCTAATGAGCAGATTACAGCTGCATTTGGAGCATTACCACATGACATCAAGATCCAATCGCATACCACGGGTCATCTTCGATCTGCCGCCGGCGATAAACGGCGGCTGGTGCACATTGAAGTCTGGAAGAACCAAATCTTCAATCGCTCCTGGTTCTCTAGAATATGGGTATTCCAGGAGCTCCTTTTGTCCACTGATCCGTGGGTTCAATGTGGGATCCATCGAATCACTTGGAATTCTCTCTGGCTTATCTTTCATGTTATATTTGGTGATGGAGATACGACAAGTTTGGGGTCGTCGGGTGCATTGAGAAGCATGACAAGTGGTGATCTTGCACTTGTCGACCAGATGAATACCGCGCGAGTTAGGATGCGGGCCTACCAAAACTCTCTGTTCTCCCGACATCATAACACAACTCCTACCCTTACACTTCTAGATTGCCTGATCATTCGGCGCGGCCTTGGTGTAACGGATGGAAGAGATATGATTTACGGACATCTCGGTGTTATTCCAGACTCTCAACACGATGGTCTCAAAGTGCCAACGATCTCGCCAAATTATGACATCGATTACCACGATGTTCTTATTGGCGCAACATTTGACATTATTCAAGCCTCGAACAGTCTTAAAATTCTTGTCCACACTGACGACAAAGAAACAGAATATCTTCCCTCATGGGTGACTGATTGGACGAAAGAGTCGAAATATCAAAGTCGAGAGATTCCTGCTGACCTACTCAAGTTACAATGGTTCATTTCATCATTAAATCTTCCGCAGCGCCATATCAAGTGGGAGCCACAAAGCATACCTGCATTAAAGCTTCAAGGGATCTTTTTAGGCTACGTGTCTGAGGTTGGCTCTAAAATCCTTTATTCCGAGAGTAGAGGCTTGAGGAATCCCCAATGGGTTGAGACCACTGAGCATGATACATTCGACTACGTCTCCTGGCAATGGAAACGGCGAGAAAAGGAAGATAAGCTGAAAATAATTAATTTAGCACGAGACAGATGTAGTTCTCGTGCTGGTCTGTCTAGCTCGGTTAACGTTTCCATCGTACTGGAAAAGTTGATAGGGTTCTTATTTGATTCTTCAATACGCGAACCCTTAGTGCCCACGTCCGATTTCGATACTCTGGAAATCATTGCTGCTTTGGCACTCAGTGGAATATGCTATAGGCATATCCCTGACAGATATAACTGTTCACTGCTCTCACATAATTTCTTCTCAGCTATCAACACAATTCACGATTTCATTCGTACTGACCAGTTGCGGTTTTTGAATGGGAGAAGGCTAGCCATGGTTTCTTGTCACGATGATCCGAATGTTGACACTATGGTAGTTGTGCCAGAATCAACACAGGTCGGTGATTCCGTGTACTACCTAGGCGATGATTCGCCAACATATGTACTTAGAGAAGTACAATCCGAACACTTGTCAAATGTCTATAGACTTATCGGAATGTGTTATAGCAATTTTGACTTTCTCTTTGTACTTCAAGATAGACTAGAGAAAGAATATGAATATTTAACTATAGTCTAGAATAAAGGAACTTACCTACTCAACTACCAGTCTATCTATTCTCAGATATTCTCTAGAACTTCTGGTTTCTCTCAGTTTTGTAAGCTATTCCCAAACAACTATGGAAATCTTGGTTTGATCCACCACTGAAAAATTTGTTCTAAGCACAGAGACGGATTGCGGTTGTTACACGAAAACTACATGAGACTTCAACTTATGTTTCTTCAAAACTAGCTCTAGTGTATTAAGAATATGTCAACTAAAATAGTAACAGAAGCTTAATCCTCAGAAAGCTGTTATCTTGAAAGGGAATGTTAAGCTTACCTAAATCGAAGCTCTTGTAGGTTATTAACCCAAATACTAGCCAATGATAACCCAATCTACACTTTTTACAATTACAGTTTTCTGTAGAATGTTTACTACTAAGTATTAACATGATTTTTGTCTTCTCATAGTGCTTAAAACCGACAGCAGTAAGCACTACAAGCTGAGTTTCAGCTGAATGTTGCTCTTGAATTGCACGTGATAAGCCCCCTTTGCACTTTGTGCCCCCGCATTGAACCCCTACCAAGCTGAGCGAGATCCTAGCGCAGATCTCTAGCTGCCTTGTCCCTGCAGCTGGAACCAAGTTTATTTGACCACGACACGCTAGCAACCACCCCGACTTTCTTCTTCGAGGTCAACACCAACCTTGTTTCTCTTCTTGCGATCCTGCTACTATCTGTCAATTGCATTGCTTCCCACCCATTGTAAATATCCCGCCTTAAAGAAGACAGTCATACCGCCGCAAAGATGTCTTCAGGAGTCAAAATGGGCCAGATGACTGGGAGTCGCGGTACGTTTGCGACGGCGCATCAGAGTTGCTTAAATCACCAGCATCACAGCTAATTGACCTCCCACAGCATTCAACCACGAATCCTCCCAGTCAGCCGAAGCAGAATACGATCGCCTTCGCGACCTCGCGCGCGCCGAAGCCTCGAAGCGGGGTAACTGCTTCGAGCGCTCCCGCCAGGCGTACCAATCTGGCGATGGAGGCGCGGCGCATGATTTGAGTGAAGAGGGAAAGGCGCATGGTCGCAAGATGGAACAGTATAACAAACAGGCGTCGGATTTTATTTTTAGGGAAAATAATGCGCCGGGGAGGGTCGCGGATGATACGATTGATTTGCATGGGCAGTTTGTGGAGGAGGCGGAGGATATTCTGGAGGCGAGGATTAGATATGCGCAGCAGAATAATCAGAGTCATTTGCATGTGTAAGTTGGTATCCTTTTTATATGGAGGGGAGAGAGCTGATGATTTGGGGGTGTAGAATTGTTGGGAAGGGAAATCATTCCGTGAACCATGTTCAGAAGATCAAGCCTCGCGTCGAGCAGGTATGCCAACAATTAGGCCTTCAATACGCGACAGAAGAAAATGAGGGACGTATGTACATCAATCTCCAAGGTGGTCCAGCTACCATGCCACCAGCACACTCTTGGAACACGAACCAACAGAGCGGTAACTATGGAGGTCAGCAGCAACATCATAATAATCAGCAACAGCATCATGGTGGACAACAGCAAGGCGGGTACCCTGGAGCGCCGCAACATGGTGGTCAGAGTCAACAGCAGCATGGTGGTAATAATAATGATAATGAGGAGTTGGAGAAGTTGGCGAAGAAGTTGTTGCCGAAGGTTTTGAGGAAGTTGGAGGGGTGTTGTGTTGTTATGTGAGGGGGTTTGGGGTTTGACAAATGGTTTGTATATGGAGATAGATATGGGTTCGGATTTGATGGATACCACGATGGCTTTGGACATGTTGACTATGATTTTGGGTTAAAGAACGTTGTTTTTGGGTTTCGAATTGCAAAGTGTATATATGTAGAAATCACCAGTTTATCAACGGGGTTTATGCAGGCTTTCAGTTTAGGCTGCACAGAGGAAGGAATCCTTACAAGTGCTTCAGAAAATGCGGTTCCCAGCGCCAAAGCTTTTGGGATGGGATTGGAAAGCATGAAATCACTGCGATAACATAACACTACAGAAGAAATCCTTTACAGAAAGTTACTGTTGAACGATTTTTGCGTAGCAATTCGCAGCTTTATAGTTGAAATAGAGCTGCTAAGGACATGTGTATTTGGGCTTCAAGAGTGCGAACTGCACGAAAAAGATATCTCTTCAGGTGTTTAGTCTTATGGCGGCTTTGAGATAGCCGACGAGTATGGTGAAGTACAGCTTTCTTTAGGTGAGTTTATGAATAAAATACCAACTGTACTATTCACTAATATTCATTCTTAACCATGAAGTTGACTTCTCGGAAATCTCAACTATTCGACATCACCGCAGTTGTTCTCTGCTGAAGTTAGATCCACTAATCCAGCTTAAAATATTCTGTACTTGACGAAGAGTCTTCCAGAAGATATACGTTCGAGGTAAATATTACAACGATGACCTTTAATTGACATCCTAGCGAAATAGAACCTTTCCACATCTAACATCGATAATATTTGCGTTTGGCATTACTATTTCATGGGTGTGGCTCGTTGAGAAATGAAACATCAGAAACTATCCCGCACCAATTCTCATCTCTTATACTTCATCTTTCTCGTCTTTAAGGTTGCTTTGTTGGCACTCTCCTAGCCTAGAAAACCTCGCAGATTGTTCATCTCGGCTTCTTACGGGATTTTGACGCTGAAAAAAAACAGTGATACTTGTTTGCATCACACAGCCTTTATGTCCAGGTGTTTGATGGTGTTTGCTCTACAACCAATTTCATTCAATCATGCAAAATCATGTCAAGTCTAACAACCCCCAGAAATAAATTTTGCTGTTAACACATCCATTGCATCAAATACACTTCCGCGCACATCTCTTTCAAGGTTCCATCTACATCCAATCCTTCTAATCATTCTAACCAGCCACTAAGTGCGACTCACACGCCTCCTACGCAAAAATAAATACTCGTGGTGATCCATCCCTTCGACCCCAAAAGAATCGTACGACAAAGCCATATTTCACGTTAATGAATGCTGGAATTCATGGTCAGAATGCGAGTCTGAGAGCGAGAATATGTGAGATTATTCAACTTTTCACCTTCTTGACGAGGAGTCACTAGTATAGTTTATCGGGAGTGGTTTTGGCGTAAGTCGGTTAATGTATTTATTTAATTTACATGAAAGTCCTTTTTAGGATAGGAAAGGTCTATGTATATATAATATGTTTAGTATAAAAGAAATCTAAGTCTAGGGGTAAGTTTGTTTTTTTGGTGATTTGTTGAATATTCTAGTGGAAAAGAAATAGGGTCGATTCGCTTCCGCAAGGTAGGTTGATGTAGGTATTTTTTTGGGCGATTTGTTGATTATTTTAGTGTTATGAAATAGGGTGAGTTCGCTTCTGTGAGACCAACGAGGTATTTTTTGGTGATTTAATGATTTGTTGATTAATTTGGTGTCAAAAAATAGGGTGAATTTGCTTCCGTGAGCGCCGATGATAGAGTTCTTTGGTTGAGGGCGCAGAAGAGTAGATCTATTCGACAACCACCAGCTCAACTACAATAATCTTACAATCAGCCTAGTCTCCTTTCAACTACTGCGCGTATGGCCTCCTGCCTCCGCACGGCCTCCTTATGTTTCGGAGTCTGCTCATGTTGGATAAGAAGCCGCGGAAAAAACCAATCCATATGACAAACATGGCATTTAACGTTACGCTTTCGGTTTCCTACTGGTTTTCCATGTGTGTATGCAAAGTGCGCAACCATGTCTCGCTCTTCGGAGCTGGGGTTATTAGCTACATAATGACTATGGCGCTTTTTGTCACACACTTTGAAAGGGCATGTTAACTTTGGTCCCTCCGGAAACTTGATCAGGCTCCAATCGTCATTGTAGCCGCCGTACTCATCAGGGGCAGATGTTATGACTTGATGTCCCGAGCTGCTGCTGGGCTGATTTGTTGTCATGTTGAAGTCTTGATTTGAAATATAACTGCTTCCCTGACCAGCGTTGCTACCCGCGTTGGCTTACGTAAAGCTTGAAACTGAGCTACCCGACTGGGCACTGTAATTACCAACGTAGCCAGTAGTTCTACCCCCTTGGCTTTGAGGAGCTGTCATATCACCAGACGGTCCATGGCCACCGAAATTACCATAACTAGCAACCGGTTGACCTAGAGAATTGAGTCGAGTAGAAACTACTGCCGTATTACTCTGTTCATAATTATTCAGTGCGTCCGGTTTCTGAACTATATTACTATGAGCCGCTGTGGTGTTTGCCTGGTGTTCGTAATTGTCAAGCTTAAAAGAAGAATATCCCGGGACTGGACAATAACTTGGGTGTCGGTAATTTTGGGTCGGAACAGGTCCTGCGGGAGCAATCTCTCGGGAAGTAGTCGAAGACCCACGGCCTGAAGCACCACTCTGACTAGTAGCCTCTTGGTAAGTGCCCATCGTAGCAGATCCAGGCGCGGGATGATTGCTGCTTTGGAGGCCATGGGTCGCCGTCATATTGGGTGGGAAATCTGGGGATCCCGCTGTTTCCCACCAATTTTGGAACACCGGGTTAATAAAATCGTCATTCTCGCCTTGTTGTCCAGACTGTAGACCCGCGGTATTACTAGGACCAGCCTATGCGTGTTGCGCGGCGGTTGGATTATTATGATGGGGCGCCCATGCTGCTTCTGTATTGCCGAGACGTTGAGACGGTGGTTTGGTCTGGCGATGACGAGTTCGTGACTGTGGCTTCGTTCTCGCGTTCGTTTTTCGTGTTGACGATCTTTTTGGTTGTTGCCGTGGGAAGACATGCTGAGCTGAGTGGTTTACTTAATTTATAAACAGAGGAAATGGTAGGCTTATGTTGTGGAGGAAAAAGGAGTTCAACTTTGAAGCTTTATAGGATTTGATATGATTCATAGAGATGGTTTGATAAGTACTCCGCGTTCTGAGCCAGACATATGGGCGATGACTTGCAATTCAAAGAGAATGAATGACTGAACCGATATTTTGAGTCCTGCAATGAGCCGCACGTATGGGCGATGACTTCGTATTCCGGATGATCAATGACTGAAACATTTCAAGAACAGTAATTCGAAATTGTGAGTAAAGAAGCTCACTATTCAAGAAAACCAACACGATCGAGAAGAACTCAAAATAGATCTAACAATCATAAGTTCAATCTACTCGTGATCAACTTGACAATGAATTTGGCCGAGGAGAAATAACAAGTCGTCGTAGACCAGGTTGAATGGATATTGTATCAGATCCGAGACTGCTGTAAGCAAAGGACTTGGAAAACCCAAAGGCCTGACGTCGCTAGTAACATATTCGAGGGCAGAAATTGAATCAATATTCCACTCATCAAATTTTCAGTAGGGTCACTGACTAAGGAAGCGGAGCAGTGGACGGAGCCTAGCGGCAAAACAAAAGGAGGGAGGATTGCTTTCAATTAACATCGGTTCTGATTTTCAAAACAAGCTTTCGATCACTGAAATGGTTTTGTGTGATGTGACTGTATGTGAGATAATGATAATAGCGGTGAGTTGAAATGCTACTGAGGTACTCAACAAGATATGTTGTTCAACTCATCTTAGAGTTCTTGTATGCTCAATACTTATGTCGCATCCTATTAATTTAGCGATGGCCATCATTTCACTTCTAACCAACTATAGCTTTTTCATCTCACTACAGATTGAACATTGAGTTAGAAACTTCAAACATACCATTTAGGAAATAAATGATCACGGTCCCTTCTCTCTTCAAAACTTCTCTTATTCTTAATCCTTCGCGTATCTCTAGCTCCTTTCCCTTCCCTTCCCCTAGTAAATTCCGGAGACTTTTCCATCTTTATCTCTCACATGGCTTCTAGGGAAGCAGAGGCTTTTTTTTATCTCACTATTGAATAAACACTGAGTTAAGAGACTTGAGAATACTATTAGGAAATAAATCCTCCCATCCCTTCCCTTACTAAAACTTCTCTTATCCTTAATTCTTCGCGTATCTCTAGCTCCTTTCTCCTCCCCTAGTAAATCTTATAGATCTTTCTATCTTAGTCTCTTACTTAGTCTCTAGAGGAGAGTAACCTCACTACTTCTAAATAAGCTTTATCCTCATAACCCCTTGAAACAATTCCTCCTATTTCGATTCCATTTGCCTACACGAGCTCAAAATAAGTACTCGACTCTCACAAGTGGTGATCCATCACCCTAATACCAAACGACTCTCGCTACAGAACTAAGCATTGACAAGGGAATGATAAAATGAGTGGGCTAATACCACACATAAACTTTCCAGATCCGCTCTGTGCTATTTCTTAGCATCGGAAGAGATTCTGCAACATGTGAATGGCATGATATGAAATTGTTCGCTTCGTATATTCGTTAGTGTAACTCAGATCTTCTATCCAGGTCTTACGAACCGTAAAGTATCAGCCTCTTTACCGATTGTTCCAAAAGTATAAATATATACCACGATACGTGTTTGTCTCCCCTACAAGTTCCAGTCTCCGTTTAAACAGCGCGCTCGATGGATAGTTAACTAATGGAAAATTAATATTTGCGTTGGCTTGGATGGGATTGGATAGGGCAATTTTCTTGATATTTAGTTATGGATTGGGCTAAAAGATAACTATGAACCTTCGTGGGAAGGGAAGTTGTAGAGTGAGCAATAGAGGGAGAAAGTAATATATTGAGATGTCTAAAGGAGAGTAAGTAAGCAGAGCTCGTACGAGGTATATATAAAGGAATAGATAGAACTGAGTCGAAAGAAGATTACACGTGATTTTAGGTCAACATTAACGGATAACTATCTAGAGAGTACTGGGTAAAGTTGGATGGATCTTGTTAGCTCATGAGTGATTCGAGATTGTCGCAGTTGAAGCGCTTAAAGAAATATAAGAACAACCCCATTCGTAGACTGATCTCGAATAAACATTCCCCCCATCAAATTTTTACCAAGGTAGCCGAAAAAGAAAAGTAAATGGTCAGTTGTCTTGATTGAAGTAAGAGCGGCGTTCGGTGGTAAAACAGCGTAACCGAGGATTTGCACTCTAATTAATATGGATAGTGACATTGGGTTATTCATGAGAGCTAGTATTACACACGAAAGATAATCTCTACTACGTTTCGCGATATACCGAGTTCATGAATAGAGTACTGTTCAGTTAGTGGCTACCCTATTCCCCATTATCGACCCCATTCGTTAACAAACCCACTCTAGTACCCTATCTGCAAATAGATTATAATATAGCTAAACATTGCCCTGATTAAAACAGAATAATTTATACCCACCCCTTTAATAAACAAAGTAAGAATATTGACACCTAATTTACAAACAAGATATAGTATCGATCGAAGTAAAACAGACATTCCCAACTACCAAAACCCATTTCCCATAACCACATCTCGAACAGATCAATCCCAACCCTCCCAGCTACGCCCAAAAATCTCACCAGACAATCAACATCACTACAAATTCCCCATCCAAAACATTTCCCAGACCACTCCTCTCAACTTATCGACCAGGTAAAATATAAGCAAGCAGGATTCTCATAAACAACGAATGATAAATATCCTGACCTACCAATCTCGTCGTTTTCTTTCGTACGCTATAATCGTGAGAATATTTTGTTGGGGATTATTCTTTGGGGAATGAGTAATCTGTTATGAGGATAAATGGGGTGGTTGTGGTTTGTTTGATGGGAGGGATTTCTGGTTGAGGTGGTAAGTGAGAGGGGAGAGGGGAGATCAGAGGGGAGATGAGAGGTAAGGCTTTTGGGGCCAAGGTGTTGAACTGGACTTCAGATAAGAGAAAAGATTATAACGAGATTAATAAAATGGGTATGTGTATATAGCTTATTTAGGGTTCGCACGGCGATCTTAACCTTACCTAACCTCACCTCCCAAAACAAAACACCAAAAACACATCCCAAAAACACCAAAAACAAATTCTCCCCCTCCTCTCCTTCCCATCCTCCATACCAAACACGAGCTCGGAGCGTGCTTCGCCACACAGGCACGTAGGATCATCGTCACTCGGACAATTTTCGCGGATTTTTTCTTATGTCATGTTGAAAGCTTTGGGGGAGTTTAATGTTCCTTCACGCGTCACAGTACCGGCACAAGACATCAACCAAGCTCCTCATAAACGATCGTGAGATTTTGCATTTCAGTCATAAAAGCACGCCAAAAAAGATATCCATATCCATAGTCTATCTAATCCGACCGCTTCTTCCCTCTAAACCCCATCTTCCTTCCGCAGAAGGCCAGAAATAAAATAAAAAATATACAATAAAACGAATGAATGTAACAGTGTTTACATGCTGAAGTCCCCAATCAAATCCCCGATTTTCGTCCCGAACAAAACAAAATCCATGTATAAAAAAGGCGGCTGTGGATGCCGAAAGAAGAGAAATTTTATGTATCAATCAGTGGACCTGATTAAGAGAGATGCAACGCCATATGTCTAGCATGTCTCCTTGTCTTAGCAGCGGTGCTATAGACGCTGAGTGCGAGACTGCCACCGCATTTCTGGGTCGAGTCGCCTTCACATGGCATACTGCATTTGCTGTCGTCGAGCGGAGTGGTGGTGCTCAGGGCGTTCCCGCAGAAACATTGACCGCCGAACTCGGTGCCCGCCATGGAGAACCCGGCTTTGGCGCAGTAGGCGACGCAGTTGGTGTTGGAGACTTTGCCGACGTTGGCGAATGTGATGCCGGTGAGGACGCGCGAGGTGTGCTCGCCGTCGCCGAAACAGCCTTTGTAGGTCCAGCCTGATGCGACGGATGCGCTGGTGGAGGGAGTGCCGGTTGCGGTTGATTCTGCTGGAGAAGCGGCAACGGGCGTCGAGACGCTGCTTACGAAGGTGGTTTGGACGGCTGCTACGGCGGTGGTGGTTGCGCCGACTGGGATCTTGATGGCGACGGTTGGGAGGGCGGCGGCGCTGGAGGAGACTGCTCCTCCTGCGGCGGATGCGACTCCTCCAGCGACTTTGGCGCCCCATTCGGAGATGGGGTTGTTACCTGGGAGGGCGGCCATGGTGCCAAAGATGGTTTCCTCGATGGGAGAGACGATGTTGCAGGTTGTGGATGGGTCATTCAGACCACCGATAAGACCTGGGCATTTGTCCATTCCGGCGTCTCCTGCATCGCAGTTGTCGATGATCTGTTGGAGGGTTTCCTTGTCCCAGCCAGAGATGAAATCAGCGTGGAGACCGTAACCTGTTGGATCACCGTTGGCAAGGACGAATGGCTGGTTGCCTTGTCCTGGGGTCCAGCGAGAGGCGAATTTAGGTGTGTTCCAGTAGACTTCGTAGAACATGTGTGGGGTGTGAATCCATCCTTCTGGACACTTGGAGTTGGTTGGGAAGACGGCGTTGGTCTTGTAGTCCCGAAGACCGGCTTTTGGGTTGTAGCAGGATGGGAAGTGGATATCTGCTCGGAGAGGAGAGGCATATCCGTCGCAGTTTTGGTCTGGGAATCCAGTTCCAGCTCCCTTGTTGTTTGAGTCTCCGATACCAACACCGTGAAGCCCGTCTGAGTCGGCTGGGTACAATGGGACGTTGGTGTTTGATCGTGGGCAGGTCCATTGAATGGGCTGGGCTGGCTGGCCGTTTCCGAGATCAAGGTTGAGGTTGCCCTTGGATGAAGGTGGGCTGCGAAGAGTTGGGTCTCCGATGACCATGCGCATACCTGGCTCAAAGGCTTGGATTTTGTCCGTGGTCGGTTCGAAGCTGTTGTGATGTTAGTAAATATACAAAGCAACGACGCGCGCTCAACTCACAAGTAGTATACGTTCATGTAGAACATTTCCACGGATTCCAACATTCCAGTAGTAGGATCTTTGAAGTACAAAGAAGGAGTCCAGTAGTTACTCTTGTCGTTCTTAACCAAAGACGACGTGCAAGTCGACTGCTCCAAGGCCTGGGTATCCGTCATGGTAACCGCAAAAGCGTTTCCTCCCTGAATCGCGTGTACGTGTCCAGATGGCCCCCCTGGGTTGATGATCGGATCCATGCGTGCCTGAACCAAAGGTCCCTTTCCATAAAAATGATTGACAGCGAATGTTCGCTGTGTTGCGCTGTACGCTGCTGCCGTCGAGGCGATTGCGGCCGAAAGTGTTACTCGTGAGAAATGCATGTTTGCGATTCCGATCTATAAAATTTTTGTAGAATGAAGTTTTCTGGGTCGGTCGAAGAATAAGTATCTCTGATACTGTGTGATATGTATTGATTTCACTTGTGCTGAAAAGTGAGTAATGTGTCGAAATGACTGTTCAAAAACACACACAAGAGTATCAAGCTCGATTGAGTGTAGGTTAAGGAAGGAATGCGATATCTGTATCAACAGATATGAATCAAGGATTGTGAGAAGAAAAATGAAGGAGCGTGTAGCACAAGGGCAAGAATACCAGAAATGGTTTGTGGGTGAGGAGGAAAGAATTCAATCAATAGTAAGAGGAAGCGAGGGCATCCGCGATATATAGCACAATACCAACGGGGGACGGAGGGGCACCGCCTTGGTCGTATGGACCACAAAAAGCATGCAGGAGCAAATGAATCAGTCGCCCATGCTGGGTTCCCACGCTGTGGGTGTGTAAGAAGCGAAATGTAATTGCGGCTCGAAATGGATTGTGCTGTGCTTCTAGACTCTTTGTTGTGGGGAGGCGAGGGAGATCCGTCGTCCGCTAAATTGTTGCCAAATGCAACCAGCAGATGCAGGGGAAGTGCAAGCTCGAGCAAACCCTCCGCAGACCCACCAACCGTGCTGTTTGAGCTGCTGGGATTAATCTTAGCCAGGTACGAAAGGTACCAGCAGTGATCGGTGACACAGCGTCTACACATGGCGTCTCGCCGGAAGTCTGCACCAAGACCGCACCAGGGGTGGTGGACATGATGATGTCGTGGATGGGGGCGGTGCCTGCTAACTCTATTCACCAAATTATCTCGGTCGCAGAGAGGAAGAGTGCAGCGTGATATGAACAGCTGTGCAAGTTCTACCGCGGATTGTGGGTGTACTCCGTACATGGTAAAAGGAATTAAAGATGTTGGACTCAAGGGGCTCGGTTGACTCGCTACGAGAAGCGACAAAGGGAAGCAAACCGAGCCCGAGGAGGAACTTCTAAGCTTCTCGGCAAGGAGACTGGAAGAAAGGGGAGAACCTGGCCGAATTCCTGGTGAAGTCACGCTTTTCACTCGCTTCATAGCAGGGGAAGGGTTGGAGCTTCCTCGGAAGATCCTCCCGTTCCCTTGTGCAAGCTTGAGCTCGAGCTCTCCCAGGAAATCGTACCCACGACGAACCACCTTCCACAAACACAGAAGGATGGAGATAATCAAATCATATGATGCTCATTGAGGATGATCGCGAGAAGTGCGATAGTCCAGACATCTCGCAAGGTAACGGCGACTAACTTCCAGGCTCGAGCCCAAATCCACCATCCGTCACGCCTCTCTCTGTGCTTTCCGCACTCCCCGTCTGCCTGCATCCAGTTGCATACAAACTCGGGACGGCGTCGTTTCGAAACACCGTCACGGCAGCGAGCGCAACGCCAACCAACGCCACGACAGTCCCAGCCAACAGAACCTTGTTGCGTCTGATGTTGGCAACTCGGCAATGAAGAAGGTTGTCCACTTTCGGGATTCCATCAAAGGTGATGGGGAGGGTGGGCGAAGTGAGTGAATGAATCATTATTTGGTCAAACTCTCTGAACGACTTTCACAACAGGATCGCTTCGCACAATCCTGAGAAGGAGACACGTGGATGCTGGGAATCTCTAGCCTACACTCATTGGAGCGTCATACGAAAACTCTGTGTCCTTGAAAACTCAGAAATTCACCACCATACGCGTAACAAACAATTGGAAATGGCTTCAAGAATCATCTGAACTTCAAACATGGCTTCAAAGTGTGGGTGTGCAAATTTACGGGAATGCACATCTCACGCCCATCACCCGCAACCCCCTTACACATGCAGGCGGATAACCAAGATAATAGATATTTCCAGTGCCTCACCTCATTAATTCTGACGTGCGCTTAATTTGGGTATTTTCTTCAGCGCATCAGCCTTCTATCTTTGTATTTCGCACTCGGGTGTCGGTTGCGCCGTGTCCCTCGAATAGAAACACTATTCATCTTGACATAAGTAACAGCCTCGAAATCCGCTGGATATCAAAGGGAAAGAAAGACAAGGCATACTCGCACTTATCTCACACCAAATTACTCATCACAAAGCCTTCCGAATTACACACCCGTACGATACCACCTTACATGGCCATGAAACGACAAAACAAATTAATACTGTTGTCCTCGAAAGATTCAAGTGAGACCTGAGGTCCGAGAAACCTTTCTGTGCCTCTATCGGCGCAAACCCATTTCGGCCCAAATTACAGAGTTCAAAGGATCAAAGATACCGAGTTTGCACGTTTTCCAGGATCAGCTGATTTTTCCGACTGGTCAGCAGCCCGCAGATGTTGCTGGGGAAGATTTGATCGTCCTCAGGGATGCGCACCGAGATGATGAGGGCTTGACATCAATCACAGTTTGGTTATCGCGCTGGATGGTTACCTTCTTACAAGCCATCACATTATTCAGATTTGAACATCAGAAAAATAATGCACTCGTCACCACTGCACAAAAAAGTCATATTTTTCATCGCGCATAAAACATCCACTCTCGTCGCACCATCCGCGTGATGGAGGGACGGAATCTCTCGACATTGGCCTGCCATCGCATCTTGTGCATCCCAAATTTCTGGATTTCAAGAATTGCGATTCACAAGTCCAACAACGCAAGTCTAGAATTCTCGATCGACAATATCTGCCTCGTCATGCCCTACCATGCGTCTAGACAGGCGGAAGCTATCGCTCGCTCCCGATCGCGATCGTTTTGACGCGTGGTATGTATGCGTGCTCCGGCGACCGATTGCTGAGTCTCCATAACCTTATCCCCGTGTTTATTGGACTACGGTGTATGCTTAAATAGAGAAGCTCAGCACCCTGAATTCCTAGTTTTCCGCTTGCGAAAAGTACTAGGGCCGTCGGTGGCAAATCTTAAGCCAGTAAAACGAGGTTCAGCGACTTTCTTCGAAGTTAACTCGTCGCGTTCGTCACTCCCTTTACTAAGTAGAGGCTTAAGATGGAGCTATAGGGCAAGGTGGATATCTACTACGAAGTAAGGACCTCGCTTACCCTTATACTATTCCTAATAAGGTATCCCATCGAAGGAAGCCCGAAACTAAGAGTTGTCGTAGAACTCGAAGTTTTCCGCTTGTGGAGGCGCAAAACTCGAAGTTCTAGGACTACGCTTTCGTTCTAGGATCCGGTTTCGGGAGTGACTTGAAATCCAGGCATTTTGTGGGCTACCCTTAAACGTATCCAGGAAACCCGCCGCTGTCCCAGAGTTTCAATCCAAGCTGCTGAACTTCTCTAATGTCTTCGAAATCAAGACAAGAGAATTCACGACTCAGGAAGACATAGGTCTAGAATCTTGAAAGCGTCGCGCTGTCTCGTGTCGTCGATTTGGAGAGGGAGTGATTGGATGAGAGGTGTTGCAGATTATGTGCGTTAGTAGGTTAGAGATCATGTGCGGGAGTGACGGACGGGTAAGTGCGTTTTTGCATCTTGTACT